ACCTAAAGTCACTATTCTTTCAACAATTAGTAGATTTCATTATGGGCTTTTGAATAATTTGATCTAAGAGCGAAGAAAATCTGAGCTAATTCATTTAATAATGGTTTATGTTTGAGTAACCATTCACCTTATAAATCAAAAATCAATGACAACTTAAGTATTAATAATACAATGCATTAACTTTTTTAGCTTCTTAAATTATCTAAAATTTCAGTATATTATAGCCCATAATAGCATCTAATTATCGGTGAAAGAATATGATTTTCACAGAATGCGAAAATCAAAGGGATTCTTTTTTGCAGCAAACAGAAAATTCCTTTCTCGAACTTAAAATTAGCAAAATTTACATCAGTAAAATGATTTTTATTAAAAAATCTGGGTTAGAAGCAAGTCAATACATTTGTGTTTTTGAGTTAACAAGAAAGGCTTTTAGCTTTATTCATTAATATTTCAAGTTTGCTGTATTTCTTGCAGGCCAATATTATCGTGTCTGAAAAAGTCTAATTGTTTCTATTGTATGTCCAGGTACTTTGATGGCTACTTATGCTGGAGGAAAAATACTCTCTATGGAACCATGGATTAAGGGTCAAAACAAAAACTACATTGGCGTATTTCTTGTAGCTTTGGCCAGTTTGGTGTCTGGATTGATTTATGCCTGTTTAATGACACTTGAGTTTACCCCGTCAACTGAACCCGATAAAGATAAATTATCATTTTTCCAAGTTCTTAAAGATGTTTTCCAGATTGGACGATTTAAACAGCTTGTAAAACTATTCACTAAACAAAGGCCCAACAACGGAAGGTTACGTTTAATCCTGTTAATAACTTCTGGAGCGGTTTGTTTGGCTGCTATTTTGGGTGAAGATGGTATTGCTTATCAGTTTGCTCAAAAGGTATATGGATTGACCCAAGATCAATACACTTCATTATACTCTATTTTATGCATCGCTCCAGCCATAGTAACCTCAATAGGTCCTCCAATTGGTAGATCATATTTCGGCTTTTCTGACTCTATTATTGCTATTCTGGGTTGCATTTCACTGATAGCCTTCATCTGATCAGAGGTTTGATATTGTCAGTTCGAGGTTATATCGCTGGTTTCTTGATTGGGGCATTTTGCCGGATAGCCACAGCCGCTATTAGATCATTGGTGTCAGGAATGGTTGATTCAGCTGAATCTGCTCAAGTGTTTACCCTCGCAACTGCTTTTGAAAATTACATCTCATTATGTAGCCTTCATAGCACCAGAATCACCATTTTCCACCAGAATGCTGTTTCTTGGATTCTTCAATCTTCACTTAACCCTTAACATAATCTTAATGTCTTTGGCCTTTATTTATTTACAACGATTGGTAAGTCTAATTATCATTCCACCTTGAATTATCTTCGAACTAAACAAACTTTCAATGTTCTAGGATCAATTGGTTATAATAATATCCATAAACTGTTGACTCGATCTATCATAAAACCAGCTCTTAAGATTAAACTGGAAGAAGCTTTGTTCATGATGGAATCTTATCCGATGGGATTCCGTTGTTTCCATTTTTTCAGATTCAATTCATCAAGCTTATTATTGGTAAATATAACAGTTTTATAACAGTTTCTCAAGTTATTCAAAAATAATTTCTTCTCATCTCTTGCATTACAGACTTTGCTCGAGCTTGGTGCTCATATGTTACTAAGCGTAATGGCCGTACACATTGATCCTTATTAATAAAATATCTTCCAACAAAAAATTTTACTTGGGGCAATAAGCTCATCATTTTATGAAAATCGTGAGTTACATTTGAAAGTCATCAGTCAAAAGTGTACAAAAGCTTTCGGAGACTAAAATTTAAACGCGCTTCTATCATAAACTGTTTATTTCGATATTTTTCACTAAGGATAGCAATAGCTTCGGTTGCTTTTTTGCTGTGACTTTTATTAATGGGACTTTATGTAAGTATACCAATGATTCCAAGAGTATTTCAGAGCATCCCAATAAGTCCTAGTAGATCAAAGCTCTTTTCAATCGGAGTTAGTCATTTAGAACCAATAATTAGAGGATTATAAAAAAGACTCAAATTTTCTCAACAATTGCATATGCATTCTTTGTTTATGCTCATATGTACCCTTAAAGACGTACCTTTTAACTCGAAAATCAGACTTTTTGTGTTCGAATTCTAGTGTCTCATAACCGACTTCCTACATAACCAGACAAAATCAAGACAGAACTCTTTGATCAGCACTGCAATAAAGCTAATTTGCTATTTAAAGGTTTTTTTATGAAGGGAATGATTGTACTCCTTAATGATACGATTTTTAATTATCGAAATGAAGTGAAGATTTATACTTCAGTTTAGCCATTTTGAAAATCGTCTTTTTGTTTTCTTTACGTCGATGTACAGCCAAAACCATTCGACCGAAAAACTTCAAACTCGGTATAATATGTTTTCTACTTGAGTAGATGTGCTGAAAGAAATTTTGAGGCCAAAGAAGGTCATTTTTCGGGAATTCGACCTTTGACCTCTGGAGGTCATTTGAAGGTTGAAATTAAATTTTTGATAGGTTTTGATTATTGTCGCAAATATTCATCATGATATCATCAATTTTTATCAAATTATGGCTCAAAACACGGAAAAAACACATGCGTTGACAATTTTTTTGTAACCATGATATCTCATGCTAGGATATACTTAAAAACTCGTCATTTGTCAATCCTGTTTAACGCAACCTTGATGAACTGAAATAAAAATCACAGCCATCGTGCCAATTATAGCAACTTTGACATTGGATTTATCAATATCCATCGCTCCCCTAACATGGACAGAGCTACTGTTTTTGACTATTTTACAAATCTTCTCGCGACAACTTGCCGGATGTTACACGGTGGAAAAGATGATGATGCCAATTATATCTTGCACACCGAAAATGTTATATTCAGTGAAGCACGAGCAGATTTTGCAAATTTAAAAACTGAACATAGCCAATTCCGCTGTTGAAATCGCCAGTGCATCCAGGTCTGCGTTTCTTCAACGATGTAGAATTCCTGTCGATGGTTATTTAACCAGTTTCTTATTTGTCCTGCGTTCCTGGGCTCTAGCGGCTCATCATGGTGATCTATTATGATATTTCGTATATGATGTAAAGAGCGAAAAAAGAGAGTCTTGAGTTGGCGCAAAAGGTCATCAAAATCACGAAAACTTATATTTCTATTATCGTCATCGCCTACGGAGTGATAAACTTGGTCCATATTAACAATTGAAAAACTTGAAAAACACAAAAAGATATAAGAAATTTCACGAGTAAAAGCACATTGAATAATAACACTATGAACCTTAATGACATTGCCACATTACTTAATCACATTACTTTTTGTTCATTATTTGGCGTTTTATTTAATTTTAACAATAATATATCTTGATTATGAAATTTCTAATTTATACCCGCATGTAGTTAAGACGAAGATTTTCGTAACTTCTCAATTAGTTGTGTTACTATGTAATTTTCCTAATTATGTATTATTCTGATGATGCGCCGGTGTTACAAGAATGGATTAAGGTCTCAGTAACTCAGTACAGGTTAATTAGTTCAAGATCTGTACTTCCATCATGTTTTTCATTTGTGGGAGCTTCTGTTTTTTTCTTCTCTTTTTGATGTTTTTTTGGTTTTTGTTTTATATTCAGGCAGTGTGAAAATTCGAGTTCATTAGGTAAGAAATGATTTGAACTATTTTCAATTGCAGCACAAACCCAGCACAGCATATCTACAGCACAGTATGCAGAATAGTTATTTCTTGTTGGGTTTTAAGCAACTAACGCAGCAAACTGTGCACAGTTTGTGCTGTGAAAATTTAGTCAGAAACAGCAAGCGTTTGAAATTATTTAAGCAAACATTTTAACAAACAGTTTTTCAGAACTTTATTAACGTAAGTTAGGTAACGTAGGTTGCCAAAGGAGTGCTGACAATTATATCTTGCACAAAGTGTACACAAATAGTGCCGAGCCGAAAATTATACCAAATTGAAGATTTAGATCGTTGATCACGCTTGAGAAAGCAGCGTTGCCGTATATGGCGTTCAAATTCTTCAAATTCAACGTATTCTGTTTTGCAGCCAACGCAAAAAATCAAAAAATTAGCAGCTAATAAATGACCAATTAGAACAGTAGTGTCTGAACTTTTGTTACTTTAGTTAATTACATGCACAGCCATCGTAATGGAAGAAATAATCATGCTTATCCAGAGTATTATTTTTTATGGTTACGAGTCTTTGAATTGAAACTGCTTTTTTTGTTGACAACTCGAGGAGCTGGAACTTTACAGGATCTGACGGTTCACCAGTTATTTTGCTTGTCGGAGAATTATAATGAATTCTGTAGAAGCCATCCGATTCCCTATTCAAGCAAAAAAATTTCGGTAATCAAGTCGATTTACTTTAATCATAACTTACATTTCTACTTTGTATTGTTTTTGAAGTGAAATAGTTTTGTTGATTTGTTCGAAATAAAAGACCCAATTATCATCAATTATCATATTATTATCATCATATGTCACTAGCATCAACCAATCTGAAAAATTTTTACGCTCTCAGAAAATAACCTTTAAATATCGTTAGAGGTCAAATAACGCAATGACCTTTAATGACCTTGACCTTGAAATATGACAATTGTGTATCGTTGAAATTTGGATAAACAAAATACATAACCTCAAGATCACTCCAGTGCAGAGTAATAGGCGTTTTACAATATGAAAATTAGCTGGCATGCCCTGTATTGTCATCGGATAAACATTCAAAAAGTCGTTCTCCTTTTCAAAAATGAATTTTATTATCACTAAAGAAATTTTTGTATAATTATTGTACAAATTGAATTGATTGCTGTAAATATAGTTTTAACTATTACATTAATAGTTACATTATCGTATACTAACGTTAGAACCGCCACTTTGAAAAGCCTTTTTCATCCAAATATATTCAAAAAGCCAAGATTCTGTTCAAATTGAAAAGAATTGAAGAAAACTGATTTTGTTCAGGCAAATTTTATTTTACTTTCCGTTTGTGTTTGATTCACAATTCAATACGTACGAGAAAATTACATACTTTGACAATACAATGATTTTCTTATTGTTTTGCATTAATTTCACATTCTTAATTCTTAAACATAACCAGTTTGTACCAATTATCAGTGAAACCTAACAATATCTAGATATTAAGGTAAAGAACGTGATATGCAATTGACAATGAACAAAAAAAAGATGCGACCATAAATAGTCGTTGATGCCAAATTTACTTTATCAGACGAGTCGGTTTGTCCTTTCTCTTGGTGCAATTATTGATAGTGGACAGAGAAAAATCTCATTTCATAGTTAATTCAAATTATAATTGGGATTGAATGGCTTGATTTGGCTAGTAATGTGTTGGTGGTAGTCTTAGTGGTTCATTTGGTGGTGAAGTTAACCTAAAAAAATAGATAAGACAAATATAATTGACAAAAGGATTTTTCAATTTGTTAACCATTTTGAAATTGAGAAGGACATTAGGCAGCAATTCCCGAAATGGTAACAATGTGAGCAAAATTAACAGGTTAAATCAGGAATAAAGAAATGATCTTACAGTGGTTAGTACAATTAATAACATTGGCAAGATGAAATACAATGAGCTTAAAACAGGCAAAATATTAAGCTTTTGTTGCTAACAATAGTAACAATTTGGTGGTTCGAGGAGGATCACAAGGGCAATCACAGAGGTTAGATTAATATAAAGTGGTAAAGTTAATGAAAAGTGAAAGGCTTAGATTTGTTGACGAAAGAAATGAAACTAGAAAAAAAGATACAAGAATAATTCGAGGTAATTATTTCCAAGTACATATTCAGGGTAATATGTAAATATATTTTCATAATTAACATTCAATTTAGTCAAACTATTCATTTTAAGCAATCTTTTGCTCAATTTACGTAATCTTGAATATTGATTCTTTCGACAACAATTAGATGAGACCAAGAAAAGATGGCGATACCTAAAAAGTGTCTATTTATCAGAAATAGATACTTTTTATTTACATAGGATTTTTTTTGTAACTTTTTTTCATCTCATGATATGAATGCACCATATGTCCACTAAAAAGGGAAGGAGAAAGTTGATACAACTTAGGGAAATGATAATAATTCATATGCATGTCAATGTGTGTAAATAAATTCATGAATGCATTGAATTATTATTCATGGGAAAATGAAAGAAATGAAGAAAGGATTTGATCTTGACCAGTTGAATATCAGGATAGTTGAATTATTTTTTAGGTTTTTTTTCGCGTCTCTTGTGATTTGGATCGATCAAGACTTTAGTTCCAATTATTTTCCTTTCCATCCGTGAGTGATTCTTTTAGATAATTGAATAACCTAACTCAGGGTAGATAAGCAGCTTAATAGGATCTAGGATAACTTGGATAAAATGTTAATAGACTTCGACGTTTATGTACAAAAACAAACTAGTTCTCAATGAGAACATTGTCGAAATAATTCTTTTTTTTTCTCAACGCTCTTGAATAAGAACATGTTATCGAAAAATATAGTTGAACTGAATAAGAGAGTTAAAACGAAGACGAGCAAGAACGTGTGTAAAGTGGTAACAGATGCTTGAAATTCACGGACCCGTCCGATTTCATCAAGATAATTGATATTAACACGTAACATGCGCAAATATTTATAATTATGTGTAAGGATTGTTTGTGTATGTATATGCTTATGTATGTATATTTGGTGTTTGTGAAGCATTTTGTAGTTAATTTGTCAGTCTAGTCTTTGGACGTTGGAATCTCGCATTATGAGATTTTCGAGTTTTGAGGTAAAAGATAAATTAAAGCAAATCATCCCAATAACTTGAAAAACACTTGAAATATACAAACACACATATTAAAAAATCCAGGATCATTATCATTTTTCACAAAGCTTTGACCGTGTGTGTATTACAGTTTGTAGCAGAGTAATAATTGCACCAAATCCACCAAGAAAACCTTAGTTTTTATCTGCAACTTTGCTTGATTCTCATTTTGTCTTTTCCAATAATGTCTTTTGTTCATTTCTTTTCCTGTTTCATTACAAGCGATTCAATGCTTAAGGTCAAGAATTTCAATCAAAAGTGGCCCAATAGCTTCGGTTCCAGCTTCTAAATATATCCTTATGTGATTTTCGTTGAGCTCCCGTAAGTCCTCCAATTTCATCATCAACTGGTAATGATCGGCATGAGCTTCACAAACAGAGTTACACCTAGTTTCGAGGTATCTTCTTAGTAGATAGATATATGAATACTGTTCTAATCTGTTAATGGGATAAAGAAACAAATATTATAATCAGTAAAACTGTCAATCATGAGTATTATAATGATAAATGCTAAAAGGAAAAAAAAGAGGAAAAGGAAAGAAAGGACAGAAAAAAGAAGGTAGAGAAGACAAGAAAAGAGGGAGAAAGAGATAGGTAGAAAGTTGAATAGAAACAAGAGGACGACTAAAGGTGAAACTTGAAGATTACCGACTCTAGTGAGGGATGATACATTTTAAAAGCTTTAATATACAATAAAAGCTAATAGATTAAAAAAGAATTGAATCAGTTCTGAACAAAGGCTAAGTTGCTATCTTGAACAACTCTCGTCATCATCATTATTATCAGCAAACAACTCGTGACGAGCATCCACAATTAAACATATTATTAATACTTATAGAGAGAAAGAGAAAAATGTTTAAACAAATAGTGAGATACATAATGAACGAAGGAGTAGAAAAATAATCAAAATTATATAATTAAACTAGCTTTTGACCTTCTAGGAATGGAAATTTAAACCCATAATTTGAAAAAAACAAACCCACAAGTTTCTTATCAAAACAGAACGATAGAGAGCTAAACGATAGTAATGAATAGTTGTCATAGGAATCAGATTGGCAATCAGAAAAATTGCCTTAAAAGCACAAGTGTATAACTACTCAATAAAGAGCATAATCTAATTGTTTGTCATAAAATAATTTAGATACAGTAGGTCAAAAGCAATTGAAAGTGTACGAAGATGTCATGGCGCAGCTCAAATTTTCAAGACATTTCTATTAAGATTGCGTAGAAATTTGTGCTAAAAGTGGATTCTTTACTCCTCTAAGGATGATGTTTTATGGCAACAATCAGGGTAAAATTCTAGATTAATCAATGGTAAAGTCTAAAAATGAAAATTATCTATTGTGTAAAAGTTGCTATTCCTCCCCTTTTCACTTTACTCCACCATAATAACAGGATGAAGAGAAAGATTAAAGATATCAAGGTACATTATCAACTGTATTGGTGAAATGAGCTAATTCAATCAGATAGGAATCTAGGAAGGAAAAGTCAATAGAGAAGGGTTGGGAGATGGATAGGCAAGTGTTTATTTCAACATCTTATAAGTAAAAACAAATACCTGACTGTGTTTGGATGACGAAGATTTGCTCTTTCAGGTGTGAATAGGACAATGGCCACTAAAAGAAGATTAACATAGTGATCCTGTCTCCACCGTGGATTAAAATTCTTGATAAACTCTCGATGAGCATTGTACAAATCTCCTTTGGTGCGAAAGACGTTAAGAGTTAAGCTACATTTGGTTATTTCATCCTGTAAAGTAAATAAGATGAGAAGATAGCGTGTTAAAATTGTTTTGGTAGTAAAAGGTTGATTAAAAGACCATCTAATCTCCTGCAATCTTAAAATTTACTCTCATATGAAAGATGAATTTTTTCAGACTCAGAAGTGAAATCTTAGAATTTCAAGAGCTTAACAGAGAGCGAGGTAAAAAGAGTTCAAAATGCGATAGAGAAGAGAGGTCAGTTAAAAATGAATTTACCTGCCAACATTCATCGTCAAGGTTAAAACTAATTGAGGCTTTCATAAGCATCATTTCAAGACATCCTCCTTTCAAAAGAGCAATTTGATCTTCTATGCAAAGATTTCGGAAACATTGTATCCTTTTACACCATTTGATTATCCTTCGTATGGACAAGTCTGACAGCCTTACAAGATCAGTAATGTCGGTGTGATCTTCATCGTAAGGTTTGGTGAAAAGAGGTTCATCAATGGTTCCAAAAGCTGTCATCAACTCTTCTAATTTCATGGACTCCAGTTCATTGAGTTGGTGACTTGGCTGAGTTCGATCATTTCGGAGGTAAAGAGGTGTAAAATTGGTCTCCAATATTCTGCGATTCACTCTTAACCTCCATAAGTCTTGTTTACGTGTAACACCATTATCACCGTATGAGCTTTCATTGGCATTTGATCTAGATCTTTCTGGACGCCCATCTTCCAATCTAAAATCTGAATCGGGGGACATCAGGTTGCCCTTGTATGTGTCAATTTCTTTGTCAATGTAATCCAAAAATCTTTCAGGAGTCTCAACGTTATCATCGAATAGTGGTGTATCAGATGTTGATGAATCTATTGAAATCCTCGTTGAAGTGTTGGAGTTATTTGAACTTACAGATGTCGTCCTTTGGTTACCTGATTGATTTGATGCGCCACTAAATTCAAATCCATTGCCACTATTACTATTTCCATTGTTACTTTCACCATTGCATTCTAAGGCAGCTTGTCTTTTAAGCTTATTCTGTTCAATTTTGGCTCGTTTCATTTTTTTCTGTTCCTCTGATAATATCCACTCTTTCTTCATACCAACACGGAAGCATTTCTCTAGACGACATTTTTGACAGAATCGTCGAGTAATTACATCAATATTACAGTTACCATTAAAAGGGCATCTTAATTTCTGTCAGAGAAAAGACAAAGCCAAATGAGAAACTAATAGCAATAGTGATGAAAAACATGGATCATGAAAAAGGGGGTGGAAAGATTACATACTTAATGTGACCGCCTCAAAAGAGTAATCATAAGGAAACATTTGACAGAATGAAAATATCAAAATCAAACACACACACACAAATGAAAGAAAAACACTCATAAACCTAAGCAAAAAACTACGATACAAGTATCCACATTCCAGTCAATCAATTGACACAATAATGGAGACAACAATCACTAGATGACACATTGAATGATCATATCAATTGTGGAAAAAGAATAGATGAGCGACATGCAGATATCATATAACAAAAGAAGACATGACTATTATGAGCAGAAAAAAGGTAAGGTGAAGAAAATGGTTGAGAGGAAAAGAGAAACAAGAAACAAACAAGAAAAAAAACAAATTGATTACCTCGCTCTTGTAGGCATTGCGCCTGAAGAAAGCCTTGCAAGATTCACAGGTTATAGCATTAAAATTAAATCCCATGGCTTTGTCTGAACATACTTTACAAATTTTTTGATGATCTTTATCAACCTTATCCATGATTGACTCTTTGATGTGATGTGAGTTGGTTGATTTGATGAATACGTTTAAAGGGAAAAGAAGCAACAGCAACAGGCGTAGAAGTAATAACAAAAAAAATACAGTGAATTGAGAGGATCTTTAGGTAATATGTCTTGTAACGTTGTAAAATTGAAACAGTTCAATAAGACAAAAAATAGAAGGGATGAAACGAAAGATGAAATATGTAGAGAGAAAAATGTGTCTTTCAAAAACAAGAAATAATTTTTACTAAATATATATATTAATTTGATGAATAATAATATCAAGTGTAACCATAGTCACAATATAATGGTTTTACTGGTAATAATGTAAAATAAAATTAATAATAAAGAATCAGAAATTGGGTTTTTTTCACCGAAAAAAGAGATTTAAGCAGCCTTTACTACACTTAGTTTCTGCCTCTTCTGCCTTTCGATATTCACTCTTATCTTCACTCACTCACTCTCTTTCGGTGACTCTTATCCGTTACCATTGGTTACTCTTTCTCTTTCTTTCTTCATTCTGTGTCTTCCTTCTCTTTCGTTAATCTTCTTTACTGTCTAAAATTGCAATTCTTGCGTCATCCTTGCAAACGGCTGTGAAGATTAGAGGAAGAAACAAATGAATATGGAGGAAAAGTGATGATCATGAAGATGAACAAAGTGTTAGAGGTTGACTTACAGAGTTTTAATCAAACGATAAAAGACGATTGAAACAACAGAATCTTAATAGCGAATAGACGTGTTTTATTATTGAATTAAAGTCTCTATCAATTATTATAATGACGCTAGAGAAGTTACAATTATACCTATCACATCTTCCAATCATCTCTCATCACTTTAATCATCATCTTTCCCTACTTTTTTCTTGTAATCATTAATAGATAATATGACATTATAAGATAAAGACTATTTTCTAGTTGCCTATTGTTCGATAATCCAATCAATTGTTTTACATTATGTACATTTTTATCTCATCAACATTTATCGCTTATTGAAAATTTACCAAAAAAACAACATTTTCAAAAGCTCTCAACTTTTCCATGATATTTACCAACGCAAGAAGCTTTCATTTTTTAAAAGCTTATCTCTAAAAAAATTGAACTTATTCGTCAATCTGAAAGCTAACATTTAGTTACATTTACCGTAAGGCTTAAGTATAAGATCTTATCTCTTTTGGTCTCGACAAGGCTCTGTCTTTACCAGCTTCCATTTTACCTTTACTTTCTTTTTGTCTGGTTAATGTTCATGTTTTTTTTGTTCCCATGAGTTTCATTTTTCCCCTTCTTTTGGTGAAATATAATTCGATTTCTGTTCATCTCTATTGTCATTAAAATGAAAACTGTGATTGAAAATTGTCTCTGTTCATCATTATCGGGTAAGTTCAACAAATCTTATCCATTTTAACCATTATCAAAGCTACTCAATTAATCATACATCTCTCATACTCTCTTTTAGCTAATAACCTATTGTCATCGATCTCTGTTTTATGCATGATCGTTTGCTATTGATAGTAATCATTGTATTAATCAATTATGGTTCATTAATGGTTCTCTACCAGTTCGTCTGATTTTACGCTTTTGATCATGCTTGTCATCAGCTGATCAACATTCCATTGTTACTTCATCAGGATCGTTTGTGGCTTTATTTTTCCCTGGGAACCAAAGAGTTTTATATACATAGTTAACAAAGATTTGGTGGAAGTTTTGTTTCTTGCTTCAGTCGCACTTGTTGTTGTTCATCATGGTGAGTTGAGATTGTTGATCAGCAAGAAAAACAGGGAAAAGAAATGATAGATGGTGTAATCATCAAGGCTTCATGCTTCTCATGTGTATAAATTAGAGAAAAGAGAGGGAAAGATAGACCGAGAGGGGAAACTAGACAATTGGACTACGGCCAAGATTGAGAGAGTGAACTGATGTAATTTCAAGAGGAAATTAAATTCTATTCATATGTTGGACCAAACTGATAATCAGTTTGTTTACCAGCTTATTTGCACTTGATATTTCTTTAGTTTCCATTTTCATCCAAGGTATGGTTCTTTGTCATTTTGGTTGATGTAAATTTCCATTAACCCAAATCATGAATATACGTTTCAAAATGCACATGAAGTGTAAGCCATTTTTTTCTGCCATGCTTTTCCCGGTTTTGGCAAATCAACAATTTTTCAATTTGTCTATCATTCAGCAAATTATTCATTCTTCCCTCACTTTCATTCATTTACAGGACACTTTTGCTGATTTTGGCAAAAAAAATTTCATACATTTTCTTCCATTCTTTGACCACTGGTAAAAACTGTCCATGAACTCAACACCTATGGGACCACCTTTGTCCAGGTATCTTTGTTCAGATTTTCATGTGTGTCATGAGCGTGCAATGGAGCATGAGAGGGCGCTGTGTCATGATAAAAAAATTTCCAAGTCCCTAAGGGCAAAGATGAAACTTCATCACAATGATATTTTTTATTTATCTTGACATTAGCTGTTGATGTAACTTTGTTTTATTTTTTTGCAATTTGATATTTTTCGTTTATTCAGTCGATTATCTTTCATCTCTTTTCATTTTCTTCAATTTTAAATGATTCTATTGCAACATAACTCAGTGAAAGGTGAACATTTCCAACTCTGTGCCTCTGACAGGTAGAATTATATTTCCTCATATTTTCTGATACTTGAGACAATTTAATTCCTCTTTAGACGAATTGATTTGTTCTTGAAATCCAGTCCATTGCAATTACAATCTTTAGCGTATTTTAAATATCCTTTTACAGGTTAAAATAATTCAATTTTTTTCAAATCATCTGAAAATACCTTTATATCTCTCATTTACTAATATCTTTGCTTTCGTTTTTAATTTCATGTTTATTTTTCCCTGGCAACGGTGCTTATCCAACCTCATTCCTGGTCTCATTCATCATACTGTGTAAATTTGTTAACCTTTAAGCATGGTTGCCGGCTACCTGTTGAACATTTGAAAAACCAACTCATTTGGTTGCGACTGATTGATTACCATGAGAATCGCATTTCTGGTTAACATGGATCACTTGATATTTGGTTCCTCTTTCAATTTTGAGATCCTTCATTGAGTCCAAATTTACCGGCAATTACTTAGCTAACAATTTAATATAATCAAATGGTGTTTTATTGAGTCGATGAAACCTGAACCTCTGATGATTAAGTGGTCTGGTTAATAGCTGACTTACAGTTGAGGTGATCAAATCAATTATTTACAATAATCAACCCAGCTAACCAAACAATGAGTATTCCTAGATATTGTCATTTTGTCACTTTGTCAGTGTTTCATCTTGATTGCCAAAAGGAAACAACCCATCAAATTTTCTTACCAGATAATAATCGTTTGTTACATGAGTTTCAAGCAGATGAAATTTATAATTGTGAATGTGTCAAGTTGAATTAACGAGGAACAGGCGATAATAATAAGTTATGGTTAACTATTCATTGTGAATTATTTGATTCCATTGGACTGACGATTTACTTACCCCATACTTACTCAAAGATACTATCGAGCTTTGGATGGTTAAACAGCAGGAGGCAACATCTTTTTGCAACATTGTTACTTTTTTATTGAGTTAATTGCCAATCCAATCGCAGATCCAGCTCATCATTTACTGAAAACAAGCACTTGGTTAACCTCTATAAATAATAAAATCTTGGTTACTCTAAAGCTGATCTTCTAGTAACCACGGCACGACCATTCATAATTAACTTCATCTATCATCTTAACCAACACAAACAGGTTAGTTAATTTTGCTAAATTTACATGTCCACTTTAAAAACAATTACATATTCGATCAAATTGACCAAATTGATGAACAAATGTTAACCATTTTCCTTCAATCATGCATCTATTACATGTACATTTTACATGACCAAGTGAGACAATATCAATTGTTTTGCTTTTCAAACGACAACTTGTTCATGATGACATCTTTTTATTGTAATGCTATTAGGATTCTGTGGGGTAGAAATTAAACAATTAAGCATCAAATAAAACAGTTAATCAGATCAAAGGTTTACACCTTTAAAATTATAAAAATGTATCTCAATTACTTGAATAATTTTTATCTTATTTTTATACAGTTTAATTTCAATGTATTTGACTTGGAATGACTTTGAAAGGCTTGGAAACCCAAAAGATCGCCTAAATTCCCTGCTAATATTTACAAGCAATTGTTGAACCCAAAATCGGCAAAGACTTCAAGTTACCAAGCTTATTCCAAAAGACCCCTTTTCACCAGAATTTTTACTGAGGTCTCCCAGAGGAGGGAAAAATCAGCAGTAGTTTAATGATAATGAAACAAAGATGGAGCTGATGATTATAGAAATTCTGTTTCTCATTACTGTAATCATTACAGTGGAATGGTATGAGCCAAGGCTAAAAACTAGGAACCTGTCATCATGGCAAAAAGGAGCGGAGAGAGTAAAAGAGGATCATCAAGCAACAAACCTCATCTTTAACTTTCCTTTCCCTTCCCATCTCCACTTACCTATCATAATCTTTCACTTCAATCTTTAAATTCAGGTTAATTTTTCGTCCGTTAATAATTTTATTATATCTGAGGCTAAAAAATAACCGATAACAAATCGTAAACAATTTAGTTTTCCTACAAAGCCACCAGCACTTGTAGCTTCTAGTCTTTCAAATTGATAGCTTGATCATTTTTAATTCACAATGCCATTTCAAACGAATAGATAATGAATTCCGGGTACAATGAGCGACCCACTGTTAACAGTATCGCTTATCTTCCACGAATTTTCACGCTATCTATTTTGTTAATGTCATTTGATCAAATTTGTTTACGCAAATTGAGATCGACTTCAATTGTGTTTTAGTAATCTCAGAAACAATATGATATTAGCTTACGCTTTTTCCTCGCAATTTTTTACGTAATTGTTGTTAAATATTGTTTTTACATTTTGCCTACACTTGAGGGATCAGTGAAAAAAGACTGAATAAAAGACTTATCAGATAGTCTAACTGTCATGACAAATTGCCATAACAACAGAAGAAAGTGTCTTTAATTTTCCACTAACAATCGAAATCAAGTGTAACCTGAGATTATCTTTTCGAGTTTTTCCCTTTTATTAATACTTTTCTGTCTCAGTCCAAAGCCCTTTCTCATAACTTGGTTATTATTTTACAGAATTATTTTGTTTCTCCTTTTTCCACAATTAATTATCGTTAGCCTTTCTCTGTAAACATCATCATTACCAACATAAAATTCAAGTTATCTTCAACACAAGATCAAGAAAGGAGATATCAGACGCCAAAACAAGAGACAACAAAACTAAAATGAAACTATCAATTGAAATAATCTCTTACCTGAAGGACAACCCAAGAACTCAGCCATCTTTAAACTAGGAATCTAATGCTAAAAGCAATGTACATACTTTGAAGAAAGATTGATTCCCAATCAAGGGCAAAACTGTTAAATCAAATTCACACTACCTTAACTTGCCTCCCATCATAATTATTATCAAATAAAAATGATGATGATGGTGATGATTAGAGGAAAGGAAAAGGACTTCAGAAATGGAAAGAATCTGCATCCAGAAAACAACTCACCTGTAAGAAGATTCAACAGGTCTTCAAAGTGATACTTGAGCAGAAAAATCAGTCATTTTTGTCAGTTCAGATAGATAGCTTTTGATGAACATTTTGTTTCTTAAATTCAATATTCTTGTTACTCTGGAGCTGTGAGATTAACAAACTTAACCAAGGAAACTTAATCTTTTCACATTGCATGATATTTCTGCAAATCCAGTGTTTATTAGGTGAACAGATAATATAAACATGTAACATCATAAGAATATCATTTCATCTCTTGTGAAAAAAAGATGAAGCTAAGCAAGAAAAAAATACTTGAAAATATCTTTTACTAATCTATTTTTTCCTACCTTATCAACAGGTTAACTCATATTGTGAATAATATCCACCAAGGACCAGGAAAACTGATATGGTCACGAAAAAGATTAGACATTTTTTGGTTCCAGGTTAATCAGTTTAGGCAAAAACCTGATTCACATTTAAAGATGGAACGCTATTATAGAATAATGGTTATTTATATTTTACCTTTTGACTTTAAACCATTGTTGTTTAATATCGCTAATTATTTTGACATTAATAAGGCTCAAAACACAATTTAAACTAATGTTATATTAATAAGAGCTTAAAACCTTTGCGGTGTGTTAGCAATTTGAACAAGAATTACATGAAAATGGTAAGAATTGTTTTCTTATTTTGAGCTCAACGTCCACTTTGTTGAATAGCATCAACAACCAACATCTGATTGCCATACTTTTTCAATTATGAAGGGCTAAGTGTCATTTAAAACTGCTAAATAAGCTTTGGATTAAACGATTTGCAAGAAAAAACAACCGGACTGTCATTAATCCTAATTTCGGGACAATCAGCATCGGGAAACCAAATAATTTTCAGTTTAAAAAGGGTTTTTCTTGGGTTTTCTCGAATTTTTTGGTAATATCTTTGAAATTTGAATATTTTGTTATATCAGCCATTTTTGCTGATTGGAATAATTTACTCAGAAAGTGAGAAAAAAGTTGAAATAAATCAATATTCTTGATACTCTTGAGCTGTGAGATTAACAAACCCAACCAATGAAACCTAATCTTTTCCCATTGCATGATATTTCTGCAAATCCAGTGTTTATTAGGTGAACAGATAGTATCAACATGTAACATTATTCATAAGAATATCATCTGTTGTGAAAAAATAAACTTGAAAATATCTTTTACTAATCTATTTTTACCTTATCAACAGGTTAACTCATATTGTGAATACCAACAATTGACCAGGAAAACTGATCCGGTCATGAAAAAGATTAGACATTTTTTGGCTCTAAGGTTAGTCAGTTTAGGCAAAAACTAGATTCATATTTAAAGATGAGACGCTAAAATGGCACTCATAAATTTTTCTTTACCTGATTACTCCTGGCTTTACAGGGCTTTGATTTCAACCATTGATAGAGGTTAAGACTCTTTTTTTTACATAAAAAAGGGAAAATTTTACTTTAAGCTAAATCTTTACCTTGTTTTTATGACTTTTATTTTCATTAGGATGATCCTTTATTGCAAACAATTATAACTAATCAACAAGAGATAATCAAGAGGCAGCTTCTTCATATTATTAATATCATATTAGTCCCTTTATCTACCTGGCATAGTTATTATCATTTTTATTACTTCTACAAGTGTTTATCAAGATTAAATTCAGAGGTTGGAAACTTGATTTGAGCAGGTTTTCACCTGAGAAAGCAAAATAAAACAAAAAGCAACTTACATTTGCGGATGTTGCTATCAAACATCATTGACAAGTGGCTAGTTTTTTTAGTTACATAAAAAACATTTGAAGAAAAAGTAAAATTCATTTCCAATCTTGATTGTCCGAAAGTGTGACCATTACAATGGTTTACTTTGTTTTAATATTAAACAATAATAAAGCAATAAACGTATAAAGCATTATTTATTAGTACAAATTGTTTAATTGAGAGGATAACAATTTAACTTGCTTTTTACAAACATCTCCTTAGGACTGTAAAAATGGATTCATATACAGCTTTAGGTTTCTGTTGCTCGGTTGGGCCTTTGTAAGGACTAATTGTTATGTTTGATGTAAACCCTTGTGTTTTGACGTCTTGATTAATGTAACAATTAAATGAGATTAAAGATTTTTTTGACATCAATCTTAATGGTATTACTTTGATTATAGTTGCTTTTTGAAGGTAGAACACCTTTTCAATCCTTGAAATGTATCACAAAAATGTGATAAATACATTTCATTTAACATAATCTAACTCTGATCTTTCCCAATTTATCAGCTCTTCATTAAAAACTATTCAACAAAAATCAGCTAATCTATATCTGAATCAGTTTATTAAACTATCAACTGAAGAGCTGAGGGTAAAATTGAGAGTAATCACAGCAAAACCTCTCATAATTCATATATTCATGGGACGAAATCATTTGTTTCCCAAATCAAAATGATTCACTTTCAATTCACAGAATTACTGTTGAAACAAACCTTTTATCCAGACGGGAAAATTAACACCAGGATATTAGAGCTCCTAAATCATGGGATTTTGTTACAATTGATATCAAAATTGATTCCTATTTTTGCATCAAAGCATTAAGAGTTGGCGGTGACAAGATAGGCTTTTTTTTCATCTGAAAAAAGTGCTGTGAAACTACAATCGATAAAAGCTGTGGATAGAAAACAAAAATCAAAGGTCAACTTGTGATTAGTTAAACACGGGATGAGCTGTGATTAGCTAATGACAGCAATCACAGCTACAATTAAACTTACATGTAGATCAGGTTGATTAAATGTTATGCTCTTAAGACAACAGTCACTAAAGAGGCTTTAGCTATGAAGAAAAATTGTCAACTAACAGTTGATTCCATTGATAAGTTGAATTGCCATCAAGATAATTAAGAGTAAGTTAATATAAACTGAGATAGTCACTAATTAATTCCGTGTTTAATCGAGATGAACTACTCTTGAAAACAAAACAAAAATACTTGATGTCAATATGAAAAACACCAATAAGAATGAATCTCACAGAAGCGGTTAATTCAATTTAATTTTAGATCAACAATAATTTTTGCAAAAAAATGATTATTTCCATCATTATATAGACTAACAAGTTTAAGGTAAATTAATGAACTACTAATGAATTCAATTTACCTCCTTTAATGGTCAATTTATTAATTGTGCAGCAATTAAGAGCTAAAATATAAGAAAAAACATGAAATAAGAAACCATTATTAACCATAAATTTTCATACATTTTTACGTTGTTTTGATGGATGTACATTTAGGCCTGAATTCAATTTAATTTAAACAATCAATCTTTATTGTGAACAACTGCAATTAATGCTGTTAATTATTTTGAAATGTTGTTGTCAAATCAAAAGGTTGTTGAAAAGGTTATTAATCATGTTGACATCAGTAAAGCTCAAAACAAAAGGTAAATGTAATGTTAATAGCAGCTTGAGAAGAAGGCTTTCTTTGTTTTATAATGAAATTACTTGTATGTTATTCAATGGAAACATGAAATTCATGGAAATTTTAAAGTTAATTTTTGATAAAATTAATTCAAGGTTGAAATACAAATCAACAAATCAACTCGTGATTGTGAACAATGTCAATTAAAATTATACATATTAATATTTATCATTGTTGATCATCAATTCATTTGTTTACCATTAAAATGGGGAAATTGGTTAAATTATTATTGCTCTTTTAATCAAGATTTGACCATCAAATTAATAGCTTATAATCACTTGGACGATGAAAAATGTTAATTTTTAGAGATTAATTGATAATTTTCAATCTTAGCGCCTTTCGCTCGAGTTAACTTTACTTTCACAGGTTCTTATGGCAACCAATAATTGCTGTGTTTATCATAAAACATCATAAAAATTATACAATTTTCATTTTCTTTTAAAATCATGATTAAGTTAACTAATAGCCGCAAGGTAATGGTGAATCCATCATTCTTAGTTATTTGATGATAGATTGTATTGAATAGTAAAATCAAAGTCTCCGTTGGGCAAAAAATAGCCCAACAAGAGTGGATTGATTAGAGGACGATGAGCTCCAATCAACAAGCCATTCTAGTTTAACTTGAACTGACTTTTCGTGTCCATGTTTTCACCATCATTTGTATCGTCCAAATTTTCATCATTTACATCTTTATCATCCTCTTCATTTTGTCTCAAATTAACATATTAACCAGCTAGACCTTGAAACGTATCAACATGAAATTTTATTTTTCTCATCAAAGGTAAGAACGGAACATTAACTCAAACTTACATATTTACTTCATTAGATTGGACAAACTGATTAGCCTTTGACTATTTTTTCCATACATTTGATGCTAACTGTCGTCATCGAGCAAAAATTTGTTTAATTATTGGACAAAATCAAACTTAATGCCTCATTGATGTCAAAATAATCATGATACAGTGATTGAGTTTGTTTTCAATTATTTGACATCAATGAGCATTGGAGTTTTTGACTCTGGTCATTGGGAAAATTGTGATTATTGTGGTTTCTTTTAAGGTCTTAGTGACAAAAGTAACCTCAAATTTACCTGTCACAATCGAAACGTTTCTATCTGATCATGAGCCCTTTATTTCAATCAATAGATTGTTTCGATTATAGTTTAATAGCCTCTAACTGCTCAGTATTTTCAACGATAAAATTTGCTACTTTTATGTAGTCAAGTCATAAGTTTAATACAATTTCCAATTAACCAGACTTAATAGTCACCTTGCTCTTTAACCAAGCCATGTTTGAACTTTGATTAAACATTCAATTTTAATTATTAATTACGCTAATCTAATGAAAATCTTGAATCTTACAACTTAAAACATGCATAGGCACACCTTATTATCATGATAACCTTGGTAATTATAATAATAATTAATAAACAAAATCAACCAAAGGGAATAAACAAAATCTGGTTTTAGGTCAAACACCAGAACCTGTTGCTAACCATTTTTGGTGACAATGATTATCAATTATTAAACAATGAATATCGATCCATGTTATTCAACAGATAAAAAGTCGATTATCCATCGAACCTTTCGTCAATTTTTCTCAGTTCAAGCAAATATATTGCTCAAGATCTTGTTTACAGTTTCCCAACACTCAATTAATTGCAATTAAATCCAATTTCATGCAGCGTCTCGCAGGTTGGTTTGAAATAAAAAACAAAATCTACTAACATAATTTTAACCTTGCTCAAGTCCATCCACCTTAATCAGTTAATTTGATATCAATGTTGTGCAATTGAAAATTTTCAATTAATTACAAACCATCAGAAATGAAATTGAAGATGAAAGCTCAACAATTTAAACCATAAATATTACCTGAAAGATGTTTAAGAAATGGTTTTCATTTGCCAAAGATCAAGCCTTGAATCAACTTCACCGGTCCATTAACAATGCATTTCAATGATTAACCAATCATTAGATAATCATATCGTTTTACTGTTCATTTGTTTGCTATTTTCATCTAATTGTATTGTATCAATCAGGTTTATATGTAAATAAATGATGAATAGCCTTGGATTTGGATTGAAAGTTCAATCAAAATGCTCATGGTGATGGTGATGATTAAAGCTTGAAACCCAAAGGAGTGCCTCTTTGACTGTTTTATTGAAACATTGAATCTAAATTGTGAAATCAAGAACTAAAATAATAGTTACTAACTTAATCCGATTAATTAACCTTAAACACCGAGCAACTCATGATAATTCATCATATATTTACTCTCCATATCAATCAATGGAATCAAACATTGATAAACATTGATTTTTTAACATAATTTAACCATTAATTTGTTTAATTTCTAGACTTGATTCCTATGTATTTCATATCATATAATTGATCAATACAGTTATCTAATGCAAATTTAGCGCTTTAGGTTCTGATTAGTCTTTACTAAACGTCTATTGGTTACCCTTTGAAGCTCCCTTAGTTACATAACGTAATACCTTAAAACCAGTATTTTCACATGTTTACAACCTTGAAAGTCTTACTGTCGGCTGATTTGATCTTATATTTATTCAAATAATGATCAATCAAATTACAATATCAATTAAGAATGTGTTTACTTTTGAATTATACTGTTTTTGTGTAAATGTTGGTAGATTAGACATCAAAATTGATAAAGGTTGAAAAGGTGAACTGCTTGTGCTGTTTGCCGTTGGTGTTATCTTGTTGAAAGTAAATCATCGTTAAATTAACACAAACAACATTTGATCATATAACTGTGCTTCTTGGATTTATAAATCATCAGTTGGATCGCAAAGTATGTCTCTGAGTTTCAACATTGTTACTTTGCCTGTCTATCACTCTCATTACCTGTTTTCAAAAACCATGTAACAGATTAGTGGAAGCTCAAATTTTTTTCCGGAATAAGATTAGTTGAAACGTTGCAGAAACCTCAGAGATGATCGATACTTTTAAGGTGGCAATGAATTTTGTGAATTTTCACGCAAAACTCTCAAGATTAAACAGAGGAAAAAAGTTCAAACATAAAAACTGGTTGCAAGTAATTCAAAGCTCTCACAGTTAATCTTGAAAGTGAAGTGATGAAGGTTTACCTTTTGTAAAAATAAACTAATCAAAGTAATAAAATCCATTAATTATCTCAAAATTTTTCTACACAGGTTATGATGTTTGTTGGTCCATTACTGGAGGCGCTTTCAACCTTTACTTTCTGTTGGATGGAGCCAAAGATTACCATTTGGATTGACCATTTCATCTTAACGGACTAAAAAATTGAAAGATGTAACAACCTGACAAGAAAAGCCTAATAATAAGAAGCAATATAACGATGAGTTGAGGGAAAAAAGACATCATGAAGATAACGATAGGAAAAAAAAGTTGAGTCTTATTACCTGAAAATGTTTGGAAAAGGTTAGTTGTATAAACCTGAAAAGCCTGTAGGTTGTAAATTCAATGTAAATGTAGACGTTAACCTGTCAAAAAGTTGACTTGGTTGAAACAAGACAAAATTGGTTGAACATTTGTTTACGAAACAATTGGCATTCATTTTGGTGAACAAATCTTCAACTAATTCACCTTTTCTTGATTTTTCCGAATGTTTTAATCTAATTTGACCATGAAACGTAATTTGGTTCGATCATTGATTGACAATTCTACTAATTAGACTGTTGTATTTAAACGCCCTAAACAAGGGTTGAATTTCAATGTTGAAAGCTGACCATTAAGTATGATAATCTGTTAATTTGATGGTCTAAATGTTTATACTGATATACACAATAATGATAGCAACAGTTGTTGGTAAACAGTTATGATAATATTACATATTTTTGGCTTCCAGCCCAATGTCAATCATTCATCATTAAGAACCCAAAAATTATACTGACAAAATGAATTTAAACATTCAATGTCTTTACAATCAAATTGAGATGATAAACAGCTTATTATACTTTTTAAATGGAAGGTTTAATATTTTCTCAATGCTCACCGATAGTCAAAACCTAATATTAACAATACATTGTTAATATTAGACTAAATTATCATGTAAAAACTATTACGAATGTCCAGTTTGGTCTATTCAACATTTCAGATTATCTTGAAGGCCTAACCCTAAAGCAGTCTTAAAAGCTAAACCCAAATAATTACAGAATTAATGTTGTTATGATCTGATTGTATCTTACAAATGAATTGGATTAAAAGTTAATAGCTTTTAAGATTGAAATAAATTTCTGTTAGACAAAACAAATGGCAGTTTTTTACCCAGAAAATTGATCTAAATAGTTATAATCGTTTAAAAAGTAAACAAGTTTAAAGTCAAATTCATCATCATTACCGTCAGTAGATAAAATATCCAGTTAACCAAAACAATTAATCATCAAACTGTGCCAACCAACAACAGTTTATTAGATTCATCATTCCTATCGAAAGCCAAGTTAATAACTAACCCATCATTATGTATAGATGAAAACAGCCCATGTTAATTGTAACCGTAATTTTTAACTAATAATTTTTTCTTCTAATTTTGCATTTCTCTAGATTGGCAATTGGCTTGCTGTTGGTTAAACACTTACAGAGAAATATTTTCTCATCAATTTATTCCTGGATCCTCTTGATTATATTTGTCGAATGGCTGAACAACTTCTCCATGTCAAGTTATTTTTGAAGTTTACCCTCCAGGATTAGCCACTTCTCGTCTATTACCTTTCCTGGACTGACTGAAAGACTGTAAAAGAAGCAACTTAAAGCCTCTCAACTGTCGGCACCAAGAGTTGATCATCGTCCCAAACAATACTAACAGTATTTGGTCATTTAACAAGCTTTTGCTAAAAGTCTCAATAAAAAACAAGTTGAAATGCAACCTTTGATTGGATCAACAGGTTAACCATTGGAGTCTTTTTATTTTCTTGTTTTGCTGTTTAAAACTCATAACCAAGAAAGTTTTACAATCAAATAATGTCTTGTCCACGCCTTTACAACGTTTTGGTATTATCTTGAAATTATTCACGCTCTTGGATTAACCTCTAATCATCTACTCTATCTTCATCAGCATTTGTTGAAGCCAAACCGAGTTGACCAAGCCTTTGGAGACTTTAAAATGAAAAACAACTTCAACAGTCAAAATAACAAAAGAATCTAGTAAAAGCCCATTTCTTGACCAGAACCCAGGAAAAACAATTTTCTTTGCTTCCTGGTAATTATTAATTATGGTTCCAGTTAATCATGATTATTACCTCTGAAACAGAATTGTCTGTTCCAATCAAGTTGCTAATTTTTCAGTTGAATCCTCAAAAGACGTTTAAAATCCAAAAGAATTTTGTTTTCATCTTTAGCCAATGTTTTTGGAAATGATTTGCTTGCTGGAAACTTTCATCATAAATATCTCCTGGAAACATAATTAATGTTAATTGTTGCCCACTAGTTGATTGTGTTAACTAGATAATTGGGTTTAACTTGTAATTAAAAGGCGTGCATTCATGTGGTGATGATATCCTGAAGACATTAAATGAAAAAAAATGAAATGTTGACTCTAGTCAAAAATACAGTCAACAAGTCTGGAACCTGAAATGTATTCTGAAATAATTTATGTTCAACAATTTACATATTTTAATGAATCAATTGTGATTAATTAATTGGTTAAACATTCATATATCTCATTTGACAACCTTTAAGGTAATGAAGGTTGAATACCATTTTATTGAGCAACTTATGAGGTTAATTGCCCAGTAAAATGAGCAGTAATCAAATCAATTTAAATCTGTCTTTTTATATTACAAATCTGTATGTTTGATAGAATCTAAATCAAATTAATTATGATCTAATAAAACTAAATGGTGACTTTAATTGGATTTAAATGGATGTAAGAGAGATGAAAAATGAAAGGATTTAATTCTGGTTTTAAGGTTTGATGACAATGTCGATGTTATAAGATGATTATTAACCAAATTAATGATACCATATTAAACTCAATAAAATATGTTTAAATTTGAATTTGTAAATCCTAAAAGTTAACAAGTAATTGAAATGAACAAGAATCAAGGTTAACCAAGGTAAGCCCATTAGAATGATATTTTTAATCACAAAAAGATTGATTTTGATACAAAAGCGTATTTACTTCCAACAATTTGTCTGCTTGTAATTTCCCTCTGTAATTTAAACATACCTTATTAACGTTAATATACATAGATATATAAATTTACCAAATCAGTCGATTGTCCTTCATTCAGATGATAATGATTATGATCATCATGGTGGTACAACCTGTTGGAATTGAATTTGTTTACAATCAACTTGACTCTCTCGTAACTAATGTTTAAAATGGATACAAGTTGGATAAACAATAGCTAAATTACCAAGGTTGTGGTGTTAATATAAGAGCTTGATTAGGTTAATTACACTGACCAGACAAATTACTTGAAAATAATGCCAAATATTTGGTTAAAAGTATTATCAAACACGCTCATCGTATTGAATACAATTACAGGAAAATTTAGGTTTTCCCGAATCAAGAAACGTCTGACAACTGGTAAAATCAATGTAACAATCCAAGGAATGTAACAGTTTAGATAATTGCAGTTATTTTCAAGTTGTATTGAGAGTTATGGACGATCAATTGATTTCAATTCAGCATTTGGTTAGCACCAGAGATTTAATTTTTCAATTTTCCTTGAGAAGGAGTAATAAATCATCAATTATAACAGGTTAATCCGATTAGGTAGACGGAAGCTGGAAATGTTGACGACAATATTTCACAATTTCCTAGTTTTTTTCGTATCCATGTTAGGAATAGTCCCTGATATTTGCTAATCTGTGAAATAAATTTCATTAAAATGATAAAATAACTAGATATTTTGGATGATTGAACGTGCTTTGTATAGTTGATCCATATCAGTATTTTGTTATCAGTAGAACCTGTCAATTGAATAGTTTTCTGGATGGTATTGGGGTAATAGGTAGCTTTTGACCTCACACAGGGTAAATTATTGCGGTTAAGGTTAAAGGTTTGATCTGTTCGCGAGATTGGTGTTTCCAAAGTTAATTGAGGTTAGTTTTGGCCGGTCAAAAGCGATAGCTAGTTAAATGGTGAAGCTCCTTTTTTTGTGATAAAACATAGAGTTGCGTGAGTTGACTAATGAATAATGATGGCACAAAAAAATAGAGACAAGTTATTATGATCAGCTTTACCATCTTCCTCAGGTAACATATTTTCTTGGGCTAACTCATTCATTTTCTTTTCCCAGTTCTTTTCTCTCCTCTGTATGAGCTTATGCTTTTTTTTCGTTCCATGGCCTTGATCATATCTTGTTTAGAGAATCGTATTTATTATGAGAAACTAGAAGAAATGAGAAGAAAGTAATGCATAGAGACAAGGCTGGTTAACCAATGGAAAGAGATATTTTTTTTCTCCTCTAAATTACTCAGTTTCTTCTTACCTTTTTATTACAAACATTTTCACTTCAGACCGAGATGGACTCAACAAACAGCATTCCAAAGGTTTGATTGTAAAACGGGATTGGGAATCATCAAAACCCAGGAATGACCTAGAGACAGATAACAAAACAAGAAAGTGAAACAACATATAAACATCAACCTATCTTTTGCTTACCCTTGACTCGCGTTTGATCGAAGTGGCTTTTATCAAAATTTTCTTGTAAATAGTGATGTAAAGCATGATAATATATCAAACTGATTCATCTTGATCAAGATTAACATTTCTAGAATTAACATTTACATTAACGAAACATGTTTTTTGTTTACATTGAAAATACATTAAAACATGCCACAAGTAGAGACATCTTGTGAAGGCGAAATAAGAAGCACGATCGTTCGATGGATTTGTTTAATTCAATAAAATTGTTTAACAAAATAAATGCAACTAATAATAGATAAATAATAGATAAAAGGTTAATATTAAACAAATGATGTGACAGTTATCGACAATTTTCGTACCATTGAAATCATTGAAAATAAATACACACTGCGGACACCATTCAATGAACAATTGAAATTGAAATTCAATGAGATTGAAATATTGAACAGATTTGAAGACATTTCAACTAGAGATTGGATCATTGGTTTTAAGATTGTCCAATGTTAGTATCACATTTGCGATTGACGAGCGAGGTGTGGAAACAACCTCATCATTGGATTTTGTCTGCCATTCTGAACGAGTATATTCAACCCAACAAACTATTGTCAATGGATAGATCAAGCAACAGGCGATTAAAATTAAAACCAAACCAGGATGATGACCGATTGTTGCACTGAAAACAGAAGTGTAAAACAAAGTGGCTCCTAATGAGATGTAATTTTCAAAAGCAGTTGCGAGGGTAAACACTTGAGCAGATTCAGCTGAATCAACCATTCCTGACACCAAAGATCTAATAGCGGCTGTGGCTATCCGGCAAAATGCGCCAATCAAGAAACCAGCGATATAACCTCGAACTGACAATATCAAACCTCTGATCAGATAAAAGGCTATCAGTGAAATACAACCCAGAATAGCAATAATAGAGTCAGAGAAGCCGAAATATGATCTACCAATTGGAGGACCTATTGAGGTTACTATGGCTGGAGCGATGCATAAAATAGAGTATAATGAAGTGTATTGATCTTGGGTCAATCCATATACCTTTTGAGCAAACTGATAAGCAATACCATCTTCACCCAAAATAGCAGCCAAACAAACCGCTCCAGAAGTTATTAACAGGATTAAACGTAACCTTCCGTTGTTGGGCCTTTGTTTAGTGAATAGTTTTACAAGCTGTTTAAATCGTCCAATCTGGAAAACATCTTTAAGAACTTGGAAAAATGATAATTTATCTTTATCGGGTTCAGTTGAAGGGGTAAACTCAAGTGTCATTAAACAGGCATAAATCAATCCAGACACCAAACTGACCAAAGCTACAAGGAATACGCCAATGTAGTTTTTGTTTTGACCCTTAATCCATGGTTCCATAGAGAGTATTTTTCCTCCAGCATAAGTAGCCATAAGAGTACCTGGACATACAATAGAAACAATTAGACTTTTCAGACACGATATTGGCCTGCAAGAAATACAGCAAACTTGAAATGAATTAAGCTAAAAGCCTTTCTTGTTAGCTCAAAAACACAAATGTATTGACTTGCTTCTAACCCAAATTTTTAATAAAAATCATTTTACTGATGTTCAATGTTTCATGTTTGATGCTCAACCACTTAGTTCGAGAAATGAATTTTCTGTTAGCTGCAAAAAAGATTTTCGCACTCTGTGAAAATCAATTTCTATCACCAATAACTAGATGCTATTATGGGCTATTATAATGAAATTTTGCATAATTCAAGAAGCTAAAAAGTTAATGCATTGTATTAGTTGTCAGGTTTGATTTTAGATTTATAAGGTGAATGATTCCTCAAACATAAATGCTTATTAAATGAATTAGCTCAGATTTTCTTCGCTATTACATCAAATCGTTCAAAAGCCCATAATGCAATCTACTAATTGTTGAAAGAATAGTGACTGTAGGTGCTTTAATTTTCGAGATATCGATGTTCAAAGTTTTAAGGCCGATGGCCAATATCAAGATAACGGTTGAGAAATTGAAAAAAGTAATCAATCACAGAAGTGCAGCAACAAATTTTATCGACTAAAAATGAGTTTCAGCTTTCTAACTCTTACGGTCACGCAAAAAGACAGGTTATACCGAAAATCGAAGTGATCTACTTTAAAAGAAACAGAAAGTTTTGCTTCTCGAAATAAGGACATTTTCTGATTGATTTTCAAAAATCCCTTCATGAAAATGATTCTCATGAAAAAATATGGTTCAATAACTGTACAAAAGGCTATCGAAGTTATAGCTTTGACCTCGATTTTCTCGAAAACTATTGATCGGAGAAATTTTTCATTGGTACTAATAGATTGGTGCTTCCAATGTCTCTTCAAATCCACTAATTTCTAACCCTAAACTCAAAAGCCAGATCTTTTGTACACACTTGTTTGAGCGAAAAGGCTTCTTAAGTTTAAAAAGCACAGCAAACAGCTAAACTACACTTTATTAGGTTTGTTTTGATATAAACGGTATTAAATGCAACGTTATTCGTAAAGGAATCGTGACTTGATCGAGAAAAACTTGATAATTCGTTTGCTCCTGATTTTCCGTTGAATGCTACAACGATCTTGTTGATAAGTCATAGCAAAATCGAAAGAATGTGCTTCGATCTCAACTACTGTTTCTTCGCATTGTAAGCCGCAAGTTTCCAAGCAAGTACTGACCTTTCTAAGTTAGTGTTTCGAGAAACATTGGAAAGTATTTCAATAAAATTCATGATCAAGCATCTGAAGCATCTTTGAACTAACTGCAACATCTTTTGAGGTCATTATAAAGCACGCTAACTTGTAATATTTTGTTAAATCACATAACTATTGATACCAAAGGAGAAAGTAAGAAACCTGGCTTTCGAGTAAAAACTTTGTAAGGATGCGTTATTACAGTAATTAGATGAAAAGATTTCTGATATTCAGTCATCATAATAAAATCTAATAATTGTTGAAAGAATGATGACTGTAAATGCTACCATTTTTGTGATATCGATGTTCAAAGTTTTAAGGCCAATGGCCAGAATAAAGAGACCCGTTGATGAATTGCAAAAAGTGTTCGTTTTCTAATGTACTCCAACAGTTTTCATCTACTGAAAATGAGTTTCAGACCTCTAACTTTAACGATCACCGAATACGGGAGATTTAACCCAAAATCGAAGTGATCTATTGTACAAGAAACAGAAAATTTTATTTCTCAAATAAGTGATTTTTCTGGTTGATAATAAAAAGTTAGCTAAGGAGAATAATTCTGAGGAAAAAATCTGGTCCAATAACCGTACGGAAGACTATCGAAGTTTCAACTTTGACCTGAATTTTCTGGAAAACTGTTGATCGGAGAAACTTTTTAATAGCACCAATGGTCTCTGTTTTCATGCTTCTACAAAACTTTGGTTCGAAAGTCAGATATTTTGTACTGATTCCTTTGAACGAAACACTGTTTAATTATGAGAATAACCAAAGATAACAATCAAATAAATTTCACGTTATTATTTTTTCATCGATATTTTTGAAAGAATCGAATCAAATCTCTCTCTAAAGTAAAGGCATTTTGATAGAGAAAAGCTTGATCTATCATTAACTGCAGAATGGTGATTGTAGGTGCTTTAATTTACGAGATATCGATGTTCAAAGTTTTAAGGCCAATGGCCAGTATGAAGAGAACCGTTGATGAATCAAAAAAAGTTTTCAATCCCAGATGTGACCCAATAATTTTTATTGTCTAGAAATGAGTTTCAACTTCTTTACTCTTATGGTCACAGAGATAGCCAGGTTTAACCAAAAATCGAAGTGATCTGTTTTCTAAGAACCCGAAAATTTTATTTCTCGAAATAAATGCATTTTCTGGTTGATTATCAAAATTAACATCATAGAAATTATTTTAATGAAAAAATCCGGTTCAATAGCTGTACAAAAGGCTATCGAAGTTTGAGCTTTGACCTGGATTTTCTCGAAAAGTGACCATCGGAGACATTTTTTAATAGCTTCAATAGATTGCAGGCTCTTATGTCTCTCCAAATCCACATATTTCTAACCCTAAAATCAAAAGACTGATCTTTTGTACGCACTTGTTTGAGCGAAAAGGCTTCTCAAGTTTAAAAAGCACAATAATCAACTAAACTACACTTTATTAGGTTTGTGTTGATAGTTTTTGAGAAGCTAGCAAACTTTATTCGTAAAATAAGCGCTAAATCTCGAGAACAAGCTTTGGTATTCGTTCAATCCTGATCTATCGTTACAAAATGCGAATTTTTTGTTGGCTAGTTACAAAATAATCGAAAGAACATGCTGAAAGAACAATTGATCTCAACTACTGTTCGTCTGGATTTCAAGCCTCAACCAAGCATCTTTCAATGAAAAGGTCCATTTTAAAGTATTATAAATATTGACTAAAGAAACTTTAAGTTTTCTTAGATTGATGCTAATCTATTTTTGTGACCTTAAAAGCACACCAAAGTCTCAACTCATCATTCGAAAGTCTAAATTTTTCAATATTGTCCTAGCATTAATACAATTAAAAGGAGCTATTGAGCTTACAATGTTCATACTAACTGCTTAAACGCTTGGAATTTGTTTTTTATTCATTTTATTCTGCTTTTAGACTCTAGAATCTGAACTTGTAACAATTATTCGACCAGATTTTTTCATCCAAATTATTTTTCTAGTTTAGTCTTTTTGACCATTTGTTTAAATTCGTGTCAATTGTTCATAAATGTGACAGTTGTGTTGATTGTGTCGTTTCAGTAGCAAACAATTAAGCTAATGCATTTTAAAGTAAAGTTTGTGTTGATAATTTCATAATAAATTGTACTGACCTGCTTGAACTAAAAATTCAAGAACAGCAAACCTAACGATGAGCAATTCATTTGGTGTTGACCACGATATGTAAGTATAACAAGAGGCAAATATTAGGAAAGTGCCGCCACCCAACGCGACCGGTAAATATGATAAAAGTAGGATTTGCCAGGCTAATGAAGAGGATAATTTGAACAATTTAGATATAATTAAAGTAAATTTCAATCAACTTACGAATGTTGAAGGCAAAAGCGTTTATCAACAACAAAAGCATCATGCAAACACTGGACGCCAATGGAAGTATAATCATAAATTTAATATATTTAGGATAATTTCCCAACCAGTAACCAAGAAAAATGGACAATATTAAAGCAGGAATGTTAAGTATAATGAATTGTCCGTTTTTGAAGACATTGGCGTTTTTCAGAATCGCTTTGGTTGATGTTTCATTTGAGTGTAACTCAGTTAATTTTGAACAAAACTCTTTATCCAGTCCAAGTTGACTTAGGCACATCTTGTCCTCCATCAACTGTGTTACCGTCACATTATGCAGCATGAACCCAATCATGAATAGCGTCAGACACAAATCGGTTTTCAACAATTTCATGAACTCCAAAAATCCTTTCTTGTCCATCTTGAAGCACTGAATCTGTGAGGCAACAACTTGAACAACTTGAACGATTTACTAATGTTAAAACTGAATCAATAGAGTCAGAACAGTTAGAGATCTGATAACCGGTGAAGTTAGACTCGGATAGGTTTACCACACAGGCACATTGGAATCATCCATGAATCAGGATTAATTTATATCAACCAAGGTGAGGATTAAACGGTAATCACATCTATTAAGCTACTGTAAAACGATTTTTGGTTGAGGACAATTTTTAATATTGCTATTGATATAAGCTTTGAAGCTTGAAAATGGTCAACTCAATGTGAAATTGTTATTTAAATAAACCTTGGTTTTATCACAATTCATTTTGTAACAATTTACTGATTTCTATCGGCAATGTAATATTAGTTGCTCAAAAAAAGGAAATGATTGTAAATTGTTGATTCACAGCAATCTTCAGCTTACACCAAAATACATTGAATCTTTGCCGCAAATGATTTATATTCAACCTCAGTGAGATTAATAAGATTATTGATTATCAATCTTGATCCGATTTGATTGCAGTCACATTTCAATTTGACATTAAATCGGAATACTTTTTCAATTTCAATGTAAACATGCAAAGACAATGTTTTATAATGAATCAGTTTATCCGCTTGTTTAAAATGAAATTTGCTTTGACTCATTTTTATATTGTGACTGTAAAATATCATGTTTATTGGTTACATATGATTGCATTTCAAGTATGAATTTAACAGAAAAAGATTTAGTTTCGATCTTGATTGTTGAGGAAACAAATAATTTGATTAATCTACCGTCTTAGTAAATCAATTTCAGATCAGTCTTGATGTTATATTTTTATCTTTGGAATAATCTGAAGGCAATTTTTATAAATCTATCCAAAGAGCAGAAAATCCAGGGTAAAATATTCCATTGAAAGTAATCTTAATATTATGATAATTCAGATTATTTCATCTTTCATCAACAGTTTAGTTTAAAACTGCTCCCATAGATGTCATTGCTTGTATCGTTCTTAGTCTTTGTCTGCAAAGTTGTTTATTAATTGTCTTGTAATCTTCAAGTGAATCAGCAATTAAATTTTGAATTATTTTGACCTGTTTTATAATTAAGTTGACAAAAAGTAGGAAAATGTCAGGTAAGTAGTAAAATTATATTAATTGGGTTAAAAATGAATAGTCAATTTACAAATGTGAGTGAAGCTCACGAAAAACGCTTGTTGTCTATCGATAACCGTTGATAGACACTTGCTTATTTATACGATTATATTTATTTCTGCCAATTACTTGTCTTTATTTTTGCTATTAATGTGGTCAATTTATAATTTAATTGGGATAAATAATGACTCCTCAATCAGGTTTGTTTTTGAAATGAAATAATCTAGGAAGTAATAGACGCTTTCATCGTTTAGTCTTCCATAAACATTTGTATTGACAGTTTATTTTTAACAAAGCCCAAAAAGCCTTGAATGAAGCTTCATACCTCATCAATTTTACTCTTAATCAAATTGAAGGTTCAACCATTTGAATTTTTATTTAATCATAGGTATAATCAGGCTTAGCATCAATCAGCATGGTCAAAATTGGAAAGGAATTGGCATTGAAATAAAACAGAGGATTTGTTGAAAGATATCTATTCAATTTTCCAGGATAAATGGGTAATAATCATTGTGATACTATATTTTAACTAATCTGTTTATCATAATTTAATCGAAGCGATAATTGTTTGAAATGATTGAATATTTGCTGAACATTTGGTAGCTCAATCTATAGGTTATTTTGCTTGAAATAAGAAGCTAAATTTATAGCTTCCGTTGGATGAAGCCAATTGAATTGGCAAATAAATCCTATTAAACGCAATTGAAATGCCCAAATTTTCAGGAAATGATCACAAATGTCTTTTCCTCAACAATATTGCGTTAAAATTTTGATTATCTGAGTTCATGGTAACGACTGACTCATCTGTAGCTGTTTTACATTTTCTCAATTTTAATGAATCTTGTTCTTTATTTTCAGCTGTCACAATTAAATTTAAAGTTATGTATCATAAATGGATCTGAATGAGCCTAATTTATCCAGAACTGAAACAGTAAAGATGATTTCTTGCCAAGTTAACTGGATGATGGAACATATGATGATGATGATGAATGCGACAAAAAATTACTCTAATCAATCTTATTCTTAATCCATTTGAAACTGTACATCAAGCTACTAGCAAGGCATGGATAACCATATGAAAGACTCTGATTGATTGTTACATTTAATCAATTACCATGGATACAAGATATGATCGAGAAGGAAGAGTTGATTAAAATGGATCCAATTGTAATATAATAAACCGACAATTTACTGTTTTAGATGATCATTGATACAAAGGTTAATTGTGAAAGCACACAAGAAAAGTACACATAATTGGTTCCACGCCATTCCAGCTGTTAACCTGAAATAAGTGAACACAGAGAGAGATGATTACTATCGTTGGATTTAATTTTAATATGGTACATTAAAAGCATAACATCAACAATTAATAACTAATGGAGTAAATTGTAAAGGATTTTGACAAGGGCTGGATTGTATTTCAATTATAAACACAAGCATTACCAACCACTCAATGGATCCTTTTCATCTTAATGATACAATTTGCTCATAATTGTCGAACCAGCTTAAGTAATGTTAATTATCAAAAGGACATTTCATAAACAGTTAATCATTTAACCAGCCAATATCATCTTGCAACTGCAGAAAGGATTGACAGAGTTTACTGTATTTAGCCAACTCGGCCAACATGATAACTCTATGGAGGTTTCCATGAAAAAAAGCTAATGTCATTTCATCTTTCAGCCTGAAAGAAGCAGAAGAGATTGAATTGTCAAAAAAAGCCTTGGAATGGTTCGAGTTAATCACAATTAATGGTTTTAATACAATAACGGAAACTTGAACCAGCTCAAACTAGGAAGCACATAAAAACACGTAAACACCAAAGGAAATGGGTGCAATCTATTTGGATATAATTTACGTTCATTGACAGTTTTATATCACTTATTGGCAGAATTTATTTGACAGACTGACTTTTTTTTTGTATTCTGGACGATCCATTGAAAGACACTAATTAATCTGATTTCAACGCAAATGAGGACGCTTTGAAGGTTTTAATGAAGGAAAATAATTACTCTGATCGTCAATACCAATTTTTTTGGTAAAATTACTTTTTCTTTCGTCCTCTTCATTTTAATTGTTGTGAACCAGCAAGTAGCAGTTATATCCTTGAGGCTTCCATCAAACTCCATTTGAATTGTGGAGACAAAATGAACATCAACAGATGACAATCTATTTAATCAATGATTAAAATGTTTTTCCTCTTTCTTCTCTTGTTATTCTGGTTCACCACTGAATTGATATTCAGGCTTTTGTTATAAAATGCTGTTGGTAATCATTATTCATAACAACCATAATGAATTATGATTGTTGTAATTTTTGACTTTGGCTTGACTTGAACCCAACTTTACGCAACTCAACCCCACACAAACCAGATAAACTTAACTGTAACTCAGCTCAACCTAATTATTCAAGGATAATCATCATTGGAAACATTGTTAAATGTTGATTTCAGCTTCTTTTTGTTGTCTCGAATCATCACCATCACCATCAATCTAACCATTCTGGCAGCCATTATTGTTAACATCTATTATTGCTTCATCACCTTGTTTAATCTAATTTAACTTTAATTAGTCAATCAATCATCAGCTAAATCTTTATCTCGCCGGTTCATCGTCTGGTAATGATGATAATCAACAACCTTTCTTGATTGTTACCAAATTCAAATGGTTATTCCGTTTCCATTAAAAGATTCAAATCAAACAAAATAAGGTGATGTTTGATTAACCTGATCATCTCTGGATATCTTTACCTGATCAACTGATCACCATTTTGTTCCGCTCGTTTAATCAATCAATCAACCAAAATCACTTGTACTGTTTGTATTGAAATATCAATCATTACTTCATTTGTTCAGTTTTTTTTATTTAATTTTCAATTTTTCATTTCATTTTGAATGCAATGATTGATGTTAACAACTTTCATTAAATCAATCATTTAACCAAGTTTGGTACTTTATTAAGCAAAAACCTCAAATAAAGGGTCACCTTGACAGAGACAATTGATTAGACAATCTAATGATTTAGAGTCGAAGGTTAATTGTTGTGTTTGATGTAAAACGATTGTTTCTTCAGCTAGAGTCACAGTTAATATCAAAACATAATAATCTTAAAACCTCTTGACTTTAAGATTAAAAAGATCTGATTATTGTTTCAGTTAACCTGTTTTCATTTGTATGCTAAATAATATTTATGATTGTATTGCAGGTGAAACATTTAATAATGATTAATGAAACAACTTGAATTGTGTTTATCCAGACAAAATTGTAATCAATATTTTTCTCGATACAACGATAAGTGTAAAATTAACCAGAAATTGAAACTCTAACCTAATGCTCAATGAAACGCGTTCAAGAAGATGATTCAAATCCATCTTTACCTTGTCAGATGCATATTTAGTTATAAAGCATATATTGTATATTTAATTTACTTGAAAGGCCTTGAGTTGCGATTGTAAATGTCATAATTTAATCGCTGATTAAATGAAAAGCAAGGTTTAATTTACTGCCATACTTTATTTTCCATGTCTTCAGAGTAGTCATGATTCATGAAAACGACTTTGAGTACAGTTTTATTTTGATAAAATTTACATTTAACCAGTAATCATTGAATCTTGGTTGACTTTTATTTAGATATTTATTAATTGCTAATTACCAGATTCTTGTTTCCTCAACTTTCATATTACCGATCAAGCTAATAAAAAGAGATTAATTCACAAAGATTATGTGTTGAGTTCAGAACCAGGAAAAACAGAGAGAAAGAGATCTAAATGAAAAACTCTTTACAATATTAGCACATAGAAATAACACATTGAATTTTTGTGAGTTAACTCCATTGATTATCTCCACTTGAATGATTAATTACCAAGATACTTAATGTTGAAGGATTCATCATATCACTGTAATTTTACCTTTCATAATTTAATAATTGTTGATAAAGAAAACTTGAAGCCAATATGTTTAACCTGTAAGGGTAAGAAACAGTCAGCAGTAGGTTGAGAAGATGGTAAGACAATAAACAGATTAACACGAAAACACAATTGTTGATCAATCGTTAACAGCACCCAGCCAGGTAATCAAACAGTTTAGATTTTAAACAAATACATGTATATTAAATAAACAATTAAACGAAGCATGGAAATATTCAATTTTGATTAACTCTATCAAATAACAATATGATTTTGATTAAAAAATAAAACAGTACCAGATAATGATATAAGATGGCGAGAGCTTCAAAATAAAAAGAGGGAAAGTGTTAGAGGTAAGTTAATGCCAAGGAAAAAAGCGCCTTTTCTTAAAGTTGCTTATGGTCATTGTTTTAACTGGCCTTAAATATTAATTTAATTTTATTTGAACGATGTTTGGTAAATTAATCAACTATAATAAATTTAATTGTTTATTGGATGTGTGTGCAATTAATCGGTGAAACAAAAGGAAAAGGTTAGCCAAGAAGGGAAACATTAAAAATAGCAACCTTGAGACTTACAAATCTGGTACAAGAAGCTTAACCAAGAATCATGGCGTCCTGCTTAGACTAGCCTCATTGGAATCATCATTTTTCATCATCTTTCATCTTTATCTTCATCTTACTCTCCAACTCTGTGGGTTGCAAACAAGTTAAAAGAAGTCTTCCTTATCATCCTTTCTTCTCCCCTCTAACCTCTCTCTCCGTTTACTTTGTTTTCATCTTTTCGCCCTTTCTGCATTTTCTTGGGCGTGTGTTTAAATGTTTTGAAGCTCATCTTTAAACTGCATCAACCGGGTTAAATATAGCCTCAGGTTATTCATTCCCGTCTCATCATCATCTTCATCTTCATACTGATCATCCTTGGCTACATGACCATTGACCTGAGCCATCTTCATTTTTACCTTAAACTTCAACAACATCTCGTTGATGTTTTTTTAACCATTAACATCTTTACACAATTATAATTATTTTCATCATCTTTTTTCGTTTGTTTTTTTTTTCTATTACCATTTAATAACAATCCATAAAAGTTAAGCAACAATTAATGATTCCATGATGTTAATTATAAATTGACTTTCTGGTTAGTAATCAATTGACTCTTCCATGAGGCAACTTTCACTTCTGAATCTCAATACTTTGTATTGTATGACTTCAGCGTTGGTCAATAGCTGTTGAGGTAATTCAAATTGTTTACCATTTAAGGGTAAACAAAATCAAATTACTATTTTAATTGAGCACAACTTTATTCCCTTTTAAATGGTTAAGTCTGAAAAAATTTGCATTTGTCTGTCAGTCTTTAATAAGCTTACAAGTTGAAAAAGATGGCTACTGAAACACTTCAGTTGATCAGTTGTATTGTGGTCTAAATGGTGATCATGATGATGGGGGTGAGAGATAAAAGTAGCATCTACCAATAATCAAGACTAATTTAGCAACTATTGAATTAGTTAATTAAAAATTAAAGGCTTTTCTTTTAAGAGTTAACTTTACTGTTCCAGGTCAAATAGTCAGGCCTCACAAAATGTATAATCAGATTGGAGTTAGTTTTAATCGGTTGAAGTATTATAATAAACTAAATTCAAGAATGAAGGTTTTAACCATGAAAATAAAATGTTGAGAAGGAGAAAGAAGTTCAGTGATGATGATAAAGAAATAAGAAGAGACGGTGAACTAATCTTCAACATCATCAATTGCCCAGTAAAAAAAGATTCTTGTTGCTTTTGCTAATGTTGGTTCCCATTGAGACTGGAAAAACTTGTTGCTTTCTCATTCAGGAACAAGATGATAAATGATGCTTGAAACTTCCATCATCATCAACATCAACTAACCTAACAAAAGTAATTCAACTCCAAAAGTAAATTCAGTTTCAACTAAATACAAGTAATGGCAGTCAAACGGCAACCAACTGACATTGATATGGTTGACTATTTTGGATATCACCTTTGGTTAAACCATAGACAACACACCGTAGAAGTTAATTAAACATTTACCCAAAAAACACACACTTCAATAGCTTATATAATGGTTAAGAGTTGGCAATGATTAAGATAGGACACAATAATTAGAAACAATTGAAAGATAATTGTGATTAGCAAAACCCAAAAATACAGATGACACAAAATATAAAATGGAGGGTAAAAATGAAGGGTGAAAAGAGAGGGGAAAGGGTAAGGCGCTACATTTAAAACAGTAGCTAAAATTGTCTTCAAAGCAACGGCTTAAAGGAAGATCTAAATGGATGATAAAAAATTGTTAAGAAGCTAACAAAGTAAGTAAAGAGGAAAGAGAAGATAATTGTCTTGATGAAGACAAGAATTTTCTTAATCATCGTTTTCTTCTTCATGATACAATGGCAATGATTAATTCTGGTAAAAGTAATGTTAAAGAGCTTATAAAGTAAATTGAATAAAAGCTAGAGAAACGTTCAAGTGGAAGATTGACGAAGCAAGAAAAGAAAGAGAAGAAGATAAAGATGGAAGATAGGGGAAAGGATGACAAGGGGAAAAAAGAAGAAGAGAAAAAGAGAGAGAAGAGGGAGAAAGAGCCAGTGAAGAGAGTGTTGTGTAACGTTGGCTCACGTCGTTAGTTTATGCCTTACTCTTTGGCAGCATGGTTTTAATGTAACTTTTGTATCATGTTTGTGCCTCTGTTTTTACATTCAATTTGATCAACACATTATGGTAATTAATTTAATTTTTTTCAATACAATCTCTTTATCTCAATGTTAACTGTTTAGTTCACTATATTTGGATATTTAATCGACTACTTTTATTATCAAGTGCTATCAGTTTTAATCAAACCTTTTATATCATCACTGTGTCTGTACTTTGAAACAGTTTTCTGTTCCTCTTTGCTCTGTCTGCCTCTCTCTTTTTTTTGCCTCTGTTGCCTTTTCTGTAATCTGTCGATTCTCCTGTAATCTTCTGATTTTCTTTTGCTCTTTTCCAACATTTCCTTTTATAATTTTGATTGTTTCATTTTCATGTTTATGTTAATCTCATTGGTACCTTGATTGGGTGCCGTTTTTAATCCAATGTAATTTATTTTTGTTTGTCTCGTAGTGATAGTTTCAACTCTATTTGATCCTCAACTTGCATGGTAAATTTTTTCCTCACTTCAATATCAACTTTTCTTCACAGTTTAGTGATATTAAATATCAAGTTTAACGTTTTTTCACGTTGTGTTGATACTGTTTAGTCTTGGGTATTTATTTTTGCTGAAATGATGTATTGAGATTGTATCTTTGACAGTCACCCTGAAATATTTAACGATTATTTATTTGGTTTCATACTAATTCTCCTTTTTTTCTTCTCTTTCTCTATCTCTATCCTTCTATATCTCTATCATTATCAACCATTTTTTGCAATTTTGGAATTACCTTTTCTCAGTGATCAGTAAAAAATTAGTGCCTTGGACGAAAGTGACCATTCCTTGATATATTGGGACCAAATTAATTCAAGCTATTTTCGGATTACAACAATCATTAATCATCATAAAATAATCCAGCCAGACAACGGATTGAATAATTGTGATCATCAATCTGCATATTTAACTAACACGCATACTGCCTTAAATTTTTTATTTACTCTAAAGACTGAATCAAGTCCGGATTAACATTTAACGTCATCATAAGGACTAAACGGATTCATTGAAAGTCAAGACCAAGTTAAAATCAACTGAATTGGAAACAGTCTATTGTTTTATTTTATTGTCCAAACAAGATTTGAGAACAATTAACGGAAATAACATTTTTGACAAAAGCAGCATCTGAAAAGCAATCATTGTTGACTTTTACGAGTTTAGCCCTTTAATCATCTTATATTTACCATTAATCAATTATTACTCAGCAAAAGGAATATTCAATCAACATAGTTCAGGGTAAAAAGAAAAACTGCTGATAAATCAAATTCAAGATGGTGTTTGATCTATTTGGTTCTCTTCGGAGTATAACAAAGTTAGATCAAGTATGTATCGACAATAACGCATTCCGTCTTCATTACAAAGCTACCGTCATCCTTTTGGTTGCATCAAGTATTTTGGTTACAGGAAGACAATATTTTGGTGATCCGATAGACTGTATACAAAGAGATGATATACCGCAAAATGTTATGGACACCTTTTGTTGGATACATTCAACCTTTACCCTGCCCAATGCACTTACTAAAGAAGTTGGTGTAGACGTTATTGCCCCAGGAGTAGATAATTACAAGCCAGGAGAGAAAAAAGTTTACCATAAATACTACCAATGGGTTTGCTTTGTCCTCTTTATTCAAGCCATGTTTTTCTACGTTCCTCGATATTTATGGAAAATTTGGGAAGGTGGAAGACTACGAAGTTTGGTTTTAGGGTTAAACAACCCCGTCATTGGTGCTGAAGAGCGTGCCGATCAAATTGGTTTACTTACACATTATTTAAAGACCAATCTAAGATATCACGATTCTTACTTTTATTATTTTGTTGTCTGTGAGATACTCAATTTTCTCAATGTCATTTTCCAAATGTACCTTGTCGATGCTTTCCTGGGTGGTGCCTTTTCAACTTACGGTTTTGAAGTTCTTCGATACAGTGAAATGGACCCTGAAGAAAGAGTTGACCCAATGGTAAAAATCTTCCCTCGTGTTACCAAGTGTACCTTCCACAGATATGGTTCTTCTGGAGATGTTCAGAAGCACGATTCTCTCTGTATTCTTCCATTGAACATTATCAATGAGAAAATTTACATCTTCCTCTGGTTCTGGTTCGTCATCTTAGCCGTTATTTCTGGATGGGTCATTATTGAACGAATGGTCATCATCTTTTTCCCTCATTTCCGTTATCTTTACCTGCGATCAGCTGCTCGTTTAGCAGACCGTAATGATATTCGTGAAGTCTTGGATCACTCTAGAATCGGAGATTGGTTCATTCTTCACTTGTTGGCCAAAAATCTTGACTCTCTTCACTTCAGGGAGCTTGTCAAAGAGCTTCGAAATTCGCTTAGTGAAGAAGGCGAAAAATTTAGACCAAGAGATATCAATGAAACCGGATTCAGTTCAAAGCTATCATAAGCAGATGATAATAATCTTGGATGATTAGTTTTCAGTGTAAACATTTTTTTGATCACATGAAATTGTTTTTTTTATAACGAATTATTATTATCTTTTTGAACTCCTACAACAAAAATGAACCCACTATTTGTCTTTACGACTTCAATATCAAAATGCGGACGGATCTATCACCATTACCACCACAACAAACTTCAATCATACTATCATTGTCTTCATCTTCATCATCATCTAATAGTTACATCAAAGAAAGAAACAAAAGCCTAATTACTTTACAATTTTTGATTAACCAATATTTATATTCCAATACACTGGAACATATATATTTGTACGGAGCAAATCTTTACGCAACAAAATTTGAAATCCATACAAAGAAACCTTCAAGTAAAAATAAGGTATGACGATGAATCAGATTAATATCAAAGTGATTGTAACCATAGATATTTTATCTTTACAGTTGATATTTATACATATTTATACACAGAAAATATATCTATTTATTTAATGCATGAGAATTAAATTCAGGTATCATGTACATGGTACAACCATAAGGAGACATAAAAACGAGCTTCATATTTTCACCTTTGCCTTCTGTATGGACTCAAATTCGTTGCTTAATGATTTCTACAAAACCAAGAAAACTTTCAACTTAATCATTACCTAGATAATATCCTTTCAATTATTTCCTTTTCCTATTCAATTTTAGATAACGTCTTAGATATTTCCGTTTTTACCTTCAACCAGCTCAACATAATCCAATAATAATTACGACCACCGAGAACAAAAGCTTGATTGGAAACAATTAACTTCAATTAACTTTAACCATCATTATTGGCATCTGGTTGGATATCATTCATTGGTGATTGATTCTAGAAGAAACTTGATTGCTATTGCCCAAGTTAATCCAGAAATCAATCAGAAATTTATGGATCCAAACCAAACTCTGAAATTTTCAAAAATTGATGCTAGAAGTGCAACATCAAGCTATAAGTATCTATCATGATAACGTCACCTAATGTAATCTTTACATTAAAATCAATCCAGTAATGATGGTTGCAGTTGATTCAAGTCAATTTTCAAATTGAGCTTTTGGCATGAAAAAAACTTGAGCTTAACCCTTAAAAAAGACTCGAAATTTGTGCACACCAATCAATTGAATTGCATTTCCCTGTATCTTGGACGTTACTAAATTGGATTTTCCAAAATTCCTCTTCTCTCTTTCTCTTCCCTCTTTACCTGTTTCTTTGTAATGTACTTTTCTACCTGCAAATATTGTTTCTTTATGTTCAACTTTTTTCTCTTGATATTACATCGATTTATGGACCAACGAAATCAACTTAACAATGGACCAAAATTGGGACAACGAATTATACACCTTAACGGACAATCCAATCAACTATGCAAATACAATTATTAAGTGGCCAAAATCTTCATGATACATTCACAATATCCAATCCTGTGTAAAGACAAAGTAAAGCAAGAAATGGAAAGCTAAATTGAAAGACATCAGCATCAATGGAAGCGAATAATTTATTGGTTTTTCATTTTTCATCCTCAAAGAGCGGACACCAAGCTTCAAGCTTTATCTACAAGAAATTTATCTGGATTCAAAATCTAAACAACTGTACTGCTTCCAAAACCTGTTGACTTTTACATCGAAAAATGATGAAATTACCTGAAAAATGGCAAAAGATCATTGAATCTAATGATGCATATATTATTGATTAATAGATTTCAATTAGCTGAAATAAAATCTTGAAAACTTCCAAAAAAACGAAATGCCTATCAACCAGATCAATTTATTAATAGACATAGATACAAAGTACAATTTATGTATCCGTGTATCTCTGTATTAACCAGCAATTTAATCTAATCACAAATTTAAATAACATTACAATGAAAATAATGATTACCATCACCAATAATGTTAATGTCATTACTTGGTTATTGTTTTTAATTTTAGCATTATGCAGGACTAATTTGTATTAGTTTATTTGTTTTGTAATAGGTTTTACCATTAAATTAACTTCCGAGCTTCCTTTGCCTAATCAAATTGACCCATAATTGATCATTAATGGCCCATTAATTATAAGCTATTTTTTCAATTTAAACTGTTAAAGGTAAAGTAGGAAGAAGCCATTTTGAAATACTCATTGAAAATGGCGTGAAGAAGAACCTTAAACTTGCACTTTGGTTATTAAATTTTTGCTCATCTCACTACCAATCAAACACTACCTGAAATTGTTTGGTTCCACTCAGATATGGTTGAAACTCATGGTGATTGATGAAATGATAATGACATTAGCAACCGTTAACCATAAAAATGTCTGTTAGATCAAGATATTTCACTGAATCTAACCAATTTAGGCTAATGCTTCAAGAATGAATTTGAAATTATCTAACATTCCAAAGATCATTCTCAATTGTTTACCTTAAGAGAATCGTACAAGTCTATTGAAAATTCAAGCCTTCATGATCTGAAATATGAGACATGAGATATTTAACAATCGTTTGATTTACAATAAAATGTTGACTTTAAATTTGTCTTCATTTTTCATTTACAATTCAGTAGCATTATATTATTGAACGTGATTCAAATATGTATTGGTTAAAACATGATACAGCAATTATTTGATTTGATCCATCATCATTACTGATCGTTTCAATTAGCCAAATATTGCTAAACGTTGATAGAGTGTAAATGTGACTGTAAACAGGTCATAACCACCATGAATGTCACCAAATCGATTCCAAATTTGAATGATAATGCCCATTATTTGGCTATTTCACCGTTTCTCTGGACATTTTCTTGCTCCATCCAAAATCTTAAATGATTCGAGACGAAATTAAGCCACAATTGTCGCATTGGTGGTGACAAGTTTCCCACACACTGAATGTTGAATTCATTCAATTGTTAAATTAGAATCAAAGTTGACTGGTTTAAATAAAACGCCACTTCTCACATTATGCTTCATTGGTCTATTCAATTGGTAGCTTCCATAATAATCTAAAAATTTGAATGTTGCCTTTTTTGTCTTTTGTTTTTTCTTGTTTGAACCAGTTTTTGTTGCCGTTGATCATTAACTTTATGATTATTCATAGACTAGTTGATTTCACTTCCTGAAATTAATTAAATTTATTTATTTAACTCTTCTTTATATCCATCTATGAGAAAATAATGTAAAATGAAAAAACAAACGAACCATTAAAAAGGGTTTGCTATTAAGTGTTGAAGAAAACATTACTCACCATTATGAATTGTTGCCTTTCGCGCGCCATTCAAGGTTTGTTTGTTTTTTTCATTTTATAAATGTTGTTAATTCAATTAAATTATCATCACTTTGGATCGAATCGTATTTATGGTGATTAATTAAACTAAGTGTTCTTTACTTATTGAGAAATATCACCAGTAATGTTGTTCAATTCTTGGTATTAACAGGATTTCTTTTGGGTATGTAAGCTTCGCTATTTTGCCTTTTTGTGATGTAAAAATAGACCTACTTTTCTAATTCCTCTCTTTCTCTCTATTTATCTCTATTTTCATTTTTAATAGCGATGTTTACTGATAATCAAGACATTCAAGATTACAGAGTGACTCCAATAATGATCCCATTGTAATTATCAACAGCAAGAAACCATCGAGAAAGCTTTCCTTTGCCTTCTATAACATTTGTAAATATTGTATGTGCGGGATCACACGTTAGCCGGATGAAATGTTTACCTTACGTGATGGTAAGAAAGAAACATTGTTTACCATGAAAGGAGGAGACTGAGGAAGGACGATAGAAATGGAAAGCGAATGGAATGAAGAAATACAAGAAGAGAAAAGACATTGTCGCAAGAAGGACGACAGAGAAATTACAAGGGTGAAAGTAGAAAAGGATGGCTTTTTTTGTCACATTGCTTTCGATTATTATCATCATGTTACTGATGATTAGACACTTGTCTTACCCAGACCCGCCTATCAATAATCTGCCTCAGTAATACTGTTTTTGGCTTAGCTGGTTTGCAAACGAAAAAGTTAGTATAAATAAAGACAAATCTGGCAAAAAACAAACTAATCCCAAATCAAACAGACCATCAAATCTAACAAAAATTTAACCCATTATTTACCTTCATATTTCTGTTAATCCATCTTCTCTATTTAGTGCTTGTTGATTTCAACTTTTCATTTCTTTCCTTTTCATCTCTTTATGTACTTATGTTAAAAGATCAGTCTCTCGGTTGCAAAGAGTTTCTCTCCAACCTCATCAGTTTAATTGGAAGCCGACGAGCCAATTCGGGTAACATTTTGGAACTTCGAGTGTTGACCAAAATCCATTATACCCCTTGAACCTGCCCCAATTCAAACATCAACAACGATTGCAACAAGTAAATCTCTCATTTGTTTATTTCTGAATCTTTCTCTTACTCTCACCAATTGCATGTCCTACCACCTACCCGTCATCGCCGTCATCCTCATTCAGGCCAAATGTGAAGGTTGCTTGTTTGCTTTATTTATATGTTAACCTCACAATCTCTCTTATTTTTACCCCCCTGGTTATTAGGATTCTGCTTTTCAATCACTATTCATTCCGTGTCCCATTTTTCATTGAAAAATGATGTTGAAGCAGTGCTGAAAAAAGCTGTAGCTAAATCATGTATCGTCAGTCAAATTGATTGAACAGTAATGTCATTTAGTTGTAATATCATGCTTCTATTATGTGTAATCCAGGACTTCGAATCTCCAACAATAATATCCTCGATTAGCATTTATCTTCCTCGTAGTCTTCCTTCCTACCAAATATCCCGTTCCAAATAGATCACTCCACCAAAATCTGAATACCGTTTATTCAAGATAAAATCAGCTTTCATCATCATGACACTGCATTTTGTAGATTTTGTGTTCCACTATTTGCTTACGATGCTTTCAATGATTATAAAACTGAAATACAACCAGAAATACTGAAAACCATTTTGAGTCCAAAGTAATAAATTAAACAGATCGACAATATTGATGTTATAATCATGCCTAAGGTCAAGCATGATCATCTTCAAAACGTCAGAACAGATTTTCTCTTCAGATTAGCTCAATTAATGTTTCCAATTTTTCACATGAAAACCAATTGATTGGATATTTTAACTTTCAAACCAAATGATGCATCAAAAATTTACATTAGTTAATTTATCAATACCATCCAATTTGAGCATTTTATCTAAATTGTATTTACAGTAAAAATCAATCAAAACAACAATCAAAGCAACCAATTTGTATTGATTTGAACTGTCAATACAATGGTTCAATACAATTAAGCTTGATTCAATCTACTTGAGATAAAGCAAATTTTACAACTCGCCAATTTAGAGCCTTTCAAATTGTCTCATGTTTACTTTCATTTCTTCGTTGAATTGTTCCGTTGATAAATTGTTTAACTTCTCAAAACGATTATGATTAATTTTCCGTTAATCTTCCTTTATTTTACTCTGTAGGGTAAATAATTTTTACTATCCATTGTTTAATCCACCTTCAATTTTACAATCAACAAGCTTTATGTATTTTTTTCTTACCAATTTGTCATGATGTTTAGTCACTCATCATTTATTTTGTTAAAATATCTAACAACTTTTTGTTATACCTTTCAGGTTACCCTTTTACTGAAGGATTTGCTTCAAAACAACAGGAAAATTTACTGAAAATCACTAACATAGCAGATGAAACAAGTTCACTGATTAACTGGCAAACCAATTTTTCTGGATTACATTGAATCGACCAATTTCATAGTTGATAGCTTCATTGTTCAAAACAGTTGAAAACAGCCCGAAAAACATTTCATTTTAAATGCCTTTAGCCAAGAGCCAAGTTTTGATTCTATCAAATCTTCATCATAGGTAAGCATCGATTAAAATTGATTTTTAAATTGAAAGGAACGTATTTAATCTTGTTTTTGTTATTTTATGTAATTCCAGCCGAGAACCATTCATCGAAGGTACAAATTGTCATAAAATGGACGTAATTATGAAAACATCATCGATAGAAACTGTTTCTCCAGTAAAATGCTCAGCTTCCCAGTCATCATCAATATCTACATTAAAACACCAATCAAAAGTGAATCCATGGGAGCCGATGTTTAAAAATTACGAAGCATTCATTGACGCTCATACGTGTTAAAATGTAAAACCTGAAAAGTCCAAAAATCCCAATCATCAAGCTATCATGGCTGATTCACCAACATAATCATTATCATATTCATTCTACCTTATGCTTACATAACTTTGATTAATGAACATTTTCTCTAGTTTTAATTGATGTCAATTAGCTTGTGAATCTTGTGATTGTTGAGCCCTTTTGTTCATCAAAAGGGCGTCCTGAAAACATGTACAAAAAGCTGTTTTTGCAACGTTGCTAATTACAATTTACGGAGTGCTGGTTACTTAATGGTTAGGATATGGAAGAGAGTCAAGAAGGCAAGAATAAGAAACCAAAGTTGGGTTAATCAACATGAAACCTGATTTACCAGTTGACAATCACTTTTGATTTTGAACCAAATTTTCAAACCAACTTTCAAATGGCAAGAAAAAGGATGAAATGAAAATCACAAATTGTTCATTATTAGCTCTAGATCAATCAATTGAATGCTCAAGATATTTAATAAATGTAATTTATCTTATTCCATTCTGTATTAATTAATTGAAAAGGGAAATGTAATCATTAGCAAACAAATTATGTATTAGGTTGATTATTTAATTGAAAGTAATATTAGCTTGAAGCTGTGAACGAGTCAAAACATTTATTAATATTCAATGATTGAAGTGATAATAAAATAAGCTTTAACTTTCAATTAAGTGGAAATATTGATTGTTATTGTCGCCTTTAATCTTGTCGAGAGTAAATTATTATGATAATCAGTATCTTCGAGTGAATCTATGTAGTCAAAGTTAATCAAAGGCGAGATATAAGTTATAATTAAACCAATAATCTGAATAACAAGTCACACGGCAAGTGACAATTCATCTTAATAGTTATAAGCTCTTAAGCAATAACTACAATCAAGGATGATTTAACCATTCTTCCGACCCTTCTTATGATAATTGGATATTTTGAGATTATTTAATGATTTGCTGAAAATAATAAATTGTAAACAGTAATTGTTGTAACAAGTTAGATGATCAATTCCGATAGATTGTACTAAGCAAATGTTGATATCCAAAAGTATTGAGTTGAAAGGATAACAGGATGAAGATTGAGTTCAAATGATCAAAGATTATTAAATGCTAAATTATTTTCCAATTGTTAACCAATTAGCTGAGGAAACTATCTAATAGTTGGTCTAGATTAGAGTCTCTAGATCAATAGACTAATAGGCAGCCCAGCCTCTTCGGCCTGTGTTTTACAATTGATTCACAATTGTTTCCAATCAAATCTTGATCAAATACAATAGCAGTAATTGTCTTTATCTGCTTAAAATTCATGAGAAATCAGTTAGCCTAGTTAAGTACAATTTATGCGAGTAAATTTTCAATGGATTACTACAATTGTAATTGCGATGAGCCTCTTTTCACTCATTTTGTTTTGTATCACAAAAAATTGCTTTTGACTCTGTTTTGAATTGTCTTAATTTGCTAATTTAGATTATATGACAATTGAATACTCATAAAACCTAATTGTTTTATGGTAAAAATTTTAACTCTTATTCAGATGATTTGGGTGTTAGTGACTTTATTGTGAGTTAGCTTCAGGATAATGGCATTTCATTTCATAGATTTATTGTGGTGTTACTTGAAAATTGACTTGAACCATTTTGAAATGAAATGAGCAAGATTATTTATTTGATCAGAATCGACGTTTACATTGAAACGGTAATTGTTCTGAAAGGTACATGAGTACTCAACATTCAATTTTTTAGGGAAAATTTGCAACTTTCATTGTATTTTGTAATCATTTACTTGATGGATGTATTAGGAGCTGATCTGAATTGTAAAAGGATTTCTGATGAGTCAGTCAAATCTAAATACAACAATGTGTTTGTAATTGTTTTTGATTGAATAATTGTGATTAAGTAAAGATTAAGATTATTTCACACCGTTTTGATTTTATCTCATTAATTGTTACAGAAAAGTATTTAAATGAATGTGTGACACCTGGACTTGTCATATTGATTTTACGTGATCAACACAACAATTGATTAAAAATGATCCGAGGTTTAGTGATTTTAGCTCTTATTGCTACCGCTTTTGCTGGTGAGATAGACTTCAACGACTGTGGTGAGTAAACAAATTTTAATGTGTTTTCAATTTTCAAAGTTACAATTTTAGGTTATTAATCAACTTTCATTATTATTTTTCTTAATTAGGTGATGGAGTAAATGCTCCAACAAGCTTTGAAGTAGCTGGATGTGATGAAGCTCCATGTACGGTGGAAAGAGGAAATACATATGATTTTACCTTCAACTTTGATGCACCTGTAAATGCTGATGATCTGTCTGTCTCAATCAAAGCTAAAGTTTTCGGTGTTTGGATTCCATGGCCTGGTGCACCTAAACAAGTATGTGGCCAAGGAATCTCTTGTCCTCTTACATCTGGTAAAAGCTACACCTACCAATCAAAAATGACCATTCCTGTTGTTGCACCTTCAATATCCACTACAGTTCAATACACCCTCGCCAATACTGCCAGTGAAACTGTATTCTGTAACCGATTCGGTGTTAAAGTTGCTTGAATATCTGAACTTACTGTTATTCTGTAGATTGGTCGATTTCCTAAAAATTCGTATTAAATAAACTATGAGTATTTAAAAAGCAACCAAGCGTTCAAAATCAGTGCATTTTGTATTGATAACTGTGCCTAGGTAACAGTGAGACAAGTTTATAATGTGCTTTTGTAATAACAAGTAAATTGTTAAGTAATTATCCTTTTATTAACGTAACCTTTTTTAATCAATTGTCAGGTTTGATTAAAGCACACTTCTAGTTTATTTCATAGTTGTACTGTTATAGTGAAAAAATTGTTTTAACCAACTAGAGTTATAATACAATGTTAGTCAAGTTTAACATTATGGTGAAATTAAGGTTATGAGAATTTAAAATTGGTTTTTTGTATCATTGCTACTGCCAACTGGATTCTCAAACACGTTGAATGACCACACCATTACGTACAGGCAATTCCATCGTCATCACGAGGAAGATTTGCTCTTTCATAAGTAAGAAAATTATCGTGAATTCTCGTTATGGTTTCAGAGTCAGGGTGTAATCTGCACTGGGTCATCAGCGGGTTTGGGTTTACCTCAACGCAAACCCATGTTCAGCATAAAATCAAAAAACTTTTCTGAATCTGAGGTTTTGAGCTTCACATTTTTGCCAGCTGAATATGGCTTGATGAAAAAATCAAAAGTGCACCAGAATGTGATATTTGCTCGGTTTTTCAAAAATGTGCTTAATTGTTGACATTATTGAAACAAGAAACTAATCATAACGATAACAATTTAACTGACCAGAAAAACCTAATTGGTAAGTAATTCAACTGTGTATTCAATGATTATCCAAACCAACAGTATTTTGAATCAAACAAATGAGCTCGAGCGCAAATGGTCCAGATTTTCGTATTGATCCTTATTTGAAAATTTTAACAATGATGACAATGAAGTTGAAACAATATACGAATATGTATGTTGCGCCAATTTATTTAATGTTTCTTCAATTCTGCGAACTTTGGTTGAAACAAAAAGTATCTGCATAAGTCGTTATTTTTACCGGTTTTGCTGATATTTAAGGACTTTTTAAGTGTTTTATTTAGACGATGAATCTATTCACTAATCATGCACATCAGGTTTAGCATTACGATAATCACAGAAATTGTAAGAAAAATTTGCAAATTCAATTGTACATTTGTTGATCATTTGCCTGATGGATGCATTAGTATGTGATCTAAATTGTAACAGACTTTCTTATGAGCCAGTCGAAGTTAAAATACAAAAACAATGTTTGTTTTTGTCATTAAATACATGTGATGCACATGTATTTGATAGAAAAGTAACATTTAAGATTGAGATTATTTCGCACTGATTTGATTTTACCTCTTTAATTGTTACAGAAAAGTATTTAAATGAATGTATGACAACAGGACGAGTCATAATTATTTTACGTGCATATTAATAAACCAACAACTAATTGAAAATGATCCGAGGTTTAGTGATTTTAACTCTTATTGCTACCGCTTTTGCTGGTGACATAGACTTCAAGAACTGTGGTAAGTAAACAAATCGTAAGATTTTTTCAATTTTAGGTTATTAATCAACTTTCATTTTTCTTAATTAGGTGATGGAATAAATCCTCCAACAAGCTTTGATGTAGCTGGATGTGATAAAGCTCCGTGTGTAGTGCAAAGAGGAAAAAAATTTGATTTTACCTTCAACTTTGATTCACCTGTAAATGCTGATGATCTGTCTGTCTCAATCAAAGCCAATGTTTTTGGTATCTGGATTCCATGGCCTGGTGCACCTAAACAAGTATGTGGCCAAGGAATCTCTTGTCCTCTTGTAGCTGGCAAAAGCTACACTTACCAGTCAGAAATGACCATTCCTGATATTGCCCCTTCTATAACTGTTACAGTTCAATACACCCTCAACAATCCTGCTACCAGTGAAACCGTATTCTGTAATCGATTCCGTGTCAAAGTTGCCTGAACATCCAAATATCCTGTAAATCCCAAGTTCGTACAATTTGCTAGATTAAAGCACTTTTCTGATTGTCTAATTTTTAAGTTATGCTGTTTCGCTGAAAAAAGCTGTGCTGTTAAAATGCTAATCATAAATTGATTTCTTCAACAACACAAATATTTGATTATAAAGTTGTATTTGTAACATTAAGATCTTTAATGTTACTATAAATGTACAAAATTATGATTTCGGATTATGCTTTTCTGTAATTTAGGATGGGAATCTAATAAATGGTCATATTTTATCAGTAATTTATTGAACATCATGTTAAATTGAAAAATATAACAAAAATCGTGATAAATCGTTGAATATGTTTATGATATTGCGATATTTATAATTTATTAGAGGTTACAAGGAGTTTTGTTAAAAGGATTACGAGCTGGACTTAATAATTATTGTACCTTTTTCCTTATTGTATCTTATTATCATCTTAGATATCACTTATTTCATATCAAGAAATTTTCATCTCCAATTTCAGTCTCTTCGTAACTTGACTGTGATGAGTGTTTATAAATGAATGTGTGTTTGTGCGCGATATTTTATTTGAAGTCGATGGGATTAAACCAGCAACCGAGGCACTGGTAATGCTTGTGCATGTGATTCGTTTAATATGATGCATTACTGATTCTCGTTTTTTCTTGTCCTGAACCATTTTGAGCTTCATTTGTAATATACATTTGTATAACTTGTGTATACAGTTATCAACAATTAAGTCCGATCTCTAAACTTTCTGAATTGAGTGTACAATGAAAAATTTGAAACTGCCATTGTATTTTCTGATCATTTACTTGATGGATGCATTAGTAGCCGATTTTGATTGTAATAGGATTTGCGATGATTCATCGGTGATGAGCCAGTTGAATCTATTTAATTAATAAATACAACAATGGGTTTGTGATTGATTTTAATTGTATAGCCGTGATAAAGATTAAGATTATTTCACATTGACTTGATTTTATCTCTTTAATTGTTACAGAAAGTATTTAATCGAATGAACGGAACTTAGACGAGTCATAATTATTTTACGTGCATATTAATAAACCAACAATTGATTGAAAATGATCCGAGGTTTAGTGATTTTAACTCTTATTGCTACCGCTTTTGCTGGTGAGATAGACTTCAACGACTGTGGTGAGTAAACAAATTTTAATGTGTTTTCAATTCTCAAAGTTACAATTTTAGGTTATTAATCAACTTTCATTATTATTTTAATTAGGTGATGATATCAATTCTCCAACAAGCTTTGAAGTAGCTGGATGTGATGAAGCTCCATGTACGGTGGAAAGAGGAAAAACATATGATTTCACTTTCAAGTTTGATTCACCTGTAAATGCTGATGATCTGTCTGTCTTAATCAAAGCTAGAGTTTTCGGTACTTGGCTTAAATGGCCTGGTGCACCTAAACAAGTATGTGGCCAAGGAATCTCTTGTCCTCTTGCATCTGGTAAAAGCTACACTTACCAGTCAAAAATGACCATTCCTGATGTTGCACCTCCTAATTTTGCCACTTCAGTTCGGTACTTTCTAAACAATGCTGCTACCGGTGAAACTGTATTCTGTAATCAGTTCCGTGTTAAAGTTGCCTGAATAGCTTAATATCCTGTAATTCCCAAAATCGGCCAATTTCCTAAAAATTTAAATCAATAAAAGAGTATTATTTTAAAAATTCACCAGAAAATGGTTATTTGATATCGATTCAACTCGACTCGAGTGACAACAAAATCACTAGAACGGGATGAAGAAGACAAACAAAATCTAAAGACATGAATTTGTTACTTATGCGAATTGTATTCATCCAACTGAATTATCAATTATAAGGATAAAAAGCCATGTTTTGTGCATTTATTTCTTTAACACTGAACCAAAAAGCAGCCACACGAGAAAAGTCCGCATCAACCGTTATTACTACCAGTTTCACTTTCAAGCTATAATATCCAACAAGGGAAGGTTCTCAGAAGCTACGAAAATTTATACCTTTTTGGACTCAAAATGTTGTAATGAGTCAAGATACTTTGGGAAATTACTATTCAATCATTGATTTCTTTAGAAACAGAAATAGTTGATTATATTAGAGATCCATTGAATGGTTATGACAAATTGATAAATACTTACGGTCTCGGGTTAAGGTTTACCGTATTTATTGATGGAAAACTTAAAAATCGTAATATTTTATCGATAACTTGTTGAACATTGCATTAAAACATGTTAAATTCAAAGATATAGCAATAAATTGGCGATAAATTGTTGACTATTTTCAAAATATTGTGCTACAATATCAGTATCTACAATTTATTGGAGATCACAAGGTGTGTAGCAAGGATTACGAACTGAACAGTAACATCAGTATTTTTCCAGAGAGAGTTTGTATGAAAAATTATTAGCGAAAAATGGAAATAAGATTACTAATGAATTAACAGGTATCTTATTATCATCTTATTAGATATCAATTGTTTCATATCAAGAAGTATTCATATTTAATTTCAGTCTCTTAGTAACTTTATTATGATGCGTGTTTATAAATGAATGACGTGTTTTTGTTGGCATATTATGGAGTCGATTAGCTTAAACCAGGAACTGGTAATGGCACTCACATTAGAGCGTATTTTCGTTTTTTCTTTGCCCTAACCTTTTGGAGTTTGATTAAAGCTCTCTCGAAACTTTTGTAACCAACTTAAATCTAACTATTAGGAAAAATTTGAAACTTCCATTGTATTTTCTGATCATTTACTTGATGGATGCATTAGTAGCCGATTTTGATTGTAATCGGATTTGCGATGATTCATCGGTGATGAGCCAGATGAATCTAAATACAACAATGGGTTTGTAATTGTTTTTGATTGAATAATTGTGATAAAGTAAAGATTAAGATTATTTCACACCGTTTTGATTTTATCTCTTTAATTGTTACAGAAAGTATTTAAATGAGTGTATGAAACCTGCACTTGTCATATCGATTTTACGTGATCAACACAACAATAGATTAAAAATGATCCGAGGTTCAGTGATTATAGCTGTTATTGCCACCGCTTTTGCTGGTGAGATAGACTTCAACGACTGTGGTAAGTAAACAAATTTTAATGTGTTTTCAATTCTCAAGGTTATTAATCAATTTTTAAAATTAGCATTATTTAAAAGTAATCATGCTTTCATGATCAATGCATTTTGTATTACTAACGTACTATTTGCGCCTAGTTAACAATGAGACACGTTTATAATATGCTTTATAACCAGTTAATGGTCAAGTAATAACGTAACCTTTGTCGTTTTAGTCCCTAGGTTCAATTATAAGGCTAGATTAAAGCACACTTCTAGTTGTATTTAAGTTTCAATGTTACGCTCAGAAAAATATCACTGTGAATATAATAACCAAGCATTCTTTAGAACCTAGAATTCTGATGTATTAAAATCTGAAATTCCCTTTTTGGTAAATGAATTTAAGCGAGTCAAGTTTAACATTAAAGTGCATAAAGGCTATAAAAAATGTTTTTTTTTGTATCATAGCTGTTGCTAACTTACCCAGTGTAAACAGTTTATTGATTAACAATTGACTAATTACTGGCAGCTTACCTGATCAACTGATTAATGATTGAAAATGACTATAACAATTGTTAAATATATCAAAGAGTTACAAATGTATTGCTTTGTAACTTTACTTTAACTGGAAAAAATTTCAGAGTTTATTGATATTTTGATCCTATTCAAACATCAAAATACGCTATTATTGATATACTCACCAGGAAATGGTTATTTGACATCGATTCAACTCACCTTGTAAACAAAAACATTAGATTCACTTCGAACTGGACTAACAAAGAAGAAGAAAAGAAGACAAAGATATGTAACAGGGTGTTACATATTCGAATTGTATTGATCGAACTGAATTATGAATGATAAGAAACAAAAGGATAAGGATCCCAACATGGATCAAAATATTAACCCTTATTCACCCTTTTGTTGAAACAAAAAGTAACCACACGAGAAAACTCCGCATTAACCGTTACTATTACCGGTTCTCTCAAGCTGTGATATTTACGGTTTCTTAAGTGTTTAATTTTTAAAATTGTTTTTACAGTTTATTAACAATTAATTTTAATTTTTATTTCTCATTTAGATGATGATTGTATTTACTTATCAACAGTGGTCATTCCTGTGACTGTATCTTCAATCTTCACCTATGTTCAATCATTTCTTAGCTGTCTTGTGGAATGGAGTCGTCTTGTGTTTTCGGTTTACCATTCGGTGATATGATTGATTGGATGTTTGGTGGACTTGGAATTAAGTTCAAAGTGAATTTATTATTACAATTGGAAAAGGCTTTAATCAAAGATCAACGAATGAAAAACATTCTGAATAAAACGAATACAAGAGATACATTATAGACAAGGGATGAATATTACAGTTGAAAATGCAATTGCTGGTTTGGATTGATCATCTTTCCGTGTTCAACTTGGCGCAATTTAAATGGTTATTTAATTTTCTCTCTTCATGCGATAACGATACCCAAAAAAGGCGCCAATCAAACAGATGATGGCAATAGAACCGGTAATCACTGTGATTGTCACACCAATGCCCAAAGCTGAACTAAAGAAACTGGATTCTTTACAAATTTCAAACTCACCAAGGCACTTTTTCTCACTAATTGTTGAATAAAATTCATCTCGCTGTTGACTGTAAATCCTTTTGGCTTGCAGTGAACAGAATCGTTCAACCTTATTCTGGATACAATTGATTATATCACAGTTAGATGAACAAAAGAAATCCATTGTTTCCTTTGATGATTTATTCTCATCGTAACAATATCTTGTTTGCTCAATGATCTTCTTGCGGCAAAGGGAACCATATTCACCTGGTTTCATTGTGGATCGGATAAAATCTTCAAATATTTCAAAGGATATTTGTTCAAAATCAGAAAGTATTTCATTATCTTTGGCACTGGAATTGGTTTCATTAACACTCAAATGGGCACAATTGACACCATAAGCAACCAGAAAAGCGACAATACATTGAATGTAAAGTGAGGAAGCCATTGCTTTTGTCTTACAGCTTGAGTAAGCCAAAGTAAAATGATGTTGATCACAATAAAGACGTAAATGGCAGGCTGATTTATTGATTCCTAATCAACTTGGTTTCTGATCAACAATTGAATTTACTGTTGATTGTGATCGACTATTTTAATGAACGCAACACATTTCATATTGAATGCTACTTCAATTCATGAGAGGAAGTATATTAAATTAAATGAATAAAAGGCTAGATAACAAAGAAAACGCTGGTTGATATGTCTTCTTAATCAGTCACTCATTAAGGAAAAATTATGATCATTAGCAGTAATGCCAATATTAAGGCCAATGTTATTACAATATTGAGAAGATGGTTAACCGATAAAATTGCAATCTATTTTTAATTGAGCTTCTTCAAAATAATGGTCTGATAACAATCAATCGCTTGTAATTTTTCAGTCAGTCTCTCATCACGGATTCAATCATAACCAAACAATATGACATAACAATGATTATAATTTTATGTTTTCACATTTGGTTAAGATGTGAATTTGTCATAAAATATTTCCATTGTGTTCAATATTTACCAATGAATTTTGTGAAGGAATAATGATTTGAATTGTAATGAAAAGTTGAACAAATCTTAAAATTGATCCAGAAAAATTGAGTGATAAAAGCAATCAAAGGTCGCAAACCTTTTCCCAGTCAATACACTGTATAATTGAACATTTTACTGAACTCTCTATCTTGAACTTGTGATTGTTTTAATTAGATATTTGAAAATAATCAAGTCTCAATAATCAGTCTCAAAAGACAGCCATATCTGATCAATTAGTAATGACAAATAATTGTTTGTGCAGTTTGATTGAAATCTTATAAACAAGAGTTGAGGTTGATCAAAAGTCATTGAAGCAGCTTTAATCAATAATACACGTTTGATTTGGATGCAACCGGATTTAATAAAAGCTGAAAATATAAGATCGCAATTAGATAATCTAAAAATATGATATCAACATCATTGTAATGATTGAAAAAGTTAAATCAATAGACATTCGGACAAAAGTTGATTGCAATTCAAAAAAATCCAAATCTTAATTTTGGGTTAAACAAAGCGCCATCTCTTAATTTAATTACAAACTAAGGATAACAACAGTCTGGATAATTTGTTTGTTATTCTGATTTTTATTCAACTAACAATCTAGATGATCTGAAATGTAAGGAATTTTATTGTCTGTTATAAAGTTGATAGATTTGTTATTGTGTCCATGATTAGCTGAACTAATTTGTAGTTCTTAAGTAACATTTAGTCAAAGTGAAATTATATTTTCTAATACTTTAAGCCTAAGTAACACGTTATAATCATGATTTGCTTTTAACAGACTCGGAGAAAAATAAATTGTTATTCAATAGGTGTTACAGCAATGCTAATAAGTGTTTCGTAATCAACTTTAAAACAAGCAATTCAAGTAAAGATGCTGCAGTTAATTACAATGGATACTTGATAATATTAATGATAACGAGATGATGGAAAAGTAATAACAAGATGTTGATCATTTTGATGTTCATGATGAGGGCTCAAGGATTTCGTTTGCTGTTTACATGGTTTAAACCCTAGGAAAGCTGGACTGTAACGAGACAAGGACAAGTTGATTGTTATCACAAATTGAAAATCAAATGTCTGTAATGTTTGATTTACCTGAAGAATCCAGAGACAGATGACAGTTCAATGGACAACCAGAAAGCAGAGACGAAATTGAAGCTGATGGTGGTTTTGGTGTATTAAAGGTTAAACATTTTAGATGAATAAGCAACTATCCTTTAAAACATGTAAGTAAAACATGATTACTTGATTGTGACAATGTTTTGATTGTGAATAAAGAGGATTACACTGAAGGATAATTCACAATAAGGAAAAAGGCCTGCAAATAATAAGGTCTAGTGACTAAAAATTTGACCCAGGTAACAATAATACAAATGTCAGTCATAGTGATGTGGGCCTATTGTCAAAAATAAACATCTTAACATTTGATTCAACATGAAGATGCAACACTTAAAAGGTTGTATTAAATGTTATAATAATGTAGGTAATTTTGATGTGAAAAGCCTAACATTTTTACATCTCAATTGAAGCAATTTTTACTGGTTAAGCTTTAAAATTGATACAATTGTGATCTTAAATCTTGTTTCTCATCCTTTTCATCTAGATTTTCATTGTGATTAACATTGGATTGTTATTTTGACTGTCAATTTGATTGTCACTTTGACCAGATAATTTATTCAATAACATAAACTGAGATGGATTCAAATTGGATTTCAATGGATTTTAAAGTGTAAAAAACCAGAAAATAAAATACAAAGTTGGACCTTGAATTGCTAAGATAAATTTTCAAGGTAATTTAAAGATGATTTGTACTTGAAATGGTTCACCATTTGATTAATTGTACTTAACGACAAGCAGCAATCAATCCAAGCCAAGCATTTATCACAATTGAAACAATAGCAAAGAAACGGACAATAAATTAAAAACTGGTTAACTTGAATCTTGATGGCAGTTAATCAATAAGAGTTTTTCATCAGCTAAGCCGGTTATTTAACAATTTAACAAATTGATCTGATTTTCTGGTTAGTTTATCAAGATGAATCTTCCTAAACTGATGGCAATGGCAAATGGTTAATCAATATTTCTTGTAAATCAATTGGCAAGTCAAAGGCTGATCTGTAAATCAAACAATTACAGAGACTAATCTATTACAGTATTATGATTGTCAATATTAACCAAGGTTAATTCAAGGTTAATGATGAATAATAAATTTAGGAAGTTGATTGAATTTTAATTTGCCTTGAATTTTGATGTTTAAACGTTTCGCTGTTAATCTGTTAACTGATTGACTTTTTCAGTAAAACTTGTTGTATCTTGATGCTATCAGCTTAATTTATAGTCGAGTCAACTTTAACCATTACAATTACACTCATAGCTGCACTTAAGGCAACAAATCGGTCAATTTGCTGGTCAGTGTATATTAATTGTAAAGCAGCTCATTGGCTTCTGATGTGATTTGAAAAAAAAATCATTGAGTTTTTACTCTTAAAATGTTTTGTTTTGATCTGAAGCTTGCACTGATTCATAATTAATTTGGGTTTAACCTGAGTTCATTACTACCTCTATTGATTTCGATGTCGAACTAAATTAAATCTAATTTTTTGACAACAAGATTATGATTTGAATTGTTGAATAAGGTTGAAATTTTAGCTATTTGGCTACTGTCTTCAACCAAATGCAATGTTAACTGGCCAAGATGTAAACACACCATTTTGCTGAGTCAAATAATGATTTAACAATAATTTATCTTGACGATGATGATTATTGTGGTGATTATGCTGAGAAGACCATAAAAAATGAACTAAAATTCCTAATAAAATTAAATTCTATTTCCGTAATAATGGAATGAGTGACTTTTCATTTCAATCTTTCTGTGAATCATTCACAATGATTTAATACTTATTGACTCCATTTGCTTTATGTTTGGGCCTACTATCAGGCTAATATCCTTATATTTTTATGATTAAACAAATTTAAATAATTAAACAACATTAAAAATACCAAAGACGGTAATTTGCTAATTGCCGCTCTTTTCATTAAAAATCAACCAATTATTTTGCTTCCCTCGCTTTTATCTTGTGGTTACCTCAGCGGTTAAAGTTTAAGAATAAACCTTTTCACTCTTCGTTTTAACTTGTGTTGCTTCGTGTTTATTATTATTAATTGTGACCAATATATTTATATCCATTGTTTGTTAATTTAATTATTGATCAACCTTAAGTCATCTATTGGACCTAAATTAACCAGGCCTCACAATAGGGTCCCAATCAAAAGATTACAGCAACGAGAAGGAGTCTGCCAGGGAACCTTCAGAAATGGGTTACTCTGTCCAATACTTCTCTTGCGTTAAAATTTTCCTCGTTTTTTTCAATTTCCTTCTATGGGTAAGTAATTATCTCAATTAATAACCAATATTATCTAACTGTAATCAAGATTGATTTCTTGACAGGCTCAAATTACTGACCTCAAGCAATTGACAAAGCATTAGCTCTTGTCAGGCAGTCATTTGTCTTTACTGTAACTTGATGTTATTACAATATGCTGTCAAGATTGATTTTGATTATGATTTGAATTTAAAACAAACACGATAATCTAAAAATATACCGAAATATTGAAATTTTTTACCTCTTCATGATTGTCTTTCAGTGTTCAGGGATGACATTGATAGGAATTGGACTCTGGTTTCGTATCGATCCAAAAATGTACGAACCAACGCTGTACATTGACACGGAAAATTTCATTAACGTTGGCTGGATAATGATGTTTAGTGGATTGGCGATTGTTATTATATCAATTATCGGATGCATCGGAACTCTAACAAATTCAACCTGTAAATTGGGCACAGTAAGCATAAACATAATCTAAAAGTCTAATCTTTAACCAGATTTTACTCTTATCTTGTCCATGCTATTTCGCAGTACATTTTCATTATGGCTCTTTTAATTGGACTGGCGATTGCCTGTGTGGTTCTTGCTGCAACTCATGGTTTCGGTGAAAGAGTATGTATTCATTTAATCAACATTCAACCAAAAGGATCAACATTTTTCTGAATAAATTGTAGCTGTCATTATGGTTGCTCGAAAAAAATGGGAAATAGTTGCAATGTCCTTCAGAGTTGAGCAAAAAAATTACAACTCAGGGTAAACATGAACTTTATCATGTTGTCCTTGGACCATCTTAGATCATGCCATGTGAAAAAGCACAAATTGGTTGAATTTTGATGCCTTTTTCATGGCTGTTAATCACATTGAGATCACAGTTTTATTCAACTTACAAGTTAGATCGTTAGACTGACAAGTAACATTCATTGGATGAGTCTAAATGTTTTTGTTTTGTCCAAAACAAAATACATAATCATCATCATTTTACCTAAAATTATGCGCTTTTTTATTCCTCAACTATTCAGTTAATAATGATTCCACTATTTGATCATCATTCTGATCTCATTTTAATGACTCTGTGAACAAAGTGTCACCCACAAACATACAGAACAGCCTGTAAACTGGTCTCATCTAGCCCACATAAAGATGTTTCCCATGAGTTTCATTAAATCGTAAACACACTGAAATTGGTTGAATTTTGATGAAACCAGCTAATCAGGTTCTATTAAGACACCTTTTCCCTCATCATTTCTCGTATCAGCACAACCAGATTGACTTGTTTCATCAAACTATTAAGTGCTCTACTGTATGCCAATCTTTATGCCAATCTTTCCACTAAACACATATGAATACATTAAGAATCCGAGTCAAGAAATGAACTATTTCCAAACAATTACAATCATCTTTCAAGTATCGATTTGACATTAATTTTCTTTTCTTTTCTTCTTTATCAGCTGGAATATTATGTAACTCAACAAGTTTTGATTCAGATACAGCAGAGGCCATTTTCAGAAAGAGCTCGTGAATTGCTTGACTTTATCCAGGTTAAGGTGGGTTGATGTAAACTTTCACTCAATGTTTCATTTCTAACCAATTTTGTTTTACCTTAAATCTAGTTGAAGTGTTGTGGAGCTGAAAACTTCAATGATTATCATCGATATGGATTAGAAGTTCCTGTCTCATGTTATCGAGAACAAGCCAATTTCATCAATCAAGAGGTTAGCTGTCAACTAAAAATGAAATGAATAGCTATTATGATAATATAATACATTTGAAAGCGACAGACAAAAAAAGATATCCATTCAATTCAAGACAACAAGACATCAAAACAAATGGATGATGATTCTGAATGAAATGTATATCTTTTATGTTTGCAAATTTGATCATTCAAACAGTTGACTTATTCATTCTTTATTTAAATTCCCTTTTTTTTACACTTTTAATCAGGGTTGTGGTCGTGTTTTGGGACGATTTTATGATTTAAGAGGAGGACTTGCACTTGGATTGAATGCATTCACTGTAATCATTGAGTTTCTTTGCCTCATTTTTGCACTTTCACTTTTCTGTGTAATTAGACTTTCCGATCTTGATGATTAATATTCCAATTGATTACAATCATCTCAAGACACTTTCACCATTGGCCTGTCATCCATCCAACCGTCCAATATTCTGACAAGATTAATCATTAGTCAATATGTAATGGAGGCCTATTTTTTCAATCAAATTTCAAGCCAAATCTTCCAAACATTCAAATATCCTTGAATTCCAAGCTTATAATCCATTCTATTTTTCATTTTGTACATATTACTATCATGTATCATGTAATATTTACATTCAAAGCACAACAAGTGAAATTTACAAGCCTTAGCGTTGATATGGCCAAATGTAGTCTCAAGTTTGGTATCAATAATGAAAACAAATGGAAACATTGTTCACATTTATATTCATGATTGCTAATCATAATGGTGATTACTTTTTGGTTTCATGATTAGCAGACAAAAGTGATTTCCCTGTGAAATGGCATCTTCATCTCACCTTCAAATCCTAAGGCTATTGACTGTCAACAAGAGACAATTTGACGAATCTGGTTGTAACCCGAAAACCAGCAAGAGAAACAATTTTTTCTCGGTTGTATTGATCATCCGTGCAAATCATAACTATGTATTAACAATAGCAAATTCAAAGCTAATAGTGAATTTTGTCTGTAAATATTCCCAGAACAAGTAAATTGTTGATCAACAATACCAACACCAACATCATTATCATCATCATTCTAATCTCATAGTCACTGATGTGCATATTTTTGTACCTTAGCCTTTATTTTCACATTTTTTTTCCTCTTACCTCCTCTTTTTTCAGGTCACGCTACAATCAGCACATCGAGACGCTTTTTACACAACAAAACCGGTCATAAGTCGACTTCATCACTTTCACCTTTACAAAATGACTACATTTAACTCACATTTTTTTTTACATTTTTTTGACATTCAACAGGTAAGATGGTGATGCGTTTACAATGAAGGCCTAGGTTGCTATTTACAAGTTTAGGTTGAATTTGCCTTTAAAATGGTTTAGGTCATTGGCCCAAGTGTACATATATTAGTGAATCTAATGATAATGATAAACACAAATAGTATTGATCATTTGTTTAAATCCAGTCAATGCTGGATAAATATTAATCTGTTCATTTTGATACCAGTCTGGGTAAATATTGATATAATCAACATTAACCGGTTATTGACTGGTTTACTGGTGAAACCGACCAAAGCTGGTTAAATTTGATTTTGATTGATCATTTGTTTTCAATTTGATTCAATGTATACATATATCTATCTGTATTAACGGATTTAATTTCATCTAAATCAGTCCTGTGTGATCAAAGGTAAAGAGATGTTGAGATTTACTTTACATTGAAATGCTTCAATATTTCAATTGATTCCAAATCATATGATTTCTTCCAGCAATTAAACATATATTTTTCCGTTGTTTAGAATCAACCTTTTATTGCAAACCAAGTTAATCTTGTTCAGACTCTCTTGATTAAATAGATCATGTTAATTCTCAAGTATATTTCTTAGAGTTGTACACTTGAGATATTGAGTCAAGATATTGCTTTTGTTCACAATTTACAAGATGCACATCACAATTTAGATTAATGAAGACGCAATTAACTTATTAATAGTATTTTGACGGTGTTTTATGAAAGAGAAAGCTAATGATTTTGACAATCATTCGGTGTAATTTAAAGAAAGTCACAATTAAAATTCATTGAAGATAAAATTGCTGAATGTTAAGGCCAGGAAGAAGTCACCGGAAAATTTAAGATATTCAACAATTAAAAAGATAATTAGAGTAATTATTAATGATAAAAGTAAGGCTTAAAACGTGTTTAAATTATGAAAAGAGCTAAAAAAGGGCAATTTTAGAGGCTTTTTCATTCTGGTTTGATGTTTCTATGTTAATCATGTTTTAAGTAATTATCTTCTTGATCTTAATCATTATGCTTTTAAAACTTAATATCGTTATAAAATGATGTATTATGTTGACCTCAAATCAGTTCACAGAGCCAACGAAAGGTCAAAATTGAAAAGGTCTTGGATTTGAAAATGAAATGATTGATTCATCATTGAGAGGTTACTTTTCATTGTTTTAGCTGTTTGTGTTTATATTTTTTACACTCAATATTTGGGTTTATTTGACTCTAGCGTGGTGAGTTTAAGCTAATCATGGTTTATTCAAATACTTGAATTTGTTTGAATCCAACTGAGTTGGCTGTTGACCAGTAAACGTATCGGTTGATTTAATTGGCAAACAAATGATGGTTAGTTTGGCAAATGGTTGACTTGATTGTTATAAAATGGTCATGGTGAAGTCAACTTGAGGTTTGGTTCATTTGCGTCATTAATTTGGCTACAGGTGAGTCAAAGAAAGGTTGATATACCTTCTTTTGTTGGTCATCAGTTGATTAAACAGTTTTATATCAATTAATTTCCATTGTTTTAAACATTGTTTGTTGTAAATGGAAAATTTTGATTACTAATTGAGTGTATGTGTATTGTAATAAAGTGGCAATTGAACAATTGAACACAGCAATTAGTGGTGATCTTTAATTCATTTAAACTCTGCTAAGCAATCAAATAATTTTTTTACCAGCAAGTCTGTTGACAGATCGTTATTAGCATAGTCATTGCATTTAGGGAAAGGTAAAGGGAAACTAATATAAGGATAACATTTTCAATTTTGGTTGAATAAGTGGGAAATGGGTGAATAAGTATACGATAAATTTAATCTATTTTGTCGATAATTCATATAGTTGGTTAGAAACTAACATAAATCGGAATGGTCAGTCCGTTAAAATAAATTTACTTTATCCAATCTAAAAAATTGAATCAACATATGGATATAAATGTTTATAGACCCGTTTAAATCTCTAGTGTAAAATTGAACTTTTTTGCATCCCATTATGGAGAGGTACATTTGAATATAACGTTTAAACGAGATTGAAAATATGTTGATTTGGTTGTGATTTTAGGCAAAATGGGCATCAATGAAATCACTTCGATCTTTAAACATTGGACCCCATGGGTTGGCAGACTCATTTATACTGGTTTGGTTGTTTTGGGTCTTTGCTTGACTCCAGGGTGTAATTGTGGGTCTTGTTGAATAGTTATCCAAGGCTGTAAATTTGGGACACTTTGTCTCTTCAAGTGTGGGCTCTCGACTGGAAATGATGATAAGAAATTAAGAAAGCGAGATGAGAATAGAAACGCAAAAGAAAAGTGAAACATGTAAACAAAGACACAGAAGGATATGCATAAAGAAAGTAAAAAAATTAAAGAATAAGATAAAAATGTAAGATATTGTAAAGACTCACCTGTGGTCATAGTTGTTTAAAATTAAAACTTGATCTTTACAGATTGGCATGGTTGATTGTTCAAGGTGTGGTCCAAGTTCACAAATGAATATCAATAATTTTGTTACAATTTAATGGAAGAATCTTTAAATGCGATCAAATATGGCTGCCAGTTGTTGGGTGAAAGGAGAGACTCTTACTTTTACACCGTTAGTCACTAAGGTTATTACACCAAAGAAAGAGAGACTGAGAAAGATCGAGGAAACAAAGACAGCTTCTTCCAACTTGTTATACTTTTGACTAACTAGAAGTTTTTTGGGTTGTTTTACAAATTTTTGATTAATTTGAAGAAGAGTTAGCAACGTTTAAGACGATCAACTAGATTGTGTAAAAACAACTGTCCACCGCAAGACTGGAATAAAGAAAGGACAAAGAAGCAAAAGATTGTTGTTTATTACCAAACGTTAGATGAAAAGGTAAGTCCGGTGTTTTTGTTTCTAATAAACATTTTAGTTTGTATTTATATTGATTAGGAAGGAATATTTTAACTTGACCATCAACATTGTCACTATCTGCATCATCAACATGATTAACATAATTCTGGAAAATGGGAAAAAAGCAATGGAGTGAAGTGTAAGAGAAATCCCTCATTTTGATCAAAAAAATAAGGAAAACATGGCCTTCAATGAATGAGGGTTTCTCTTCCTTGAAGAGGCAAGGTAAGGTAGGCTAGTTGCACGTAAATTATACTAATTAGCTTCCATTGGAAATTGTTAACTCAGTTGATTATGGTGAAGAGACACCAGTGACTAATGTTTAATGACAAAATTAAAATTAACTCTCTTCTTTTTTCTGGTGTAAACAGATGAAACAAAAAGCAAGCATACCTGAAGTGTTCAAGGAATATGGTGAATTTGGGTTAAAACACGGAGCTCTAAGACGTTACCAGAGTTTCCTCGAAGACTATCGATTTGACTGAAAAGGTCAACCAAGGATTTCAAACTCTCCGAATGATTTTTCAGCATAAGTACATAAGGTTTGGATGTTGAATTCAAGAAAATATAATGAAAAAATTAATATAAATCTATGAAAGGTTTCAAATAATGAAATAACCAATACAGTGGAAAGACACAAGAGAAAGTCAAAAGGAACAAGAAAAGTGAATACAATTGTGTATTGAATACTAATTAGTCAAGTTGAGGTGATGATCGATGATTCGGATTGAACAAGTCTGGCAAAATTATTGGACCTTATATACACCAGTTGGGCTCTAATCAATTCACAGGTGGAAACTCATCAAGTACTCATGATAATCAATCGATTTATTAATATTTTAAAATCATATCTTGGTCTTATGTCTTCATTCTCATTCCTTCTCAAGTATCTTTGCCATCTTCATACTTATCCAGGGATAAGACGATTTGGATAAGTGATTAGTGATCAGGAATACAACAGACTTGACTTTGAGTTATTAATGGTGATTCAGTTTTTTCTATGGGTAAAAAATGAGTGTTAAGATTATGAGCTTTGTTTGTTTTCCTCATCAATTTGAAACCCTTCCTCCTGATCATCATAACTCTTGATTTAATTGAGATCTGTTTATTTGATAATACAAAAGAGGTACTTATTGAGCTCTTTCGTTCCCAATTCAATGGTAAAATACTGAATCAATACTCTTTGTTGTTGTCTTTCTGCCTCTTCTTGTTCATCAATGGAAATACACTTTCATCTCAATTCTATGAAATCAAACGACCTTAATTAAGATACCATGTGCTGATTGTATGATTTTTCATTGTCGATTCATTTAACGTGTCAATTGATGTCAACTGTCGCATGAGATTGATTGATTATTAGTCCCCTTCTTATGTGTTACAGTTTTTTTGTTGGTGGCTTACGTCTCGTATAACTCAATCGTCACTTTTTGGTATAGTTAGACAAAATATTTGTCATTTGTTGATTGATGTTAAACTGTTTGTTTACAATGTTTCTTTCATTCATTTGCGTCTGAAAATCCATCTTTTTTCACTAATCATTAGAGTTTGGTTTTAAATAACAGTAGACACATTTTAATAGACAAAATCATTATCAATGAGTTGCAGTTAATATGACATTTTGTATTCCAATATTTCCTTACAAAATTTTGTTTGATAAATTATAGCTATTGCATCATTCATATTTGATTGAAAAATAATGAATAAATTTATGAAAAAGCAGTAACAAGAATATTTGGTAAGGTCTCTTTGGATTTTTGATAATTTGATTGAATGTCGAGTATATGCGTTGAGTTGATTGTTTCGCTTATATTTTGATGATTTGAAAAAAAAGTAAATATTGAAAGGGGTTTTAGTTTCATGCGAACACAAAAAGTGGGTGAAAAAAAACAATATTTTCAAAGATGAAGGTAGGTTGTTTAACGATAAGATGAGTAGTTGATTACTTGGAAAGTCAAAAAATCTTGGACAAATAGTCATGACTAAGGTCTATAGATAGCTGTCCGTGTTCATGGGCTCACATGAGGTGCTGTAAATTGAAAGAAAGGTAGATCAGTACATGGTTTTTGTGAGGTTTTGGGCTTAAAAGTTTTTATCAGAAGGAAGAAAATTAAAAGAGAAGAACTCTGAGCAAACTTACGTCACTAGGTTTGAACTTTTCTCCTTCTTTACTAAGCGAAGCTCTTAGTTCCTTGATAAGCTCTCGAAAGTTAAGAGAGTCTAGATTTTTGGCCAGTAAATGGAGCATAAACCAATCTCCAATTCTGGCAGAGTCCAAAACATCTCGAAGATGATTACGATCAGCTAGACGTGCAGCTGATCTGAGGTAGAGATAACGGAAATGAGGGAAACATATGATGAACATCCTCTCAATGATAACCCATCCAGAAACAACAGCTAAAACAACAAACCAGAACCAGAGGAAGATATAAATTTTCTCGTTAATAATATTCAATGGAAGGATACAAAGAGAATCGTGCTTCTGAACATCTCCAGAAGAACCATATCTGTGAAAGGTACACTTGGTGACACGAGGAAAAACCTTAACCATTGGATCAACTCTTTCTTCTGGATTCATTTCACTGTAACGAAGAACTTCAAGGCCATAAGTTGAAAAGGCACCACCCAGGAAAGCATCGACAAGATACATTTGTAAGATAACATTTAAAAAGTTGAGTATCTCACAAAATACAAAACAATAAAAATACGAGTTATGGTAACCCAAGTTGGTCTTTAAATAATGTGTAAGCAAACCAATATTTTCGGTTCGTTCTTCAGCACCAATGATGGGATTGTTTAACCCTAAAACCAAACTTCGTAGTCTTCCACCTTCCCAAATTTTCCATAAATATCGAGGAATGTAGAAAAATATGGCTTGAATGAAAAGAACAAAGCAAACCCATTGGTAATATTTATGGTAAACTTTTTTCTCTCCTGGCTTGTAATTATCTACTCCTGGAGCCACAACATCGACACCAACCTGTTTATCCAAAGCATTGGGTAAGGTAAAGGTTGAATGTATCCAACAAAAGGTGTCCATAACATTTTGCGGTATATCATCTCGTTGTATACAGTCTATGGGATCACCAAAATATTGTCTTCCTGTAACCAGAATACTTGATGCAACCAAAAGGATGACGGTAGCTTTGTAGTGAAGACGGAATGCGTTATTATCGATACGAACTTGATCTATCTTCAATATACTACGAAGGGAATCAAACAAATCGAGAACCATCCTGTCTCAATATAGATAATTACATTTACAAAATAAAAAAACAGAGGAAAAAAACACTTGTAAACTAAAATTAACCAAAAATAAAGTTAATATGCAACAGAGTTGAAGAGATAACAAAAAACAAAAATATATAACACATTCACAGTTCATGAAAATAGGGAGAGAGAGAGAGACAAATAGAGAGAGAAAGAGAGAGAAAACTAAAAAAGTATGAAAAACCAAAGGATGGCGCTGATTACGTAATGTGAATGAACTCAATTGTTAAAAGAAAGGCTTTTGGGTTGGTCAGTTGTTCACAAATTTTGATCACAATGAACGTTCAAAGTTGATTCTTTGTTATCATCATCTTAACCGGTTTATTTTTGGCTTTTGATGTGAACTTTTTGTTGCTCCATTACTGGTCTAACTGGTGTCCAGCAATCAGGCCATTTTGGCTAGTTACTTCTAAATATTTTCATCACTCTTACCATCGCCAACTCAGGTATCAAGTTGAATTAGTAGACCAAGTAAAAAATTTGAGTTTATCAAAAGTGCTATTTCAATGGTTCCTGATGTTTTTTATTTCTTTATTTCAATTGATCAACTAAAGTAAACTATTAATCTGGTGAATATTTCATCAAAAGATTAAACTGATTACAATTCGTACAAACATGAAACTTGTATTCAACGAGATTGGAGTTTTAGGTTGAATAAGATTTTTCCCCTAATCTTATTGAATTCACATTATTAACATGGTAATTTTGAGCCATGATGTTGAATTTTGAGCCTGAATAAACCTGAAAATCTTGATAGCTACAATAGCCTAATACCTTGAAAATATTTTAAGGTTATTTATTAATCTGTTTAAATCTAATTCACGAGAAACGTTTGGCATTGAATCGATATCTCTTGTCAGATCTGTAAAAACAAAAAATCAATTGTCTATCATACAAATTGAGTATCATTTGCCGTCTACTTTACATGGTACATCAATAGTGATGGTTAACGAAAGAAACTCAAAGTTAAGCGAGTTAAAATAAATTATGGAAGAAATGAAGTTAACTAAATCAATCAATCTTGATTTAGATTGCCTTGAGGGAAGATTGGGATAGACTGAGGTAGCAAGTCCTGATCCAGAAGCAGTCTTGTTTCACCGGTAAACACTGGTCAAAATGTATTCACTTCTTTCTCCATTTTTCTAAAGAAATGCTTGTTTTTGTGTTTGATTATTCAATTTAAATTGAATTATTTAATCATCGTCATGTAATTAATAAATTTATTGTTTATTAATTTGTCTTGAAACTTCTGTAAATGTGTATTTCCAGGATTCAATCTTGTTAACCCAAAAGTGTGTTTTTGTTTGGCTTGCTTTTTCCTTTGTTCTTCTATCTTACCGGCGTCGCCAACTCTGTCTTTACTAAAAATTGTATATTCTTATTGTCATTTATTTGCTTCTGATTATTGTTTAATTGTTACTTAGTTGTTATTAATAAGCACCTGTTTAATTACTGGCAACTATCTGTCATTAAATATGTCTAATTTAAGGCCAAAAATCCTTCAAAAGATTGAAAAGTAAGTGATGAATATCTGTTGTTTTTTTTCTCTATCAGTTTAGATTTTTAAAAATTGATTGAATTAACTTGAAGTATTATTCCAACACATTTCATCCATGTTATCATCCAATATTCCCATTAATTTAAGTACCCATGTCTTTATCATTATGTTTCATGTTTTCAATTGTTTTAATCTATTTTGAAAAGAGCGCTCAATGAAATGTCATACCGAGATGCCATTGAAAACTCTTCAAAGTATAATAATCAGTTGGTTGGCGATCGGAAAACACGCTTACCTTTTATTGATGCTCAAACTGGTGTTGCTCAAAAAGACTGTTACCTTTGGATGAAGAAATGGCAAAGAATGCCTGGCACAAATTATGGACAATTGTATACTTATCCGTCCAACAGTTGGAAGAAAAAACGACGTGGCTATTTACTAAATCAACCCTACATGTGCCGTGATCGAACCAATGAATTTTCTGATAAGAAAGAGTCTTTTGCCAATGGAACTGACGCTTCTCAATCAAGACCTGAACAATCTGAGAATAGTTCTGACAAATTTGTGGATAACTCTAAAGATGCTTGGGTTTACGCCGACTATGAGGACAGCATTGATTTGATTGAAGGAGATTTTGAAGATCCTAATTCGGACGGAGATGATTACGACGAGTTTACTGTAAAGCGAAGAAGAAGAAGAAAAGAAACGACTAGGCGCCGAAGAGGGCAGTCTGATCTTCAAGATGCTGATAAACCATATGCTTGTGATCTCTGTGATGCTCGGTACAAAACGCGACCTGGGTTAACTTACCATTATGCTCATAGTCATGTAAACTCAACTGATGGAGACAAACCATCTAAAAGTTCAACTCCTGTATCAATTATCGACGATGAAGAAAATTCAAGATCTATGCCTGGTACACATAATCATTCTGGTAACAATTCAAATCAAGGATCTGCAAATGATACTCAAGAGCAATCTTCATCCACCGGTAAGCATTTAATTTTTGCAAATTTTGCTTGTATTTTATCGACTATTTACTTATACTAACTATTATAAATTTGATTCTCTCATCAGCTAAAGGAAAAAACTCAGCTGCTGCTCCGAGCCCTTACTGTGATTTCTGTCTTGGTGACTCTGAAGAAAATAAAAAGAGCAGATCACGCGAAAAAATGGTATCCTGTTCTGACTGTGGAAGATCTGCTCATCCAACATGCCTTCAGTTTACTCCACAAATGATTCTTTCTGTGCAAAAATATCGATGGCAGTGCATTGAATGTAAATCATGTGGATTATGTGGAACTTCTGACAATGACGTAAGTTTCGACAACTGCACCGCAATATTAATTGAGTTGATCTAATTTCTAAATCATTATTCTAATAAATTTTCTAATAACAGGAACAGCTTCTTTTCTGTGATGACTGTGATCGCGGATATCACATGTTTTGCCTCAATCCTCCTTTATCAGAACCACCTGAAGGTTCATGGAGTTGTCATTTATGCATTGAAGAGTATCATAAACCACAAACCAAGAGTGAAATTCCTGAAGAGGCTAACAAAAAAGTGGAAAAGGAAGAAAAAACAACGAGTACAAATGATGTTGAAGTAAAGAAGAGAGAGAAAGAAGATAAATCCAGGGAGAAGGACAAACCAGATGGCGAGGAGAAAATAAAAAATGATGTCGAAAAACAACAAGATGGTTCTACAAAATTAGTCAAGGCTTCCAACAATGTAAATGAACCGAACAAGGCTGGAAGCAAAGATGAACTGATTAAAGTTATACAGGAAGAACCAAGAAAACAAAGTCAATCTGAAAATAAGGAATCAAAAGAAAAGGATAAAAACAAAGAAAGCGAAGACTCTAGTAAGAAAAGCGAAAAATTGGATGAATCTTCACCAAACCCACCGAAAAAGGCTTAAAGAGTATCTAAAAATTCTCGTCTTAGCTTTATATTGAGCATTTAAAGCATCAAATCGACTGGCTGATTGATTTTTTTTCAGTTGTTTGTCAACAATTAAAATCTAGTCAGTTCGTTGAAAACCAAAATGAGCCAAAAACATTTGGTAAACAATTGGATTTCTGCATACTATTAAATTAGATGGTTTAACTGGCTTAATTTAATTGTAGTATAAAATCTGCTGTTTCAATCTCTCATTAACATTTAATGGTAATTTGTATTATCGTATTTCTAATTTGGACTAAATGTAATAGGTATTTTCTGTGATTAAAACTGACTATTCAAAATTTGTTTTGTAATAAAAGGTACATCGTTTATTACCAATGACCTTTTCGTCGAGAATTGTATTCGTTTTCATAACAATAAGGAATGAATTAGAGATATTTGTTTGACGATTTGCATTTGTAAAGATGTTTGGCATGTTGGCAGAAAAAAACTGTACTGTAGTGAAATTAATTATATACAGTTAATTGATATGCGAAGATGACCATAAAACTTCGAGAAAAGACGTAATGATCTTAATTGGCTGTCTAATTTGTAAATTCAAAATTTGACTTCAAAAATGATTTAAGCATGATCATAACGTCAGTATTTCGATCTTTTGAGTTTAATACTTTGGACTTAAAATGATTCGTCACTAATTCTGTGTGTTGAGTATTTTCATGATTATTGAAAACATCGAAGCAAATAGTGATGGAAAAAAATCTACAAAATGCAATGTCGTGATGATTAAAGCTGATTTATATCAATTAAATAAGGTAAAGAAAAGCCAGTTATTCAGTTTTTATTAACTTTAACTGTTGATCTAAACTAACCTATATGATTTCAATTTAATATCAGGTAGTTAATGGATTACCAGATCATTCAGTACAAGCAATTTCTTGGAATTTCTATCGATTCATAAAGATAAACAAATAAGTTGGAAGGTAAATAGACTGAATAGAGTGAAATCTGAATAACGTTTTATAATTGAAAACATTTTTATTAAACTTTGCATCCAGATAAAAATGCAACTATAACTGAGAATATCAAGTTGGTCATTGACAAACTCATTGATATATTTCCCGTTGTTAGTGAGCATTTGATGGTTAATTTAAATTTGCCCTCGATTTAAGGATAATGATAATTTAACTTTTTAAAATGATCAGGAATTTCCCAGAAAGTCGAATTGAAGCCAGACTAATCAGAACAATTAAGGAATTAATCAAAAAAGGATAAAGATCGGTAAATATTATTTCAAGCTGCTGATATCAACTCAACTCTAAACAATTAATTTGAAATTTTATTTTATTTTTCTCATTTGATTAAAACTTCAAAGAGACTCTTGAGTATGGAATTGAAAATTGGCTTGCAAGTCCCTCTGATCTCAAAGCTATGTATTTATTTCATTTGAATGAGCTATTCAATTAATTTATACATTTCTTTTTCATGGTCAAATTCAGTTTCACGACCAGAGGATATCGTCCCACCTGCACTTAAAAACATCTTTGAGCAAACACGTTTACCAGGCTTTAGTCCCGAAAAAACATTGCAAGATAATGTTGCTGAATTTGTTAAAATTGTCGTTGATGTAGCAGACTTTTGTCATTGATACATTTTAATTTAATATTTTAACATTGAATTATTTTTGCAATAAACCTAATTCCACTATTAATAATCAGCAATTATCTTTTTTCTTTTTTAATTCATCTTTGTATATCATTGTTATCAAAATGGACTGTAATAGATTCAACTTACCTATTGCAGTCAGTGTAAAAGATTACAGTTTAGGTTAGTAAACTGTGTCTGGAAATTTCATCTTTCGGTGAGTTTCTTAGCTTCTGATCAATGATTTGAATTATTACCATCGTATCGATTAAATTTCGTATGAGTATGGACTCGTTTTTCGTGTGATAAAAAATTTATTTCTTTACAATAAGTAAATAGCTCAACAATATTAATAACATGTGTAAGTTAATTAAAATTTTGCAATTGTTGCTGTTGCTGCTGCTGTTGTTGTTGATTAGAAGGGCCAGCTTGATTACTGGGTTTGTTGAAAACAAATGGATTCCTACAAAGTGGACACGATGATTGATTACTTTTTTCAAACCATTTGTACTGTAAAAAAAAGTAAAATCATAGTTTTAATATTAATGATGAAGAAATAAAGTTACAAATAAATATAATTACCAGACAAGCTGAATGGAATTTCTTTTTACAACTTCTACAAGTTAATTTAGGCAGTTGACAATTAGAACCATGTAAAATGAAATAACAAATTACACATTCCTCTAGTCCTTCGAATCTTTTACACATGTTTCTATTCCATAGAATCAGACCATCTAGAACAGTTCCATTCTACAAAAAAAATATTCACATTTAGATAAGTTAGATTTGTAGCTTATAGACTTAATTAAGATTATTTGATAAGAAATATATTTACCTGATGAGTTAAGAATGAAGTTACTTGAAGAAGCCAGTTTCTCCATTCAGGAACACTAACACCAACTCTTTTACCTCCGTCAATAGTAACAGGAGTTAAAGGATGATTATCGGCAAATTTAATAGTTAATTCGATAGACATATCTTCAATTTCATAAATGGCAACTACTTCTTTCGCTGAATGACGAGCCTTCACCTTAATATTTTTAAATTTATCTGCATTAGCATTTTGAATCGCATGAAACTCTTCAGCACAGATTAAATCACTCATAGTTGATGTTGTAAACCTAATAAATATTGTAAAATCAATGATTAGTGTAAGAGTAAGTTTAAGAGATTATTTCAAGTAAAAAAATCACTTACCTATTAACGGTTTCAGAAGTTTTTTTATCTAATTTGCTGAGCCACATTCTGACACAAGCAGGCATTTTCCGTAAAATATGAAAATAAACTAAACACGAGATTGCTTGGATATGACTATCTTCATCCAGTTCATCAAGGCGAGTAACTGTCAACACATTTCGAATGAAGTTCGCCTCATCTGAAACTTGGTCATCAGGTGCAATAGGCATCAACTTGAAAAGGTTATTAAGTAAATTTGAAATGTAACCAGAATCCGTCAAGAATCCAGCTAAGGATGATCGATTTTCATCATTCAATTGACTAAAGGATGTTAATATTTGTAACCAATTCAAGAGATAGGCAACAGTGTAACAGAACGAATCTGTTCTAGGTTTTATGAGACAACAGGTTATTCCAAGAGAATAGTCAGAAAGCAAAGTATCAACAATCAGGTCAGTTTCTTGTAATTTGGATAAAAAGGGCTTCGGTGGGGCTCTGAAACAAAATAAAATTTTTAGTAAAAAAATCTAAATCTATAAAATGTAAATTCAATAAATTACTTACAAGGAATCAAAAGTGTTATCAAAGTCAGAACAAGACGATGCCAGCATAGGAATTAATCTGAATGAATTAAATGGAATATATTTGTAAGTAATTAATTTAAATTAATGTTGTCATATTTTATACCTTTGACTAAAATAGTGAGCACACAAATAGAAGGCCGGATATTTTTTGACATAAAGATGATTCAACTTGAAAAAAAGTGATTCGTATTCTTTTGGCAAAGGACAGATAACTGCTTTCTCGAGATTTGAAAAAGTCTTCTCATCATAGTTGAATTGTTGAAGTTCCCTTTCCAGTCCAGCAACATCAAATATACAGATTGATGATATTGTTTTACCAAGTAAAGAGATAAAATTCAACTGATAACCGGAAAAGTCGAGTTCGCTGAGTCGGAATAGTAAAGGGACTAAAGATCTTGCAATTCTAATCAGATGAAAATCGGTCCACTCACGAACTGAACTAAATGAATCTCCTTGACTCTCGATTGCATTCTGAATGGACAGGAAGAGATCGCAAAAGGAGCAGAACAATATCATCTTTGCTGGATTGTGAAATGATTTTAGATCACTACTGACTAACGTTATTGACCAAGCAGTAACTGAAATGATAATTAAATCCTTTTGTTCAAGAGTAAGGTTATTACGATACTTCTTGATAATCGTATTATACAATTTCATTAGTTCGATAGTGAAGAGGATAGCTTGTTCGGATTTATCATCTAGAGAACTGATGGAAAAAGAAAACAATTAGTTACATGAACTGAAAATAAAATTGTAAAACAAAGTATTGATAAAATTTCAAACTAACCATTCGAGTAATAAAGCTCCTTCTTTTTTATCTTTCAACGTTGATAGATGGTCAAGAATTGGGCAGACTAAATCATTGGGAGGTACTTCAACTAAATTGAGGCATGTATTCAAAACAGATAGTTGACCATAAAATTGATGTAATTTATCAGGATCATCCTGGCAAAGCACAAATTTCAAAGTTGTTTGCGATAAACTAATTATCTCATCGGGATCAAAATATCGGCCCAGCAATTGAAATATGGTGATTGATGATACATCAAATCTAAAATAAAAAAATTGGTTAGATAAATTAGAAATTATTATAAAAGATAATTTGATCGTTCCGAGTGGAAAAGCTACTAACTCTGTGAGATTCCATACTGAATTGACAGAGCTCAGTTTTGAAGATAAACGCAAAGCTGGTCCAAGTCCTATAGCTAATGCAATTGCTCCTTCAGGATCTCTGTAAATCGAATAAAAAAGAGAATTGGTTTATTATGAATTCCCTATTTAAGTATTTCCTTATCTTATCAAAATTATTCTTACGTTTTAGTTAAGACTTTTAGCATACTGATCATTTCATCTCTATTAAGATGTTCAACACGATTTGATACGAAATCAGTCAAATGCTCAAAGATTTCATTCTTATGAGAGATGTTTAAATTTTTAGAATTCAATTCCATTGCTGACAAAGTGAAACAGGCAAACGGTAACAGTCTATTGAACGATTCAGTCGAACAGGGCATAATTTTTAAAATCTTTGTGATCGACATAATAGTGCAGGTGAATGAATAATCAAAGTAACAGCTATCCGTTGCAAAGTTCAATCCAGGGTGAATTAAAACTTTACCACGAACCCACAGAGGAAAGTAAACTTTGACTCCAATAGATGAAACTCTCTGAACCAAATAATCTGACTCAGGAAGCATATTATTCCAAAATTTATCCAAATATGTGGGTTGTCTTGAGGTTTGACGGTCTTTTTGGACGGATAGTAGAACAAGGTTAACAATTTCTAAGATACGCTCAGATCTAAAACAAAAAATTTAAAGGTTTAATAAAATTAGAGTTTAAAGATGTTCCAAAAAAGGAATGAGCACTCACTTTTCCCAGTCAATATCTTCGGCAGATACAGCTTCTTTGATTAAATCAGATAGGCCATTAAATAACAAAGAAACTTGTTCTTCATCGTTGTATTCAAGAACTGCTTTCAATCCATTCAATAATGTTGATGAGTAAAGTTGAGGTATTTTTTCAGAGTTGCATGTATTAAGACTCATTTGTGAAATCTTTAAAATTAATTCAGTAGTTGAATCAAGCTGGGCAGAAAATGGGTATCGATCTAAAAGTGTTTTAACTAACAGCACAATATGGCGAGAATGGTCGTCAGATGAAGAATTTTTTAAGGCATCGAATAACATCTTAGAAATTGTATTGATCGTTGGATAGTGAATGTCGTCAACTTGAAAAGCAAAACTGACGAATTCTAAATATAAATTGTTATTCACTTTATCATCGAGATCATCCAGTGTACTTTGCAAAGTTTGAGTTAATAGCAGTGATATTTCAGGTGATTTGAACCACTCTTGTAGAAATTGGTCTTTTTCAATTCGATTAGGCAAAGTTTCGAGTAAGTTTATCATGATTTCATCGCCATTGGAACACAAGTAGGAAAGTATTTCACTAATGCTGGAATAGTCTGTGCAGCAATTCAACATCAAGTTGATGATATGTTTATAGTTGACACTTCGGGTAGATATTGAGGTGAAATTAGCTTGTCGATTCAACAAATCTTTAAATTCGCCAAGATAATCACAAGCTGGGAATACGTCTCCAGCTTCCTTGAAAACGGATATGCATAACTCTTGAACCATTTTAAGAGAGTTAAGCCAATGAGATTGAATCTCTCTGGTTAAAGTCATTTCCAGTAATCTTTGCCATACTTTAAACAGAGAACCTTTAAAAATGATTGTTTTCATGGTCGTCTTTTCTTCCGAAGTGGCTTGGTCATCCTCAATATCCTCTTCAAATTTAACTCGTCTAGGTAATCTTTCTTGGTTAATTCGTAGAATTGATGAAAGTAATTTTAAAACTAAATCAAGTTTTTCTGCCTCATCAACAGAATCTTCAACAATTTTTAATAATCTGGTCTCAATTTGATTTGTTAAATTATTTGATAATTCAGGATCCTTTGATAAGGAAATAAATGAAGTAAGTTCACTCAGATACAAGCAATAAATATCATTCCAATTCAATAGCATTTGATCCACACAAGCTAAAATCTATAAGAAATAGAAAGATAATGATGAGTAAATCATGAAATAAAAGTTGGAATAGCAATTGATAGATTTTAGAGCTTACTCGTTCACAAACAGTGGAATTAAGTTCCTCCTCTACTTTATCAGAGTTTATTTTTGCCAGTAAATATTGCATACATTCAAAATAAGCCTTGACTATACCGGTATATTCCTTAGTAGAATGATTGGAATTAAGAATGCTGTGAAATGATGAAATTCAAGTTATTAATGGATTATTATTTGCGATAATATATAGATTCATAGTTACCAAAACTCAAAAGATTCGATGAAATCATAACAAAATTTAGTACGATTTTCAAGCACATTGAAAGGAAATTTGCTGAGCATCGGTAGTAGGTTCGGGAAAACTGTAGAAGCATTTCCATAGCCACCATCTCTGATAAATTTCCTTAGATGAGGAAGAAACCCTTTTGTTAAATTGACATGTTTCCACCACTCCTGTGAAAACAAGGAAAAAGTTCAACTTTAGTATTCTTTTTGAAAATTTTTCAAAATTAACTAACATCTATTGTGACGAGAATCCATAAGACATTGTCCCAAATAGCAGCTGATAGCAGCAGATCTTTTTCAGCGATGAAGAGCAATGTTGTCGATGTAAATTTTGCTTCATTTTTAACAATAATTGATGGAAGTTTTTCACAAATGATTGATTTGAGGCGATACCAGTTAACTTTAACCTAAAAGTAGAAATATGAAATGTCAGAAAAACATTATGCATGTGAGGGGCAAAAAAATTACAGTGACATCTTCAAATTTTGCCAGTTTCCAAAAATTATCATGATTGATCAAACTATCCAAGTGATCTTTAATACTCTCAAGTTGACTGATCGAGGTGATTAGAAGAGTTATGGTCTGTAGACTTGCACTGACAAGACGATTATATTTGGCTTCACGATCGATTGTAGACACAGTACTAGAAAGAAAGAAAAATATTTTAGACTAAATTAAGATCTAAAAAATCAATATAATTCCTTACCTTGGATCATCTATAGTTGCAATGGTCTGAATTAAAAGTACATCTTTGCAGTACTAAAAGAAAGAATAAGAAAAAATGGAGTCAATTGATGATAAGTGAACCTAAATGACTGTCATCTTACATTTATAATTTCTTCCTTGCAAAACTGTAGAACCTCTGTTTGCTTTGAAGGCGAAAAAGATACTGAAAAAGATGCTTTAGCAGCACTAGCTGAAACAGCATAAGTATCGTGAAGTGAAACGACCCAAATTGCGATTATTTGCTTGAGGATTGGTGCAATATTTTTGCCTAATTTTTTGACCAGAGCTTCCTGTGCTTGAAAGGTTGTTTCTCTCACTCTAAAATCATTGTCCTATGAAATTTAAAGAAAAGAAGGTTGAACAGCTGATAAGTCCATCAAAGGTTAGTCCATGTAAAAACTTACAATTGCTAGTTTATTAAAAATTCTTGGCCACATGGAAAGGACAGTCTTAACGGAATTATAATCTTTTTCATTGCAGTATTCAGCAAATTTCTGCAAGGACTTTATCTTGGTGATTGAATCCTTCTTATACATTTGTTTGATTATCAGCTTGAAATCAGCGTCAACTTCTTCCTCCTCAACGAGAGAACCAATACTGGAATTGCCAATTGCTCCATCACTTGGTTCTTTCAAAGCATCAAATCCAATGAAGGTATTGATTGGTGCACTTCCAAGAGTAGATGACAACAACTGTGCAGATCTTAAAGAGTTGGCAGGCTGTAAATTGAGATATAAAAAAGTGAATAAACATATCCAACAGCTGAGTAAACTCTCTTACCCTTGTGTTGCCTTTTGTTCTTTGTCCTTTGCCCATGGTTAATTATTAATAGATGTTAACAGGCATGTAATCAAAATAAGAGAATCTAAAGAAGTCTAAAAAATCTAGAATAAGAAAAAAACACGACGATAAACAACTCTAAACAAAGAAAATAACAAGTATAAACAATGATGAGAAACCAAAACAAATGTAGACAGTTGTATAAAAACAGCGTGATAGAATAAATATCATCTATACTTACAGTTAATTCCCAGAATTTATCGATTGACTGAATTATAGTGGGTTAACAGACAAGTGTTGATTAATATTAACTGTTAATCACAACAACGTGAAAAGTGTGACTTTATTAAACTCAATGATAGCTTACACTCACACTCTTTCAAGGCATCTTTCTCTTTCTATTTTTTCCAGCTGTAGTTTTTACCAAACCTGACAGTGTTGTCGTCACCATTACTCAACTTATAGCTCAATGCAGTGTGGTAATGAGAATCAATTTTTCAACGGTCCCTAATTGATGAGGAATTGTGATTTAAAATCAAAATTCAATTTAATTTCTTTAATATTTTCATTAATTGACTTGATTCAATCATCTTTCGATTGATATCAAGCTTAAAGCTCAAAAAATAGCTTACAATAACATTTTAAGTTAAAAACCTGAATTCAAATCAAACTTGGTGGAGTTGAACTTTGAATGATTGTTTGATAAAGCATCATTATGGACTGATTTTTCCGCCGATTTCCATTGTTTATTGGCTAAAGTTACGCATTAAAATGCTTATTTCGGTTCAGCAACGTCTTTATACACTGTTTATCAAAATCGAATCAGGTTACATCAAATGAACTATCAACTAAATTGTTCAAGAAATGATTCCAAATCATGCTACTCAACTAATCAGTTGAATGTTAATGTCAATTGGATTTCAATGAAATCATCATTGACTTTTATCTTACTTTCAATCATTTTCACGGATCCATTTAATCAAAATGAATTCAAATCAATAATTTAATATTTACATGTTTATTTACATGAATAATAATTTTTTTGTTATTTTAATTTTTGTTCAAGTGTGATAATCTGATAAATTGATTTATTAACCACTCTGTGGGAGTATTTTGGGGTCAAAAGAAAACAATTTAATCATAATTCATTCAATAAATTTGCTATATAAATTGAATTGATTGAATATTGAAGATTGAATAGTGAATTTAAATTGTGGTAAAATGGCTTCATACGTCAATTTCAGCTCATCTTCAACTAAACAGCGTTCAATCGCTATTGGTGCTGTTGCATTAGTAGCCACTGTAATAACAATTGGAGTTGTAGTTACAATTACAATTAAACATGAATCTTCATCAACTAACAACCTGAAAAGTAAGTTTATTTAGTTTCTTATACAAATAATGAATAATGGTTAACTCTATTCGTATTTTATACTCTTAGATGAGTTCAAAATTAAATTCACTAGACCTCAATGGATACCATTTATTAATAAAGATACACCTCTTGAAAATGCCTTTGTTGGTGGCAATAATATGAATGGTAGATCACTTTATGTTTGTCGAGTCAATTCAACCAAAGCAGTGGAAATATTACCTGGAATGTTTGACCCTGATTCCGCAAGTGCATGTGAAGTTACTTGGGGAGACAAATCTTATAAATATTATGATTTTGAAATACTCATGGCAAAAGATCCTTCAGTGTTTGTATGGGAATCCGATACTTATGGACATGCACCCATCGGTGCTTTAAGTGGAGGCCTTTCCGAGATGAAAGATGAACTTCAAATATCAAGGGCTGAAATCGGTTCTGGTCAATACATTGGTAAAGTTCATGGGCGACATTCAAAGGCCTATGTAGCATATAACGGCAGAGAAAAGACCGTTCAAAGTTATCAAGTTTTGTGCCTACAAGATTACAGTTTAGGTTGACAAACTATTACCAAATTTTGATAAAAACATTGCATTACTCCCAAAGACCCACTTATGATGTGACTCTGATCATGACTTCAGACAATGCCAACCGTATCAGTAATATTTCAAATGTAAATTCACTGATTGTGCTGAGTTTTTAACATTTAATAATTTGTAAATTATCAAAATTCAATTGTAAAGTGTACATGACTTGATAAATGAACTAAATAGCTTGTCTAATAAATGAAATTAAATATAAACATCCATTGAAATCGAGTCAACTCGAGTGAATTATCAATTTTTAGTTGTACTTTAAGCTCTTAATACAATCAAATTGGCGTGTTTCAAATCAAAATTGATTTTCTGAATAATTTTGCATATTTAATATCTTTTAGCAAATCATCACGTCACTGACTTCATCAATAACTAATATTTGTTCAAAACATTATGCTATTGTTTGTATGGTTTAACATGAAGTGTATATTGATTCAATATTGATTTGCAACTAATGTTGATAACGAATGACTCACAATGAATTATTGATTCAATCTTGAAATTTTCAATGCTTAGGTCTTTAATGCATTTTTTCATGAAAGATATTCCATCGCCTAATGAATGAATAAAAATTATTCAATTTTCATGCAGTTCCTATTAACATTTCACCACTTTTATCTCATCGATTGCTAATGATCAGTTAAAAATTGGAAAATTAAATTGTACTCTATCACAATCTCTATCAAATGTCAAATCTTTCGTGTAACACCTCTAATTAAATTCATGAAAGATAACCAATTTAGGTAACAAACCGATCAAGACTAACTGTTATTCATAACTATTATCAATCTATTTATTCAATAAGACGTTAAATCAAAATTAGCGCCAATCGGATTGACCTAGGATAAGATCTAGGATTGTTATCTCATTGAGACACTAAAGGTTTAATATTGTTAGTAATTTATTAAACTGCAAGAGTTTATAAATGTCAATCAATATTTTACTTTGATAATTGATTTAAAATTTTTACCAGTTTAATCGTGTGACAATTGTCATGAGATATCGTATTGTTTTTCATAATTAAAATTGTGTTTTCCAGATCGAGATATTTATTTTCAATTTCAATCATGTTACTGTTTAACTTTATTTTCACAGCTTGCCTTTTATTTTCAAGTGAAGCTTATGAACCTGACCGTGTATCCAGTTTACCAGGTTTGAGTGGTCAACTTAAATTTGGTACTTTTTCTGGTTATCTCGATGCAACTCCAGGAACCCATTTACATTATATTTTTGTGGAGAGTGAAAATGATCCAGCCAATGATCCATTGCTTCTTTGGCTCAATGGTGGACCTGGTTGTAGTTCATTACTTGGATTATTCACTGAACTAGGACCATTCCGAATGAATGAAAGTGAATTGGTTGTGAATCCATACGCTTGGAACCAAGTTGCCAACATAATATTTTTAGAGTCACCCGCTGGTGTTGGTTATTCATACTCAGATGACCAGGTTTACATTCATAATGACGATAAAACATCGACCAACAATTTACTTGCATTGAAATCATGGTTCAATAAATTTCCTCAGTACAAGGACAATGACTTTTACTTGACTGGTGAATCCTATGCTGGTGTTTACATTCCTACTTTATCGGTTCGTCTTCTTGATGAACCAACCATCAACTACAAAGGCTTTGCCATTGGAAATGGTTATCTGGATAAAGTTTTGCTTGGTAACTCTAAAATTAGATTTGCCTATCATCATGGTCTAATCGACACTTCAATGTGGTACAAGATTGTTTCCTCCTGTTGTAAAGGTGAAGATGAATCTCCTGAAAATTGTGACTTCGTAACAAATGCCAGTTCTAAATGTACTAAAGCTGTTAAAGATGGTCTTGACTTTATCAGTAACATACGTATAAATCCATATGGTCTTTATGAAAATTGTGACGATCAGACTGGCCGCTATCTAGATAATAAAGCATTTACATCCCGACGAGGTGTCAGAGAGCGAATTGGTTGGTCATTGATAGGCGACTCTTTGAATCAAACAATAAAAAATCGATTATCTGTTAGAAGTAAAGTGCTTCCTTGCACAGATGCAACTGCATTGATTAACTATTTATCTCGGAATGATGTTAGAGAGACTCTAAATATTCCAACATTCCTTCCCGATTGGAGTGATTGCTCAGAATTTGTCAACACTCACTATATCAAGCAATACCCAACCTTAAGGGATCAAGTTACCAAAACAATCAAAGCTGGCAAACGAGTGTTAATTTACAATGGCGACACAGATTTGGTCTGTGACTTTCTGGGCGATGAATGGTTTTCAGATTCCCTTGGTTTCCAACAAATTGGTGAATATAAAGCTTGGTATGTTAACGGACAAGTTGCTGGTTTTGTAAAACATTTTCGAGGTTTTGCCTTTGTAACCATCCGAGGTTCAGGACACTTTGTGCCTGAATGGCGACCTGTTGCATCTTTAGCTTTGATTAAAAAATTTTTGAAAAATGAACATTAATGTAAATTGTAAGGAGGACTAAAATGCATAAGAAAAACTGGTGAAGATAATTTTTCTAATGTGATATTTTATACTGACCCAAAAAATAAAGAATCCATCTAGTCTTTTCAAGATTAGAGTATTTTCACTCCATTTTTCTTGCGTTTTTATTTCAAATATGAAATTATCATTACTCATTATGCTTCTCTAAAAACTTTAATGATACGGTGATCTGATGTGTAATTGTGATTGTAAGTATTATATTAATATAATAATTTAATATAACCCAAATTGCTATTAGAGTGGTTACTAGTGCAATAGAGCCAAAAGTGGTTAAACTTTGTTTAGTGGAGATGATTTAAGATTGATGTATTGAGCCAATTTACCACAACTTTAATTCACTATTCAATCAATTTATAATAAAAATTGCTAAATTGTCTTCTCAGAAAAAAACTCCCACAAAACATGCTTAAAACATATTGTAATGTTACGTTTGTTATAACGATTAAAAATTGATTTCTTCAAATTTACTCTGTTGAATTGTAGGAGCATGAAAACTGAATCCATTTGTGCGATTTGAAAATTTCTCTGATCACCGGTCATCGAGAAAATGGAGGTCAAATTTGAAACTTGGATCGCCTTTTGTACAACTGTACGACCAGATTTTTTCATCAAACCATTTTCCTGGTGTAACTTTTGATGGCTAACGCAAAAATGCCCTTACTTTCAAAAATAAAACTTTTCTTTTTCTGTAAAACGGATAAGTTCGATTTTTAATCAAACCGACCGCATTTTGTGACCGTAAGATTTAGCGAGTTCAAACTTATTATTTGTCCATTAGAATTGTTGCTTTACATCATGGATCTAATACTTTTATCAATTCAATAACAGTTCGCTGGATTTCGACCATTGGTCTTAAAACTTTCAGCCTCAGTATTTCGAGAATGGCATCACCTACACTTATTATTCCTTCACCAATTCAACTCTTGTCTAATCAATAACTCAATTCAATGTAACAAATTTCCATTAACCACATTTTGTTATGGTTTTTGGGTTGTAAATGTACAAGGAACAACTTATTCAACAAAACAAACTCATGTAAACCCATTTCTTGGTAAATAAAGCAATTTTCTGGTTGAACAAAAAGTACTGCTAAAGGCTCGAACATTTGAGTAAAGAGTTGAGACTTGTGGGGCTTGTATGTTCATGTAAACTGTGTCCATTGGTGCAATTAAATAATTGGTTCAATAGACAGTTTTCGAGAAAATCGAGGTCAAAGCTGTAAATTCGAACGCCTTTTGTACAGCTATGGAAGCAGATTTTTTCATAAAACTCATTTGGCTAGTGTAAATTTTAATGATCAACCAGAAAATTCACTTATTTTTAAGAATAAAATTTTCTATTTCTTGTAAAACAGATCACTTCGATTTTAGATTAAACCGACCTCTTTCTACGACTGTAATAGTTAGAGATCTGAAACTTGTTATTCTTCAATAAAAATCGTTTGTTCACATTATGGATTGAATACTTTTTTGATTATATCAACAGTTCTCTTGATTTCGGCCATTGGTCTTAAAACTTTGAGCCTCAATATTTCGAGAATGGCATTACCTACAATCATCATTCTTTGAGCAAAATATTGAATTTTATCATAGCCTTTGAGGTATTCAAATTTTAGATAATTCAAGAGGCTACAAAAACAGGTATTATTTGGGGGATCAGATTTGATACTTTTATAAAGTTGAATGTTTACTAAACACAAATCTTATGCTTTAGAAAAATTTAAATGAATTAGCTCAGATTTCTTCAATATTCAGTCATATTATGTTGTAGGCTATTATTAAAGTTAATGTTTGGTCAAAGAATGATGATTTTAGGTGATGTCATTCTCGAAGTATTGAGGTATAAAGTTTTTAGGTCAATTGCCAAATCCAAGAGAGCAGCTGATATAATGAAAAAAGTATTGGACTAATAATTGGACTTTGATATAAATCCCAAGTCTGACCGAAAAAATACACGGAAAAGCAATTCATATTATAAAGAATATACACAAAGAATATGCATATTAAATTGCATTTAAACACGATTCATCAAGTCATATTACAGATTTTTAAATTCAGAAATCGCTAGAGTTTTTTAACCTAAACTGTAATCTTGTAGACACAAAACCTTATAACTTAGAACAGTCATTTCTTTACCGTCTTCTGCTATATAAGCCTTTGAATATCGTCCATGAACTTTACCAATGTATTGACCAGAAATCCTGTCAGCCCTTGACATTTGAAGTTCGTCATCCGTCTCGGAAAGGCCTCCACTTAGAGCGCCAATAGGTGCATGTCCATAATGATCGGATTCCCATACTAACACTGAAGGATCTTTCGCTACGAGTATTTCAAAACTTTCATATCTATAACCGTCGCCTCTCCAAGTAACTTCACATGCACTGGAACCGGAGTCAGGATCAAACATTCCAGGTAATAATTCCAATGCTCTCGATTTAGTTGTGTTGGCTCGACAAACATAAATTGATCTACCATTCCCATTAGTTCCACCAACAAAGGCATTCACAAGAGATGTATCTTTATTAACAAATGGTATCCATTGAGGTTCATTGAATTTAACTTTAAACTCACCTAAGAATATAAAATACGAATAGAGTTAACGAGCATGAATTATTTGCATAAGAAACGAAAAAACTTACCAATTTTTAGGTTGTTAGTTGTTGGAGATTCATGTTTAATTGTAATTGTAACTACAACTCCAATTGTTATTAGAGTGGCTACTAATGCAACAGCACCAATAGCGATTGAACGTTTGGTAGTTGAAGATGAGCTGAAATTGATGTATGAAGCCATTTTACCACAATTTTAATTCACTATCCACCATTCACAATCAATTTATAGCAAATTATATTGAATAGATTATGATTTAATTGTCTTAGCTCAAGAAACTCCCACAGAACGATAGACAAAAGCGATTTATCACATCTAACTTGAACAAAATTTGATTCTGATAATCTTTTTTGTACTCAAAACATGTTAAATGTAACTGCAACTCTAATTGTTATTAGAATGGCTACTAATGCAATAACACCGCTAGCTAATTATGATTAAATTGTCTTTTTTGTCCCCAAATACTCCCACAGATTGGTGCAAGAATCAATTTATCACATTATTGCACGTGAACGAAATTTGCTTCTGTTAAATTTGTTTAACAAACATTAGATTCATTATGGGCGATAATATAATATGACTGAATAACGATGAAAGATGGTCCAAATTTATTCAATAATGAATATCCTTTTAACATATCATAAGATTTGTGTTTGTGTATCATCAACTTTATAAAGCAAGTCTGACATTAATACAAGTAAATCATGGAGGTAATACAATGCTAGAACTTTTTTGTAGAATTTTGAATTTCATCATGCTATCACCCATAATAAAATCTATCGTTTGTTCAAAGAATGGCGGTTGTAAGTGTTAACATTATCGAAATATTGAGGCAGAAAGTTTTAACTTCAATCGCCTTTTGTGCAATTGTGGAAGCAGATTTTCTCATGAAACTTATTTGAACGATGTAAATTTTGATGCTCAACCAGAAAACCCACTTATTTTTGAGAATAAAATTTTATATTTCTTGTAAAACAGATCACTTCGATTTTAGGTTCAACCGAACTCTTTCTGTGACCGAAATAGTTAAAGATCTGAAACTTGTTATTCTTCGATAAAAAGCGTTTGCCCATATATTGGATTGAATATTTTTTTCATTATATCAACAGTTCTCTTGATTTTGGCCATTGACCGCAAAACTTTATAGTTCAATATTTCGAGAACGACATTACTTAGAATCATCATTCTTTGACCAAACATTAAATTTCGTTATGGCCTATGGTGTATTCAAATTTTAGACAATTCAAGAAGCTACGAAAAAAGATATAACGCTGTATTATTTAGGGGGTGAAATTGAATCCTTGACTAATAAAGGCTAATGATTACTTGTGCTGTGTTGAGCATATTCATTATTAGATGATTTAGCTCAGATTTCGACAATATTCGGTCACATTATGTTATAGTTCATATTGAAATTTAGTGTCTGGTCAAAGAATGATGCTTGTAGGTGATGTCATTCTCGAAATATTGAGGTATAAAGTTTTTAGGTCAATGGCCAAACGTAAGAGAACTGTTTATTTAATGAAAAAAGTATTCAATCCATAATGCGAACAAACAATTTTTATCGACGAATAACAAGTTTCAGATCTCTAACTATTTCGGTCATGAAAAGAGGTCGTTTTAACCTAAAATCGAAGTGATCTGTTTTACAAGAAATAGAAAATTTTATTCCTAAAAATAAGTGAGTTTTCTGGTTGAGCATCAAAATTTACACCAGCCAAATAAGTTACATGAAAAAATCTGCTTCAATAACTGTACAAAAGACGATCGAAGTCTCAACTTTGAACTCGATTCTCTCAAAAACTATGCATCAGAGAAAGTTTTTAATCAAATAAATGGACTCAGTTTATAATTCTCCACAAGCAAACAGAGTCTAAACTTGAAAGAAAATCATTTTTACCCTGTTTTTGACCATTTGTTTTCTGTGTTTGTGTCAGTTTGTGCATAAATGTAACAATTGTGTTTATAAGCCTTTTTAGTAACAACTAAAAGTCATCTTCGATGATTGTAGTAAAAGCGATGCAAGTTTTGGATTTGAACTGCTTTTTCTCGATGACTACCGATTGGACAAACTTTTAATAGTCTAATGGCCTCAATTTTCATGCTCCTACGAACCAAATGTGACAATTTTGTCTTATTAGTAACAATCCATTTCGTTTCTAACATTTGTTATCAACTTATAAAAGAATGGAATTAGATCCACTTCTAAAGTTTTGAAAAGCTAACGCCAAATGGCTTAACTGTAAAATATCGCCAAGAAATATGGACTTGAATCGAATCCAACAATTTACAATAATCATTGCAAAATTAAACCTACCAAGTATTGTTTTACTTGATTCAAAGAATCGAAGTTTCATTCTTAAATGAATATTTCACTTAACTTCAGTAGATATTTATATCTAATTTTATTTATTAAACACGATTCATCATGTACCCTTTACAATTTGCTCTTTGCTCATTACAGATATTTAAACTTTATAAACTCAACTAAACCAGGGAAGTTACATTTGAAATACAGTAGTAATACGGTTGCGATCGTGCGCCTAGACCAGAAGCTAAGAGTCACATTACACTGTGGGTCTTTGGGAGTAATGCGATTTTATCAACACTTGGTAACAGTTTGTCAACCTAAACTGTAATCTTGTAGACACAAAACTTGATAAGTTCGAACGGTCCTTTCTCTGCTGCCATATGCTACATAGGCCCTTGAATGTCGCCCATGAACTTTACCAATATATTGACCCGAATTAATATCAGCTCTTGATATTTGAAGTTCATCATTCATCTCGGAAATGCCTCCACTTAGAGCACCGATGGGTGCATCTCCATAAGTATCGGATTCCCATACTAGAACTGAAGGATCTTTTGCTACGAGTATGTCAAAATCATAATATCTATAAGAGTCATCTCCCCAAGTAACTTCACATGCACTGATACCGGAGTCAGGATCAAACATTCCAGGTAATAATTCCAATGCTCTCGATTTAGTTGAATTGACTCGACAAACATAAATTGAACTGGACCGAGCATTAGTTCCACCAACAAAGGCATTCACAAGAGATGTATCTTTATCAACAAATCGTACCCATTGAGGTTCATCGAATTTAACTTTAAACTCACCTAAGAGTATAAAATACGAATAGAGTTAACAATTATTCATTATTTGCAAAAGAAACAAAAGAAACTTACTTTTTATTAATAGGTTGTTAGTTGATGAAGATCCATGTTTAATTGTAATTGTAACTACAATTCCAATTGTTATTAGAGTGGCTACTAGGGCAACAGCACCAATAGCGATTGAACGCTGTTTAGTTGAAGAGAAGCTGAAATTGACGTATGAAGCCATTTTACAACAACTTTAATTCACTATTCAATCAATTTATAGCAAATTTCATTGAATGAATTATGTTGAATTTTTTTTTCGAACCAAAAACTCCCACAGAATGGTTAACGAAATCCTATTGATTTTATTTATTTTATTACATGGAACCGTGAAAATGATTGAAAGTAAGATAAAAGTCAATGATGATTCCATTGAAATCCAATTGACGTTAATATGAAATTGATTAGATGATTTGGAATCATTTCTTGAAAACTACAGTTGATTTGATGAATCCTGTGATCACTTACAAATCGTGAATACTCCTTTTAAATGATTTATATTCTTGTACCTTAAGTCATCAAATAGACTCACTTTTATCTAACATATCAAATATTTGATATGTTAGTTTCTCATGTTCATATGAACATGAGTAAACTCATGTAAACTTTACAATTGAATCTAGATAATTACAGATTTTTAAATTTTAAAACTCAGCACGATCGTTGAATTCACATTTGAAATATTACTATCATAGTGGCATTGGTGGAACTGGTTGGCTTTTGTTCTAAGCCTCGATCAGAAGCTAAGAGTCACATCACAAGTCGGGTCTTTGGAAGTAATGCGATTTTTATCAACATTTGGTAACAATTCCCAGCCTGTAACTATCAACCTAAACTGTAATCTTGTAAGTAATCCAGATTTATTTAATAATGAATATCCTTTTAACACATCATAAGATTTGTGTTTGTGTATCATTTAACTTTATAAAGTAAGTCTGACATTAATGCAAGTAAATCATGGAGGTAATACAATGCTAGAACTTTTCTTGTAGGATCTTCAATTTCATCATGTTATTACCCATAATAAAATCTATCGTTTGTTCAAAGAATGGCGGTTGTAAGTGTTAACATTATCGAAATATTGAATCAGAAAGTTTTAAGACCAATGGTCAAAATCCAGTGAAGTGTTGTTAAATTGATAAAAGTTTTAGATTCATGATGTAAAGCAACAATATTTGTGGGCAAATAATAAGTTTGAGCTCGCTAACTCTTAGGGTCACTCGAATTGCCAGGTTTAACCTAAAATCGAAGTGATCTGTTTTACAAGAAAGAGGTAATTTCATTCCTAAAAATAAGTTCATTTTCTGGTTGAGCATCAAAATTTACACCAGCCAAATGAGTTTCAGGAAAAAGGTTTCAGGTGATCGGAGAAATTTTTCAATAGTACCAATGATTTCAGTTTTCAGTTTTCTTCAACAAACCCACAAAGTCTAAATTAAAAGAAATTGATTTTTACCAGCAAAATGACTTTTATGAAAAACTTTTCTTTTAAATTACTTTTATTGAAAGACACAACACCACAATCGAAACTAATGGGCAAAAAAGAATAAAAATAGACTTCTTTCAAATTTAGACTCTATGGGTTTGTATGAGCATGAAAACTGAATCCATTAGTGCTATCAAAAATTTCTCTGGTCGCCAATCATCGAGAAAATCGAAGTCGAATTTGAAACTTCGATCGCCTTTTGTACAATTATGGCAGCAGATTTTTTCGTAAAACTCATTTGGCTGGTGTAAATTTTAATGCTCAACCAGAAAATGCATTTATTTCGAGAAATAAAATTTTCATTTCTTGTAAAACAGATCACTTCGATTTTAGGTTCAACCGGCCTCTTTCTACGACTGTAATAGTTAGAGATCTGGAACTTGTTATTCCCGGATAAAAATCGTTTAGCCACATAATGGATTGAATACTTTTTTCATTATATCAACAGTTCTCTTAATCTTGGCCATTGATCTAAAATTTTTATAGCTCAATATTTCGAGAGTGACAGTACCTAGAATGAGCATTCTTTGACCAAACATTAGATTTTATTATGGGCTAGGCTGTATTCAAATTTTGGATAATTAAAGAGGCTATGAAAAAAGATATAACGCTGTATTATTTAGGGGGTCAGATTTGATACTCGATTAACAAAGGTAAATGACTACTTATGCTGTGTTGAAAGATTATTCATTATTAGATGAGTTAGCTCAGATTTTTTCGATATTTAGTCACATTATGTAATAGCCCATAATAAAATTTAGTGTTTGGTCAAAAAATGATGGTTGTAGGTGATGTCATTCTCGAAATATTGAGCTATAAAGTTTTTAGGTCAATGGCCGAAATCAAGAGAACTGTTGATATAATCAAAGAAGTATTTGGTCCATAATGTGAACAAACGATTTTTATCGACGAATACCAAGTTTCAGATCTCTAACTATTACGGTAATAGAAAGGGGTCGGTTTAAATGAAAATCGAAGTGATCTGTTTTACTAGAAACAGAAAATTTTATTCCTAAAAATAAGTACATTTTCTGGTTGAGCATCAAAATTTACACCGGTAGTAATGAGTTTGAGTAAAAATCTGCTTCCACAATTGAACAAAAGGCGATCGAGGTTTCAACTTTGCACTCGATCTTCTCGAAAACTATGCATCAGAGAAAGTTTTTAATCAGATAAAAGGACTCAGTTTTTATGTCTCCACAAGCGAACAGAGTCTAAACTTGAAAGAAAATCATTTTTACCCGTTTTTGACCATTTGTTTTCTGTATTTGTGTCAGTTTGTGCATAAATGTAACAATTGTGTTTATAAGCCTTTTTAGTAACAACTAAAAGTCTGCTTCGATGATTGTTATGAAAGCGATGCAAGTTTTGGATTTGAACTGCTTTTTAGGGTACTTGCGAACGGTAGTCATCTACCGATCGATACCTAACTTTTAACAGTCTAATGGACTCAGTTTTCATGCTCCTACGAGCCAAATGTGACAATTTTGTCTTATTAGTAACAATCCATCGTTACTAATATTTCTATCCACTTATAAGAATGGTATTAGATCCACTTCTAAAGTTTTGAAAAGCTAACGCGAAATGGCTTAAAACTGTGCAAGATAGACATGAAATATGAACACAAGATAAGCTGGTCTTAATTAGCAGTCGAATTGAAAAATTGAAATAAACCGAAATAGCAACAATTCAAAAATCATTATTAATTGAATGATTTAACTTGACTTCAGTGAATTTTTATATCTAATTTTACATTTTACAATTTGATCTTTGATCATCACAGATATTTAAATTTAATAAACTCGACTAAGCAGGAAATTTAAGTTTGAAATAGTACCAATGTACAGTACCAAGGTGCCAATGATCGAAAGCCTAGACCAGAAGCTAAGAGTCACATCACAATGTGGGTTTTTGGGAGTGATGCGATTTTATCAACATTTGGTAACAATTTGTTAACCTAAACTGTAATCTTGTAGGCACAACACTTGATAACTTGCGACGGTCTTTTCTAAGCGATCGTATGCTACATAAGCCTTTGAATGTCGTCCATGAACTTTACCAATGTATTGACCTGCACCAATTTCAGCTCTTGATATTTGAAGATCATCTTTCCACTCGGAAATGCCTCCACTTAAAGCACCGATGGGTGTATCTTTATATGTATCGGATTCCCATACAAACACTGAAGGATCGTTTGCTACGAGTATTTCAAAATTATCATCAGTATAAGATTTGCCGCCCCAGGTAACTTCACATGAACTGTAATAGTTGCTAGGATCAAACATTCCAGGTAATATTTCCAATGCTTTAGTTGAATTGACTCGACAAACGTAAATTGAACTGTACCAAGGATTTTTACCAGCTACAAAGGCATTCACAAGAGATGTATTTTTATCAACAAATCGTATCCATTGAGGCTCAATGAATTTGATTTTAAACTCGCCTAATGATATAAAATACGAATACAGTTAACAATCATGAATTATTTGTACAAGAAATAAAAAACTTACTTTTTAGGTTGTTAGTTGATGAAGATTCATGTTTAATTGTAATTGTAACTACAACTCCAATTGTTATTAGAGTGGCTACTAATGCAACAGCACCAATAGCGATTGAACGCTGTTTAGTTGATGAGAAGCTGAAATTGACGGATTGAGCCATTTTACCACAACTTTGATTCACTATTCAATCAATTTGTAGCAAATTTCATTAAATGAATTATGATTAAATACTCTTTATTGGCCCAAAAACTCCCACAGAATGGTTAACAAAATCATATTTATTTAAATTTATTTTGATTAAATTGAACCGTGAAAATGATTGAAAGTGAGATTAAAGTCAATGATGATTTCATTGAAATCCAATTGACGTTAATATGAAATTGATTAGATGAGTATCATGATTTGGAATCATTTCTTGAACGCTACAGTTGAGATGAAACCTGTGATCACTTACAAATCGTAAATACTACATTTAAATAATTAATATTCTTGTACCGTAAGTTCTCAAATAGACTCAATCCAAATTAATAAATGATTTGACTCGATTTCAGTGAATATTCATATTTAGTTCGTTTATCAAGTCATGTACACTTTACAATTGAATTTTGATAATTTACAAATTATTAAATTTTAAAACTTCAGCACAAGCAGGGAATTTACATTTGAAATATTACTGATACGGTTGGCATTGTCCGAAGCCTTGATCATAAGCTAAGAGTCACCTCACAAGTCGGGTCTTTGGAAGTGCTGGGATTTTCATCAACATTTGGTAACAGTTCTCAGCTTGTAACTATCAACCTAAACTGTAATCTTGTAGGCACAGAACTTCATAACTTATAACTTCCTTTTCTTTGTCGTCATATGCTACATAAGCCTTTGAATGTCGACCATGAACTTTTCCGATGTATTTACCCGAGCCAATTGCAGCTCTTGATATTTGAAGATCGTCTTTCCACTCGGAAAGGCCTCCACTTAAAGCACCGATGGGTGTATCTCCATATGTGCCGGATTTCCATTCAAACACTGAAGGATCTTTCGCTACGAGTATTTCAAAATTATCATAAGTATAAGATTTGCCGCCCCAGGTAACTTCACACGACCTGTAATAGTTGCTAGGACCAAGCATTCCAGGTAAGATTTCCAATGCTTTAGTTGAGTTGACTCGACACACGTAAACTGTTCTAGACTGACTAGTAGAACCAGCAACAAACGCATTCACAAGAGATGTATCTTCATCGACAAATGGTATCCATTGAGGTTCGATGAATTTAATTTTAAACCCACCTAATGATATAAAATACAGTTAACAATCACTAATTATTTGAATAATATAAGAAACAAAAAACTTACCATTTTTAAGGCTGTTGCTTGATGAAGATTCATGTTTAATTGTAATTGTAACTACAACTCCAATTGTTATTAGAGTGGCCACTAATGCAACAGCACCAATAGCGATTGAACGTTTGATAGTTGTGGGTGAGTTAAAATTGACGTAGTCTGCCATTTCACTACAATTTTAATTCACTATTCACTATTCACAACCAATTTATGGTAAATTTTATTGAATGGATTATGATAATATTGTCTTACCTCAAAAAAACTCCCACAGAACGGTAAACAAAATCAATTTATCACATTGCACTCAAACAAAATTAGATTCTGATAATCTTTTTTTGCCACTTAAAAATGTTAAAACATCAAATTATCGATTTGATTGTGATTAAATGGATTCGTGGAAATAATTGAAAATTGGATGCAAAATCAATGCTTGATTCCATTGTTTATCCAATTGATGTTAACATTAAATTAATCATCATTTCTTGAATTAGTTGATGGATTGTCTGCTTCAACCGATTAGATTCAATTATTGATTTATTGACACCTAATTAACTGTACTAATAAAAGTCTTTGCTTGTTTATTCCGATAAAATGTAATTTCGTTGTGACTAAAACCAAAAGGGTTTCAACTTAAAATCATATTCATCTTATTGATGGCCCATCAATTTTGACAATGAATAACAACAATATTGACAATTTAGTTACCATTTTTAATTATTTAAATGAATGTGTGAAAGCTGTGAATAATTGAATTGCGACTTTTGCCTTTTTTATGCCTTTAATTATCTTTATTGGGTTCAAATAAATCAAATTGCTTTACTGATCATTCACTTGGTTACGAGCAAATAGCAGTCTATGTTAGGACATAACCCTTGAATGTGTTGTTCAATATTCAATATATTGATTACTGTTGAGACAAATGCAAATTTCAATCAATCATATTGGCAAAACAGGAAATTATCATGTGAAAAGGCATGGGAATATTCATTCAATTTCATTGAAACAGTTTATCAATGTACTTGGTATCGCAATTTAAGACTGACATAATATTAGATCACGAAAAATCTAATAATTTTGATAAAATGTTCAATAGATAAGTCTACATAAGTGTATCTAAAATACATCTTTAAACTGATCATTGTGTCTGCATTAAATTGATAATAAAATATATTCTGAGCATAAGCAGACGTTGATATAATAACTTTTGCATATTGATTTTGATACAGATTCTAGACCGGATTTTCTTTATCATTATCGTGATTATATTTCTAGAATAATTTAACAATATTTTTGATCATTTGCACTGAAAAATAGAGTCTATTTGTAACATTTGTTTCTAGACTTGAATAATGAATTGCGTAAAATGAAATAAGGTGTCACAATGAATCGGGTTCAATTATTAATATTAAACAGATTAAGGTTATGGAATGAGATATTGATCATGGAGTGATCTGCTCAATACACAATTTAATTTGTTGAAACAATTGTATTTGATTTCCAATAATTTTCACCATCAAGCTTGTAGGCTTTATTTAAATGATGTTTTTATATTTAATGATATTAATATGGTTCCTTAAATGCATTTGTTTTCAATTGTAAACAGTATAAACAATGATTGGCCAGTGAATCTGATGACCTTTGCTGAATTCAAAACATCTATTAACAGTTAGTAAAATTGTGTGTATTTATCATCAAGTTTACAATCAAATTCATACATTCAGTTTCATATGTTTTAGGTTTCTCTTTTTTTGAATTGAGCGCGTTTCATTTGCTACTAGTGACGATGATTACATATTTTCCCGCATTACAAAAAAGGTGTAGCTCAAAATTTTGATTTATTCATTTCATCTAGAGTTGGACGATAACTGGAAAACGAGATATCGATAGATATTGTTATTCCATAAATTGTTATCGATATTTATCGATAAATTATTGATAATTTATTGTTATTGTTATCGAAAAAAATATCATGAAAATTGAAGCATTTTATAAAAAACATTTTGTATGGCCTCGAAAAAAAACCAACATTTCAAAATTTTCTAGTTTGATTTCACTTCAATTTTACTTTGATTTGACTTCACGGCAAGTAATTTTTTAACCAGTATAAAATCAGCTTGAAATTCGACCATAAGATGTGGCCTTAAGAGGTTTAATTGCCCATTCACATATGTTAATGTTTATCGATAACTCAAAAAAGTTATCGATATATTGTTTTATCTAATTTATCGATAACTATCGATATTTTTATTGTTATCGTCCAACTCTACTTCTGACCAAACAGGTCTTTTTCCTTAAATCTTTACTTGTGACCCTTTGAAATCCATTTCAACTTTACACTTTCATCAATTATCATCGTTTTCCATTATAACTTTTCATTTGTTTCTCATTTGTTTCTCATCATTTACATCCAGTCAATCTTTGCAACAGTTTTGCATCATTTATCATGTTTTGTTCCATCCCTTCATCATATTAATTGTTGCATCTGTAGGTATTTATACTTTTGCTATAATATCTAAAAGTATTTCTCATTTCATCAGTTTTTTTTCATTATCAATTGTTCCATATTTAAATATATTTGTATTTTTTTTCTCATTGTTTGATTTCTTTTAGTGTCTCTATCTCATTTTATTACGTATAAAAATTGCTAAAATTGATGCTGATCAAGTTAATATTTCGATGGAGGATATAGTGTTATTTGATTATGCCGATGATGAGAAATACAGTGCATGAAAATTATCCCATGGACTCAGGATTCGTATTTTTTTCTCATTGTTTAATTTCTTTTAGTGTCTCTATCTCATTTTATTGCGTCCGAAATGTCCGCAAACATTTCAACTCCTGTCCGTGCTCGAGGCAGAGCATCATCATCACATCGTCAGTTTGCTGCTGAAACACTAATCCGGACAATCCCTCCAGATTCAATTACCAAGGTGTTTCAAGGAGAAGTTCCTGTTTGTCTTTGCTCAAATCATTTTTCGATGATAACTCCTACTAATGTGATTATCCATAGATATCACGTAAATTTCGATCCAATCGTAGAGTCTCCTAAAATCAGAAGATATCTTATTTATTCGCATCGCGAAGTATTCGATAATACTTACATTTACGACGGTGAAGCAGATATAAAGGCTTTAAGAGAAATCGCAGAGCCATTGAATTTTCAAGCCGTATCTCCACACAATAGGCAGAGTGTTACAATAAATATGCAACCCACTGGAAAGATTTCATGGAACCATCCAGAAATGGTGAGTCTTTACAATACAGTGTATTGAATACACAGATGCGAAATAATCTCAAGTTGATTGGAATGAAATTTTTTCAATCAAGAAAAAAAAGATATTCCTGATCATCAAGATAAAGTCTGGCCTGGTATATTGACTGCTATAAATGAACATGATGGAGGTATCAGCTGTCTTTATAAAATTATACGAAGAACCTCAGCCCTTGACATATTAAAGCGGCTTAAGCACAACGACAAACAATTCTTCAACAATGCTCGTCGTGAATTAAGTGGCTCAATTATTATGTCTCATTTCAATAAAAAGACTTACCGAATTGATGACGTTATTTTCGATAAAAATCCAGTCACCTATCACTTTGATAAACAAGGTACCTCAATCTCTTTGAAAGATTAGTATAAAGATCAATATAAAATTGAAGTAAATAATGATATTCAACCTCTCCTTTTGGTTAAACCAACTGAGAAACAACAGCGTGGAGGATTTAAACAGGATATTATCCTCGTACCTGAACTGTGTATATTAACTGGCATCACTGAGAATATGAAGAATGACATGTCATTTCAACGTGAATTGGATCAACACATTCGCCTAGATCCAGTTGAAAGGTTGAATATAATGAAAAAAAGTGTCGATAAAATAATCAACAACGAACAGGCTCGAGTTGAAATGGAACAATGGAACATAGCATTAGATCCTTACCCAGCTGAAGTAAACGAAAGAGTTCTGCCTCCTGAACAGATTTTCCTGCCTGATGAAACCCGTGGAATTCCAGGTGAACAACAATCTGGATCTTTTGATTCCCTTATAAGATCTGAACAGCTGATTAAACCTGTTGACTTGAAATATTGGGTGATTGTTGCGCCTATGCATGAAAAGGGTACAATTGAACAGTATTTTGCTTCCTTGGTAAACGTTAGATCATAAGAGACAGACTTCAAACTCAGTGCTCCTAAATTTTTGTGGCTAGAAAATGATCGAACATCAACTACTATTGAGAATTTCCGTAAAATTCCAAGTATGGCTAAAATAGTTCTTATTGTTGTGCCCAACAGCAATCGAAAGCGATACAATGCTGTCAAACAGTATTTTTGCTGTGAAAAACCCTGTCTAAATCAAGTTCTAACCAGCAAAGACTTAAATAATGATGAAATTCAATTTTTAATAGACTTAAGCCTGGAATGCCCATCAAAATGGGTGCTCAAGCTTGGCCAGTCCATATTCTGGTAAGTAAAGATTTACTTTTCTCTTTCAAATTTTAAACCTTAAAGGTTTATTGATTAAGTGTTTTTTTTATTTAAAACAGGCTGAATGTACAATGTTTGTTGGTTTCAGTACTTGTAAAGACACCGATAAAAGAGACCAAACTGTTGGAGCTTTTGTTTGCAGTACAAATGCAAAAGCAACTTCATGGTTTTCCCAAGTTTCTTATCACAAAACATTTGAAGAAATGTCTTCTAATTTTACGGCCAATTTCAAAAGTAATTTTTTTAATTTTCATTTAGTTTTTTTCTCAATTACTTTGATATTTTTAATTTCAACTTTTTTCTCTGGCTTTTCAAGGTGGATTGGAAGCTTGGAATCGAGAAAACAACCGTTTTCCCAAGCATATAATTATCTATCATGATGGTTTTTCAGGGACAAATTGGCTTTATTTATAAAACTGAAGTTGAAAAAATATCAGCCCTTCTTGATGGTTATGAAGATCTCACAGAAGCTGGAATTGCATTCATAACTGTTAATAAGCAACTTAATGCGAGATCAGATCCAAATGGCCCTGTAAAGAATCCTATTGCCGGTACTGTCATTGATTCAGTTGTAACACGAAAGGAGAGATGCAATTTTTATCTAATCAGTCAATCAGCCCGATTTGCAACCGTCAATCCAACAATGTTTCACATAATTAAGGATACCACTCGATGGAAACCGTTCCATCATCAATTACTGGCCAATAAATTATGCAATCTTGATTATAATTTGACTGTAAGTTGATTTAAAATTTCATTCTTATTCAACCTTTTCTAATTTCTTTATTTAATATTTCTCTTGAATAGGATAAAATTTCTGTTCCAGTGCCATATCATTATGCATATAAATTGGCCTTTTTGATTGGTAATTATGATACATCCATCAGGAGCCTGATCATGCTTTAGCAAACCAACTCTACTTTTTATAATCAATCGTAAAGAAAACTCTAATCCATCGTCTTTGTCTTTTCTTATTTCACCTTTTGTTTATTCCTTTTGAACCATCCTTGACAACTTGCTCGCTTGATTCGAAGATAGTTTCAGAGTTTTGATTTTAACCAATAAAACATCTCATCATATTGGCCATAAATCGAAATAAACTTTTCATTTCCTTCACTAATTATTTTAATCTGGAAACTTGTGAGCAACTCCAAATCATGAATAAAGTTTTATGATGAAATAAATGCTAGAAATTAAAGGTTATCCAGAATAAGCACTCTTTAATTAGTCGTTATATAATATATTTCAATAAGGATAGTAGAGGGTAGCCTTATACACAATCACGGTGTTTAATATCATGGTAACAATTCCAGCCACAAATGCCATTAAACCGAATGAAAAAATTAAAGTATAAATATGATTCTACCAACATATTCACAACATTGCAACTCTCCACTCTCTAATAATCGCTATTTTGTCCACTCAATCCAATCCAATGATATCCAGAACAACAACAAGGAAACTGAATATTCCCGATTAACCATCATTTTGAAGTACTAACCCGTTATTATTATTGACTTGGATTGGCATATTATGTACTGTAAAGAAATCCTTTATAATACATGTAACTTTCATGTTTTTGATGTTAAACTGAATATCACAGGTTAATTAGTGATAAAATTAAAATAACTTTTTTATACAAAACAATATGTTCGTTAATCATTATTAAACAAGTGTTTCACTTATCAAGGTGAAGGTAAATGTATCAAGGGTGAAAGCATAATCATTTTTCAGATGTAAAATTAATCAGAAATACAATACAGTTTGCTATTGAAAAGACTACCTAATTAACTAAACAAAGGATCAAGTTGATCTTGTTGGCGACAGTTTCATCATTTGAAATCATGCAAAAAAATTTTCCTAAAAAATGAACAAAATATGAAGATATGGATTCAGTAAGGAACTGCGCTCTAGGTGTCTTCTTCATGCGCTTTAAGTGTCTCAAAAAGTTTGGACTCATTAGACCACTAAAGCAAACAGTTGTAAACCTTTGATTTAAACGCTAATCCAATTACTGGTTTTTCAAAGATTTTTTTTTCAAGAATTGACCAGGGAACAACATTTTTACAAAATTTACTATTGTTATGAATAACATTTACTTCATTGAAAATCGCTTTTAATGATGCTGACGGAGACTCCTTAATTTTGGTTAAATTTTGGTTTTGATTTTTAAATTCGATTTTACATTTATGGAAGTAGATTTTATCAAGAGACTTTATTTTACTGATGTAAATCTAAATGGTTAACCAGAAAATGCATTTATTTTTTTAAATAAAACTTTTGTTTTCCTGCAAAGTACATAAGTTCGATTTGCATTTAAACCGACATATTTCTATGACCGGAACAGTTAAAGATTTGAAACTCATTATTGGTCCACAAAAACAATTTGCACACATTATGGATTGAATCATTTTTTTGATTTATTACTGGTTCTCTTGATTTCAGCCATTGGCCTAAAAACTTTGAACCTCAATATTTCGACAATGGCATAACCTAAAATCATTATTCTTTGAACAGACATTAGGTTTTTATTATCAACTGTACAAAAGACGTTCAAAGTTTCAACTTTGACCTTGATTTTCTCGAAAACTATCTATCGGACGAATTATTTAATAGTACCAATAGACTGCAGTTTACAACAGAGTTCACCAAGTTTCAACTCTTTACTCAAATGTTCGAGCCTTTGGCAGCAGTCTTTGCATTACATTGAAATGTTTAACCAGAAAATTGGTTTATTTACCCAAGAAATGGGTTAATATGAGTTTGTTTTGTTGTTATAAGCTAACGCTTGTCCATTTAAAGCCCAAAAAGCATAAGCAAAGTGCGTTAAGAGAAATTTATTAAATTGAATTGAGTTATTTATTATTAAATGATGTGATTGCGAAAAGAATACTGATTTTAGGTCAAGCCATTCTCGAAATATCGAGGTTTAAAGTTTTAGGAACAATGGCCAAAAACAAGAGAACAGTTTATGAATTGAAAAAAGTATTTAAACCACAATTTGTATCAACAATACTTATGAGCAAATAAATAGTTTCAGATCGCTAACTATAGTGGTCATAGAAATATGTCGATTCAAACGAAAATCGAACTTGATCTGTCTTTTAGTAACCGATTTTAAACTGGACAATTGTAAAAAATGATAAAAATTTCATTATGAGCATTATTCAATATGTATTATAAATAAGTAGTTCAGTTTTTATTAGAATTTTTTACTTACAGAAAATTGAGCAATTTACAATAATATACCCTGCTTAATTCATTTAGTAAAAACGTAAAAACATTCCGGGATTCTTGATTTTTTGAAAGTAAGGAGAATCTGGAGAACCAGGAGAATCAGGAGATTCTGGAGAATCAGAAGATTCTGGAGAATCAGAAGATTCTGGAGAACCAGGAGAATCTGGAGAACTAGAAGAATCTGGAGATTCTGAAGACTCGTGAACTTCTCGTGAAGATTCTTCAATTTCGTTCTCACTTGAATTTTCCTCGTTTGAACTCTCCTCTGAATTTGCATAATTCATGTTCGCGAAATTCGTTCCAATGTATCCTTCTGTAAACAGGAAAAAAATTAACCGATAATCCAAAATCTTAGGTCTTTGTCTCGGTCTCTCAGGAAAAGCCGGTAAACTTTTAAAAATACGATTTGCTGACGAAAAAGGAACATTTTCAGATGTTTTTAAGTGGAATTCACGAGTGACAAGAGTAAGTTTTTGTTGATTGATGAAACCATTGGTTCTCTTTATTAGCTGTTTTAACTCGTCCACTAGCACTTCCATAACATTTATTTCATTTTGTATTCTTTCGTTTTCCATCAAAACTAAAAGCCGTGACTTGGAAAGGATTCTTTTCATAGCATCAATGTTAGAAGACATTTTCAAGAAAACACTTTTTTTTGAAGAAAAACTTGAAAATTTGCAAAAACAGTCACAAATTTGAAAGACTTGATAAATAAATGAATAAAATAATTCGAATTAATTATCGAATTTAATTGGAAGCTCCTCTTGTACCGCCATCTATTGTTTTCTTATAATACTGAGTATAACAAAAAAATAAAATAAATGAAGGTTTCACTTTAATAATAGATCAGTGGTTAAAGATTTGGTCAAGTTGAATGAGTGATGAATGGATCAACGTCTCGTTTGGAGAATCTTTTTGCGAAAATTTAAATATAATTTTTTCAAAGACGCAAAAACTGTCACTTATTTGACCATTTCCTTCTGCGCTCGTGTTTCTGGTCTGTAAATAGTTTTTAATCAAGTTCAAAGCAGGAATTGAATCTTTTTAAAAGGGCTCATCTCAATGTATGTAGACAATGTACCAAAACCAGTTAAAGGTTGAAGATCTCTAGAGCCGCTTAACAGTCTCCAGAGATTTCAGTGAACTTAGGGTTCGAAGAATAGGCACAATTGATGATGGACTGGACAGAAGTGAGTTCAAAGCAATCAAAGTATTATATGTTGATAAGAAAAATTTGGAAAAACGGTATTAATGATAGATGACACAGACCAATTCAGGTGGTCCTTATCTCTTTAAACTTTAAATCCACCGGTTACTATTAAAACTATTTTTAAATTTTCGATGCATGTACCAATAGTTTTAACTATCTCTGACACTTGCAAGGCAATCACTCGGGTGAGGGTGAGGGTAACAATTAAAACTTGAATGTTATCACTGGACACAAGTGAGTTGGAAGCGATCAAAGTATAAGCACAAGTTTTATCGGTGACTAAACAAGAGTGAAGAACCATGTCAACGCCGATTCTTCCAAGCTGAACAGATTCTTTTTGAATAGTCCATAATTTTCCGAATCCAGATCTGGCTAGAACCTTGAGAAGTCTTTGGTTTAGATGAGCAAATTTAATATTTTCAAATTATAATTTAAGAGCCTCTGATAGTGGTGAGTTGTGATCTGCCATTTCTAAACTCATTAATCGATATTTTTAAAGTACCATTTAGTAACAGTTGAAGATTCAAGAGGATTCTTTGCAAATTTTTCCAGAGAAATTGTTATTATCTTTCTTTGTATACCGCATCACCGTTAAATGTTTTCAATTTTAGCGTAATTTGAGGCCAATTTCTATTGTTTCACAATGGTTGAGTTTGATGACGACATAGATACATGTAGGAATAGGTTGTCAAGATAAGACTTTTTACATTCTCCACGACACCATCACATGGATCCCATTTAGGTAAACTTATACTCTCTCTAATGCAAAGGTTATCATATAAAGTCATAATAAGTAAAAAAAACAAACAAACAAAATTCAACATAAATCAAAAAATTGTAAAATTGGAACCAACCTTCATTTTGCCAGTTGATACTTTCATTTGACGATATTTCCATAAACATCTTCACATGTGAGCAAAATGTCAGGCGAGAAAAGTGAATCTATTGCGCCCATAACTCGCGAAGTTGTTAGTCTTTGGTTACTAGGATCAATCACAATAAAAATAATAATTATTTGATTTTGATAAGAGATAAAACAGAATAATTTAATATCCTCATCCCCTTTAGATCTGCGGCAATAAGACAAAATCATATAGATTGATAGGGTAATTGATTATAAAGTTCATAGATGACTCTGATGATCAGAGTCTGATCTAATGATGGATGATATTCATTTTTTTCCGATATCGATATTGAGATTTGGTCAAAATTTCGATAACGTTTAATTTCTATTCTTTTATAGAATATATCAGAACTTCTGATTCAGAAATTTCATGAGTCATGAGTCATGAAACGCTCACATAAGTCACTTTTTTCAATTACAGTAAAACCTCGCAAGGACGCAACCTCGCAACCTTACAAGGTTGTTAGCGATCCTGCCGCTTAGCGATATTGTTTAGATAACTCTTTGAAATTATTAACATAATTGCATTGTAAAACCCGGGAAAATCTTAAATCCCAAAGATGGCACTTTCATACAACCTTTGCGAGGTTTTACTGTACCTTCAATTTTAATTTTAACCTAATTTTTTAATTATATTCAATTTGTTAATTTAAAATTAAAATACTCTTTGAACCCAGTTTTACTAAAATTTACATTAATTTGTGTGTTCTCTCCATATGTGTTAACACTTAGAGTGTCCGTTATGGACACTTTAGTAGTGTAAAGGGTGTCTGGAGTAAAAAGCTAGAAGGACAAAAACACAAATGAAATTATTGGTTTGAGATAATTAAAATGTAACGAATAACAATGATTTAAGATAACACTTTCCTCAACGCCATCACTTGTAAGCGTTTAAGGCAAGTTATGGTCAGTTTAATCCATTTAAATTTAAATCAATTCACTAATTTTCGCTCCACTAATATTCTGTGATTATACTTTCTTTAAAGTAAAAACTTGTTAGACCAGAGATAAAGATGAACTAGTGAGTGTGTTTTGAGTGTGTGGATAGATTAGAAAGCAAAAGTAAAAACATTCACACCATCATCTTAATCTTTATCTTCTGAAAATTAGTTTGATCTTTGAATAAATCCCTGAGTCAGTGTGAGGAATGAAGAGCAAGCACATGACGGTGACACTTAATAGTTTGGCCCTCGCACATGAAAGTTATTTCACAATTCGTTTGATTATTGAAGCTGTATTGGAGACTACGAAATAGACTCGCCTCTATATTCATGTTGGTTATGAACATGATGTAACACTTCATGGATTCACTTTGATGGAACAACGGGAATCACTGACAAAAATTAAACTTAAAAATTTAAGTCTGATGATAATAACTGATGTAAAAAGATGAAATAATACACTTTAAAGATGTAAATGATGACCAGTTTCTATCAGACTGTCATGTTGCAAATTTTCTGGTTAAAGATTCAAAGATAAGATAAAAGTGTTAAGTAACTTGAACCCAGATTCATTAGTAAACATTAAACAGTAAAGGGTCCAGACTGTTTAAAGAAATTAACATTAAAATTGTATCTAATATTATATACTCTAGATGCTTGATTATCCCATTGGTAGACGGCGCCTATTTACACCAATCCACATCCCTTCACGCAGGTCTTTTCAATACGGAAAAATTATGGTTATTATTGTTGTCGACTTCTGACCAAACAGGTCTTTTTCCTTAAATCTTTACTTGTGACCCTTTGAAATCCATTTCAACTTTACACTTTCATCAATTATCATCGTTTTCCATTATAACTTTTCATTTGTTTCTCATTTGTTTCTCATCATTTACATCCAGTCAATCTTTGCAACAGTTTTGCATCATTTATCATGTTTTGTTCCATCCCTTCATCATATTAATTGTTGCATCTGTAAGTATTTATACTTTTGCTATAATATCTAAAAGTATTTCTCATTTCATCAGTTTTTTTTTCATTATCAATTGTTCCATATATTTAAATATATTTGTATTTTTTTCTCATTGTTTGATTTCTTTTAGTGTTTGTAATTACAATTCATATCATTCTCTAATGTGTAATGATAATTGATCAAATCTTATCATTTACACAACGATCTTACTTTGAATTGGTTTCCATCAAAAACTAACCATAGTCTATTCGTTCTGAAAACGGTTCACCAGTTTCTCATCATTTTGCATCATCAGCCAACATAGCCATCATTTTACATCCAGTCCAACTTTGCATCATTTATCGTCAATTTCATAATTAACATTCGCGTTATACCATCAACTCATCATCATATTAATTGCTAAAATCTGTAAGTATGCTACTACTCAAAGTTTATCATTTCCCCAGTTTTAACATCTTTTTCATTTATTTTTCAGTACAATTAGACTTCAAGAAAATATGGCCACTTTTTACTTTGATGGAGATAAGTTACAACAATGTCCATACCAACCTCACCATCTAGTTTTATCAAGACGAATGCTGGCTCACATGAGTAAATGTGCGAAAGATCCAAATTCACCTAAACTTAAGAAATGTCACTTTAACTCCCTTCATCGTGTAAAACCTTATGAAACGGAAATTCACGTTATGGAATGCGGTGACAATCGTCAAGCCATCCGTGAGATGTTCAATCCAGTTGTCCAGCCATCAAAACCAGCCATTAACACTCAACCTCAAACCGATAATACACAAGATTCATGGGAGAATGGCGGTATGGCTAAAGAATACCTGTTACCAGGATCAGAAGATAATCATGCTATAGAGGTTGATAGCGATAGTTTCATTCCTATTCAAAAACCATGCAATATGACGAAAGCTGAAAGGAAACGCCTGTATAATCAGTTCAATAAAAATGCTATCAAAAGAAAAAGATTTAATTGTACATAAAAGACTATGTTTAAATTGTCTAAATTAAATTACAAATGAAAATGAACATTTCAAAGCAAAAACTCAATCTTCAATCAATAGCAAAGATTAATGTAAGTTGAAAGCCTTTTCTACAATTAACTATTCCAACTTTGAGACAAAAAAAGGTAAGACAATTTGTCTTAATTCACACAATCAATTGAATTAAAACCTTTTAAGGATCAGGCATCATCCTGGTACAGAAATTAAATTAAAACTATTTGATTATTGATACACAATTGTCTATTTTGAAATTCATGTTGATTAATATTTTCGGTTATGAAAAGTGATATCAACACTAGCTTCAACATGAGCGAGATCAGTATATTGATTGTAATTGAAATTGTTTGATAGCGTTTATAAAAGCATAAAGACTTGATGCTTTAGCATTAACCAATTTATTTTGAATTGATTGCGCTAGTTTAAGATAAGCATATTGTTTCAAAGTCGATGTAATTAGCTCAAGAAAAGGACTTGAATCTTAAACATTGTTCATTTTGCAGCTAAGACTATATCTTTTAATTTTGCATTAAGCATTAAGGAGGAAGGTAAAAACTGCCTAAAAATGATTTTTTTTGTAAAGAACACACAAGATATAAATTTGATCTTGATTTTGATCTAAAATGGCGCAAAACTGGCCATTTCTCAGATCAAAACGCTAACTAATGCATTTATCGAAAAAATGGCCAGTTTTGCGCCATTTTAGATCAAAATGAATCGCTTCATGGAAATCAGAATTGAATTTGCATTTAAAAAAATCATTCAGAAAGTGCTTTCACCTCTGGTTTCCGTGATACTCGTCCTTATGCATTTTCTACGTTTTTTCGTGATATCTCAAAGGCGAAAAGTTATCGCGAAAAATGGATGAAAGTAATGAATCCAGCATAAAATTTCACATCATATTTGATTCTTACAAAAAGATTTCTCACTAGGCAGTTTATCTTATTCTTTTGGTCTTCATCCTTTGTGAATATTCAATTCCCAATACTTTTACAATAAGCCTTAACATTTGCTTGCTAATCCATCCAACAGATTATACATTTCTTATACACTTTCTTAGACCAGAGATAAAGAATGAACTATTGAGTGTGTTTTGAGTGTTGAGTGTGTGGATCATCTTAATCTTTATCTTCAGGTGTCAGTCTGTTTTTAGTATGGCTTTGAGATGAATATATGCACTATTTTTCATTGAATCTCAAATTCAACAAAATATCATTTCAACTCTTCCAAGGATTTTGATTAATTGAAGTTTTAAACAATGATCCGAGTTTAGTGATTAAAAATCATCAGTTAGATGTATTAATATATATATATTTTTCAGTGTAATGTCCGTTCATCACACTAATTCATACGCAAACAAAAAATTAGCTTCAAGCTTTTCCTCAAGATTATCAATTAGTAATAGCTTCAAATCTGGATTTTGGGTTGACATAAATGTAATGATTAAATTAAACTTGACCAAATACTGACAAATAAGGTGATGGTAGAAGTCGAGTCGAAATTTCGATCTTTTCTTTTGGAAAAGGTTAAAAGCTGTGTTGAAAATCTTCCATATTTTATTGGCGTCTAAAGTAACAAACATACTCTTTGTTACTCTTTTGTTTATCATAATATTAATCTTAAAATTGGGGAATAAAATAAGATTTTTTGTATACTGTTTGCTGGATGATTTACATTGACCTGATCAGTGAATCCTCGGTGAAAAATGTTTATGTGTAGCAATGAAAGTATGCAAATACAATTAAGAATTAGGAATTAAGTTTTTATTTTTATTTTCATCTTCATTTTCATCTTCATTTTTATCTTCATTTTCATCTTCATTTTCATTTTCATCTTCATTTTCCAAGATTCATTAGTAAACATTAAACAGTAAAGGGTCCAGACTGTTTGAAGAAATTAACATTAAAATTGTATCTAATATTATTAGGCTGTCCGGCTCAATGTGTCGGGACTTTAATTTTCGATAACTTTTTTATTTCTCAATACAATTAAATGAAATGTTACACATCAAATGTAATCACCCTCAGCCTCAATTACGCGTTGCCACCGCTCCGGAAGTTTCAGAATTCCATTCATTAGGCCACGCCCATTGAGGTCACTTATAACGGAATTAAGGGCTGTTTCGAACTCGTCCCAATTTTGGTGTTTGGTTCCTTTTAGGCCCCTCTTTAACTGGCTAAAACAATTGAAGTCCAGCGGACTAATGTCAGGGGAATAGGGGGGGTGGGTCCAAAGCGAAATTTCTTTATCTTGGAGAAACTCTCTAACAACAGCAGCTCTATGCGGTCGCGCATTATCGTGGAGTAGCCACACCTTGTCTGCGTTGCGGCGACCAACATATGCTAACATTTTCTCACGGAGAAAGCTGGCGTAAACATCACCTGTTACAGTGGTTTTTGGAGGCAAAAGGCGATAAAAAGCTATTCCCTTGTAGTCCATCGCCATGATGAGCATCCTCTTGTCCCCGTGTATGTTTGCAGCTACGACATTTTCTGGTTGCTCACCTGCTGATAGCCATTGTCTGGACTGGTCCCTATTCGGTGCCATATAAAGTTGGACCCATGTCTCATCGATAGTTATCGTGCGTTCGAGCAAAGATTTGGTCTTTCTATACGTCTGTAAGTTACTTGCGCACGCGATACAGCGCATATCTTTCTGCTCCTGCGTCAACTTATGGGGGACCCATTTTCCGAGTCTTTTAGACATTCCAAACTCTTGCCTGAGTAATTCATGTAGCGTTGATTTCGGAACTGCTGTTGCGCTCGCTAACGACCTCACTGACCAGTTCCTCGAATAGTCCAAAGCATCTCTAATTTTGGCTACTCTTTCATTGCGTAAGGTCTCATCAGGTGTTGAACCACCTTTTTCCACTTTAATGGTTGGGTCTCCATCCCTGAACCTCTTGGCCCATCTTTGAACGGTTCTATCGGTAGGACACTTGTCGGGCAATAGTCTGTTGAGATTGGAATGAATAACACCAGCGGATTGATTCATCATGACACCGATTTTTATAAAAACTTTAACTTCTTCATCACTAAATGAATCAAAAAGAATTTGTGGGGCAGCCATTTTGTGAAACTTTGAAACTAGCTTAAAAATGTGTTCTCTAGTCTTCAACGGTCATTTTGATACCACGCATGTGTATTTAAGGTCAAAACTTGTGCCATCTATTGACGGTCAAAGTCCCGACACATTGAGCCGGACAGCCTAATATATACTCTAGATGCTTGATTATCCCATTGGTAGACGGCGCCTATTTACACCAATCCACATCCCTTCACGCAGGTCTTTTCAATACGGAAAAATTATTCTTATTATTGTTGTTGACTTCTGACCAAACAGGTCTTTTTCCTTAAATCTTGTGACCCTTTGAAATCCATTTCAACTTTACACTTTCATCAATTATCATCGTTTTCCATTATAACTTTTCATTTGTTTCTCATTTGTTTCTCATCATTTACATCCAGTCAATCTTTGCATCAGTTTTGCATCATTTATCATGTTTTGTTCCATCCCTTCATCATATTAATTGTTGCATCTGTAAGTATTTATACTTTTGCTATAATATCTAAAAGTATTTCTCATTTCATCAGTTTTTTTTCATTATCAATTGTTCCATATATTTAAATATATTTGTTTTTTTCTCATTGTTTAATTTCTTTTAGTGTCTCTATCTCATTTTATTGCGTATAAAAATTGCTAAAATTGATGCTGATCAAGTTAATATTTCGATGGAGGATATAGTGTTATGTGATTATGACGATGATGATGAAATACAGTGCATGAAAATTATCCCATGGACTCAGGAGAAGCATCCTGAAATGATTAAACCGACTCGCGTTCAAAAACGAGCCAGAATAGGCTCTTCTACGGGAATGTCAACTTCCACTCCACCCAAACGCATAATTGATCTTGATGAAGATTGTTTGCTTGAAATTTTCAGCCACATTCATGATTTACAGGGTTTAATTAGCTTGTGTTCAAGTAAGTAATCATGATTGTAAATTTTCAAATTTGTAATAAATTTTCACTTTCTATTTTCAGTTGGTGAACGTTGGAAGGTGATTATTTATAAAAATCGACTTAAATCTGTCAAGTATCTAATGCGTTTCGGTAAGTTTAAAAATTGTTAATATATTATAATATTAGCAACTGTTAGACAACTTTTTTTTTGTAGAGAGTGAAAAGATTGAAACTGAAAAGATTTCAAGTTCAAGATAGATAATCATAATTCACTTAAATTCAAATTTCATTCTTTGATTTCATTTACTTTCATTGTTCTTTTCAGATTCTAATCGTGAACCAAAACTAGCAAAGGATACTGTCTATTTTCACGGATATGGTCCATTGAAAGTAAATGATCAAGTCAATTTATTTCCAAACATTGAGGTAAAATGTTATATTTTTATCATATTACTATTTTTATATTATGTTGTTATATTTATACATTATTGTATATTGTATATAAAATGTGTATAGTATATATTATTTTATTATATAATCTAATAGGTTTTAGATTTACGTGCCAAATTGGATCAAAAATTGAATGAAAACGATATTTTACATTTTGTGAACAAAGCTAATAAATTAAAAGGTTTGATTCAAGAAGAAAGTTATTTCTCTGAAGAAATAATAAAAAAATGTGAAAACCTGGAGATGCTTGCCCCTACCGGTACGCATTTAGGTCCATATCTGGAGGAATATGTGTGTAAAATAAAGCAACTTAAACTTCGATGTTATTCACTTGATGAGTTAAGCCATAATCCCAGAAATCTTTGCAATCTGGAGAGACTCAACATCTCAGGTAAGTTTAACTTTTTGTGCCTCACGATTCTATTTGATTTTGATTTTAAGAATTGTATTTTATTGATTCCATAAATAGTAGGATCAGTGGGAATGTATAATGGACCCAAACTTATGAAGCTTAAAATTCTTGAGATGAGTTTTACCTCAAAGTATGGATTTGAATTTCTGAACTATTG